TGATCCAGTACAAGGACGCAGAGGGCAAACCCCAGTCGTTGCCCGTGGAAGGCCCCTCACGCAAGGTCACTGTTTCAAACCTGGCTCCTTCCCGCAGATACAAGTTCAACCTTTACGGACTTTCTGGTCGCAAACGGCTTGGCCCTGTTTCTGCTGAGGCCACCACAGGTCAGCAGGTGTCTTTTCCGCTTCGTTTAAAGCAGTGGGTGGTATAAAGGATGAGAGAAAGGAATTCCTTCCATAATATCCTCTTATCTTCTAATCTAGGAAAGAAATATGTGTGCCTCTCCATCGTGTTTGGTAGACATCAGCCATCATTTTGTGGTCATACCATAGTTTGTCATCCTTTCTTTTTCTTTCCTTACTGGGTATAAAGAACTGTACTGCATGTTTGCTGCCATAATAACATTTTCTCCGTTGCCTTTCAGGCTTTCCCCCTTCTTTGCGCATTTCTTGGCCTTTCTGTGCTTTCATTCCCTCCCATAGCAGAACAATCCAGGTGCAGAACATTTCTCATGGCCCTCGGGTCTTTTTCCTTCCCTTTTTTCCATCCTAGTTGAACCAGAGGAGAAGGAGAAAGAAGAGGAAGGTGAAGAACGCAAACCTCGACTGGGGGAACTCTTGGTTTCAGAAACAAACAGCGATTCAGTCCGCCTTTTTTGGAGTGTCCCAGTGGGACGTTTTGATTCTTTCCTTGTTCAGTATGAAGATGGAGATGATGATGTGCAGACTCTGACGGTAGATGGTGACTCTCGAGAGGTCACAATCCCTAACCTGGCTCCATCCCAGAGGTACCAATTTGACCTCTATGGCATCACAGGTGGTGAAACCCTTGGGCCTATATCTACTGACACTTTCACAGGTGAGCATTGTTTAGAGTCAGTCATAACTTTAAAGTAAAGGTAAAGTTGGGTTGTTGTAGGTTTTTTCGGGCTGTAAATGGCCATAGTCTAGAGGCATTCTCTTCTGATGTTTCGCTGCATCTATGGCAAGCATCCTCAGAGGTAGTGAGGTCATTACCTCTGAGGATGCTTGCCACAGATGCAGGCAAAACATCCTTCTGCACTGCCAGTGTCTAATATAAATGGATTGCATACCCTACAAATATCTTACACTACCACCTTTAAAATACATACCATTGATTCTGTTGCCAAGTGATGACTTGATAAAGGTAAAGGTAAAGGTTTCCCCTTGATACTATGTCTTGTCGAGTCCGACTCTGGGGGTGGTGCTAATCTCCATTTCTAAGCCAAAGAGCTGGCATTGTCCGTAGATGCCTCCTATGACATGTGGCAAACATGACTGCAAGGAGTTACCTTCCTGCTGAAGCAGTACCTATTGATCTACTCACATTTACATGTTTTTGAACTGCTAGGTTGGCAGAAGCAATAATATTTCATCAAGTCCCTCCCTGCAGACTTAAGTCTGAATAAAAGTACTACTTTCTACCCATCTTTATGTCTTTCTTGTGCCTCCTTTAATAATGATCGTTATTCTTATATCTTTCCACCATCTTCCCCAAAGGGACTCAGGGCAGCTTACATGGGGACCAAGCCCAGCACAAACAAATTTTCAAGCAAAACCTCAATTTAAAAACATAAAAATATATAAATAATCTAAATTAAACAATTAAAACCAGCAAAGTATAAAAAGCCAACCTCAACCACCAGTAACCAGAGTATTGTGAGCAAAATCAGATTAGAGAGGGCAGGACAAGGACTTGTGCAAAACGCGGACTACTAACTGGCCTCTGGTGTCGCCGTAAGACGGTACTCTGTTGTGCATGTGACAGGGCTCAGGCTGCATTGTAGTAAGTGGTCTGTGGTTTCCTCTTCTCCACATTTAAATGTCGTAGACTCCACTTTGTAGACCCATTTCTTAAGGTTAGCTATGCATCTTGTGGTGCCAGAGCACAGTCTGTTCAGTACCTTCCAAGTCACTCAGTCTTCTGTGTGCCCAGGAGGGAGTCTCTCATCTGGTCTCAGCCACTGATTGAGGTTCTGGGTTTTAGACTGCCACTTTTGGGTTCCTGCGAGTATCTCTGCAGATCATAGGAAGCTATTCTTGATTCATTGACTTGCTGGCTGATATCCGAACAGAGGATGGGGCAGAGCTGTCAATGCCTTGGTCCTTTCATTACAGGCTGTTACTTCCTGATGGATGCCAGGTGGTGCAGTACCAGCTAAACAGTATAATTTCTCCAGTGGTGTGGGGTGTAGACACCCTGTGGTAGTGTGGCATGTCTCCATAAGAGCCACATCCACTGTTTTATTGTGGTGAGATGTGTTCCACACTGGGCATGCTTGGATCCTTGATGAGGTGGATAGAAAAGAGAGAGTAAATCGAAAAGACTACAGTCTTAGTTGCACCAAAGATATATAATAATCATTACTCTAATTTAAGCCACATTGGTTTCAATTAACTCAGAACCAATCCGGTTCAATTAAACTTAGCAGTCAAGTAAACTTTGACTTGACCCGATGAACAATCATAAATCCAGTTGATCCAATAAGTCTGTTTTTGCCAGGAGTAACAATAGAACTTAGGTTGTATCTTATACTAGATATTACATGACAATAGAAAACCGTTTGTAATGTTAGCAATGCACAATCATTTGCAAAATAATATTAATCAGTATATGTTTTTTTCCATTCATTAATGTTCTCGCTGTGTTGCTGGCGGCTGGGTTCATATACATTACAATTATTAAATATTAATATTATTAAATAAATTATTATTATTATTATTATTATTATTATTATTATTATTATTATTATTATTATCACTTATCCCATATACTACACTCTTATACACTGCATTATGCATACTAGCAGGGTCGTTGAGACTTCGTGAGCTATAATCATGAAGACAGAGATGACATGGTCACCATAATGCTGGGAAATTAAAAACATATTACAATACAACATCGTCATCATCACACTTACACAGCCACGTCGCCAAAACATTCCTGGTCATAATTCACAGTTAATCATTCTCCTTCCATGGACACAATGGAACAATGGCTTCAAACTACAAGAAAGGAGATTCCATCTGAACATGAGGAAGAACTTCCTGACTGTGAGAGCTGTTCAGTAGTGGAACTCTCTGCCCCGGAGTGTGGTGGAGGCTCCTTCTTTGGAAGCTTTTAAACAGAGGCTGGATGGCCATCTGTCAGGGGTGATTTGAATGCAATATTCCTGCTTCTTGGCAGGGGGTTGGACTGGATGGCCCATGAGGTCTCTTACAACTCTTTGATTCTATGGTTCTATGATTCTAACAATGATATTCTTCTTCTGATGTTCATGTTGAAGTTCATGAAGGGAATGGGGATGTTGACCTGGTTCCTGGGCCAGGGCCTGGTGGTTTGGGGAATGAAAGGTCCTTTGGGCCTGAATGGAGTTTAAACGAGAGGCCTGAGTTACTGCAAGAGGATCCTGAAGGTCCTGGGCTTGGGAAAGGCCTTTCGCCACAATTCCCTGGTCTGTTATCTGAGAATGAAGTTGATTTTGAAGTAGCAGGTGCAGAAGTTAATGATGGGAACGAGACCTTGAACAGTTTTAGTAAATAGAGGTAGTCTGTGCAGCAATTAAGACGCTCAGCTAGGCTTCAACAGAAGATAAATAGTAAACCAAAACTAAGAAAGAATGTGTCCTGATCAGTTTTGGAGTCAGGGAAGAGTTTATAAATTATTTGTGAGAGACGATTGCTTCAGCTGAGGCAATGTGAGAATAACGCCAAGTTTCGAGCGCCAAGGTCTGCCTAGCTCATGTTTTGCTTATGGGATATGTTTCTGTTTTGTTCATGGATTCAAGTGCCCACTTTTGTTCCTGTCTTCCTCTGTATCAATTGGATTACCTTTTACTGTGGATTACTTTCTACTGCTTTGGCTACAGATATTCCTAAATGAACTGCTTGCTGATTTTACCCAGCTGGTGCAGTGTTTAAAGTCAGAGGTGATTCTGCTCTGGAGTACAACAATAAGTGGGAGCTTCCTATAACAGTGACGGGCAACCTTTTGAGCTTGGTGTGTCAAAATTTGCCAAAAACCTGAGCATAACTTGGGTGGGGTGTCAACTTCGAGAAAAACAACAACATAATTTTGCAATATTTATAGTTTAAATAAGAAAAATGTATGTTCCATGCTGAGTTATGGAGTGAACAATGCTCGAACGTGCAGATGTTAAATTTGTAGAGCCTTTGACAAATTTAAGGATGAGATTAGATTGTCTCTTATAAGGTGTATTTCTCTGTATGCGACCGCATGTGGCTGCGTGTCATCAAAAATAGCCACGCGTGTCAGTCCGCATGTCATAGGTTCACCATCATGGTCCTATAAGGTAAACAGGCGAGTTACATAACGAAAACTCTACTAGTGGCATTGAGATGTACATTCAGAACATATATAGATTGACCAAGCTCAGGCACATGGAGTTTCAAGTAATGAAAGAGCTCCACAGAGCTGGTACACACCCTTTTAAGGAAAGGTGGAGAGAGAGAAGGAAGGTGGAGAGAAAAAGTGGAAGGAATCTTTATGTGGCTACAGAAACACCTAGAAGTTGCTATGGCAGTGTAGTTTCATATGCACATCGACACGTTGAGGATGAGGCATTACAACTGGTGACTGAGCTGATGAAGAAAATCCTAGCGAGACGATATGCATCTTTCTTTTACAGTTCCATTGGCACAAGAGCAGCAAGTAAAAGAAACAGCAACCCCAACACCAGAACCCAACCTGGGGGAGCTCTCTGTCTCTGAAGTCACCAGTGATTCTGTCCGTCTGTCTTGGGATGTCCCTAGGGAGACTTTTGACTCATTTGTGATCCAGTACACGGATGCTGAAAATAAACCACAGGAAATTCCTGTGGAGAAGGATACCAACTCAGTGGTCATCTACTACCTGGTGCCTTTCTACAGATACACGTTCTATCTCTACGGCATCTCTGAACACAGGCGTCTTGGCCCAGTCTCCATCAGTATTGTCACAGGTCAGCAGTGGATCTGGAAAAACAACAGCAGTATCTTTTCTTCCATCATTTTGCCTTCTGTTCTTGTAAACTCTCTGATTCTGCATTTCTTCTCTCACCAACAGCCCTTTCTTACTGTTTTGGTTTCAGCAGCATTCTTTTTCAAGATAGTCAGCAAGAAGACCCATCTTGCTTTGTATGGCTGAGCGATGCAGCATACCATTGAACTCTCCAATAACTTCACTGCTGTTTTCTGCACCACATAGACTTCAAGGGCAGGCCCTCACATAACACATTGCAGTAGTCTAATCAGGATATGATTGTACATAGATAACAAGGCCAGAAAATTTTGAGTAAATCTGAATGTTATCTTCCAGTATCCACAGTTTCTCTTTAAGATAGCATGCCCAAGCCTTTGGGGAAACTATAGTGTCTGGCTTTACTTGGGGGCTCTCTGTATACCTTCTGTTAAGATTGAGACCCTTTACACACAGAGGCATTTTAGGCAAGGTGGAAAGATACCAAAATGAGTTTAGTGCAAACTAGATGAATAAAGGGTTAACTCCACCCGGCACTATCATAAGGTAACTTAAAACAGTACATTACAAAAGGAGCCTCTGCTGGCTTCAGCCATCTCTCTGGAGTCTTCTGCCTCTGGTGCAAAGTGATGGTTATAAACTGTTGCTTATAAGCTGTATCAATCTCTAGAACATGGCCATATAGCCCAGAAAAACCTACAACAACCCTGTATCAATCTTCTTTCTTGTGAAGCTTATGCTGGTCAAAAGCTTCTGTTGTCCTTTGGACTGCTAGTATATGAATACTGCTGAATGCAGGATGCTAAGGATGTCTGTTTTTGGATTGCTTCGGCCTAGGATTTCCGGACAATGTCCCAAGCCTCTAGTGCAGTGGTTCTCAACCTGGGGTCCCCAGATGTTTTTGGCCTTCAACTCCCATAAATCCTAACAGCTGGTAAACTGGCTGGGATTTCTGGGAGTTGTAGGCCAAAAACATCTGGGGACCCCAGGTTAAGAACCACTGCTCTAGTGACTGTAGAAAAGGGAGAAGTTCAGAAAGAGAGCTCTATACAGGGAAATGGAATAGAACTCTCTGCCTTGGAGTGTGGTGGAGGCTCCTTTTTAAACAGAGGCTGGATGGTCATCTGTCGGGGGTGCTTTGAATGCGATTTTCCTGCTTCTTGGAAGAAAGGGAAAAAAAACCTCATTGCAATGTTGTCTTTGCATCCATCTCTCACTTACCATCTTTGTTTTTAAATCCAGCCATAACAGAAGATAAGAAGCCCAAAGAAGAGACATATGAGAAGGCCCCTGTGGTAATGGAGCCCCACTTGGGAAAGCTCACGGTCTCGGAGGTCTCCAGTAATGCTGCCCATCTCACCTGGACTGTCCCCCAGGGAAACTTTGATTCTTTCTCAATCCAGTACAAAGATGCGGAAGGAAGAAACCAGGCCCTCCCCGTAGCAGGAGGGTCCCGCAAGGTCATGGTCCCCAACTTGGTCCCCTCTCACAAATACAGGTTCAATCTTTTTGGTATCTCTGGATCACGACGTCTTGGACCCATCTCTGCCAATGCTGTGACAACAGGTCAGCAGATGTGATGAAAAGATAGGGAGGGGGACAAATATGGCTTCACGCTCACTGTTCTTTAACTCAATTTTTTTCCATGGCATTAGGTCTCAAGTGTATCTCTAGTCTTAGAGATGCACTGGTTGGATCATCACCTCTCTCCTTTTCTTGTCTCTGTATTTGCTCATTCCTTTTTCTCCCCTAATGCTTAAGGTTAGGTGTAGAAAATTATTCCCTCCTCCCCAAATAATTTTTCTGCACTGCTGCTAAATGTGTCACTCGGCATTTGAAGTTCAGGCATGAAGTCAGGCAGCACAGCTTGCTTGGAGAAAACTTTTCCCAGATGGGGGAAGTTTGGGAAAACTATTGGCGAAAGTTTTTGTGGCTGGAATCACTGGGTTGCTGTGAGTTTTTTGGGCTGTGTGGCCATGCTCCAGAAGCATTCTCTCTTGACATTTCACCCACATCTATGGCAGGCATCCTCAGAATTAGTGGTGCAGCTACTCAGTAGCCAGCTGCATAAAATCACTACTCACCGAGAGGTCATGAGTTCGAAGCCAGCCCGGGTCGGAGTGATCTCCTGATCATTAATAGTCTACCTGTGCAGCCCGAAAGACAGTTGCATCTGTCAAGTAGGAAATTTAGATACTGCTTTATGCGGGGAGGCTAATTTAACTAATTTATGACACCATAAAAAAAAACCTTCCAGCAGCGTGTGTAAGAATGAGGAAGTACGTCATCAAGGACTTGGTGTCACAAGTGGATGGTGAAATGGCAGCTCCCCCTGTGGCCGGAATCGAGCATACCCTCATGAAGCCGGAAAGCTGGAATGTTAAATTGCCTCTGTGTCTGTCTATATATGTTGTATATCTAATGGCATTGAATGTTTGCCATGTATATGTGCATTATGTTCCGCCCTGAGTCCCCTGCGGGGTGAGAAGGGCGGAATGCAAATACTGTGAATAAATGAATGAATAAATAAATAAAATTGTGAGGTCTGTTGGAAACTAGGCAAGTGAGGTGTTATTTGTGGAATGTTCAGAGTAGGAGAAAGAAATCTTGTCTGCTTGAGGTGTGAATGTTGCAATTGGCCACCTTGATTAACATTGAAAGGACCTGCAGCTGCTTCCTGCCTGGGGAATCATTTGTTGAGATGTGTTATCTGGCCCTGATAGTTTCCTGTCTGGAATTCCCCTGTTTTCTGAGTGTTGTTCTTTATTTACTGTCCTAATTTTAGAGTAATTTAATACTGATACCAGATTTTGTTCATTTTCATGGTTTCCTCCTTTCTGTTGAAATCGTCCGCATGCTTGTGGATTTCAATGGCTTCTCTGTGTAGTCTGACATGGTGGTTGTTGGTGTGGTCCAGCATTTCTGTGTTCTCAAATAACATGCTGTGTCCAGGTTGGTTCATCAGGTGCTCTGCTATGGCCGGCTTTTCTGGTTGGAGTAGTCTGCAGTGCCTTTCATGTTCCTTGATTCGTGTTTGGGCGCTGTGTTTGGTGGTCCCTATGTAGACTTGTGCACAGCTGCATGGTATACGGTAGACTTCTGAAGAGGTGAGATGGTCTAACACTCTAACGACCACCATGTCAGGAGAGAATGCTTCTGGAACATGGCCATACTGCCCAGAAAACTCACAGCAACTCAGTGATTCCAGCCATGAAACCCTTTGACAATAATAATAACAACAACAACAACAACAATACGAAATTCAGCATATAGATCTCATTTGCTGTGACATACTGTGCTTTTGTGTCAGTAAAATGACAATAAACTTTATTTATACCCCACCACCATTTCCCCGGAGGGTACTCGGGGCAGCTAACATGAGGCCAAGCCCGAAGATACATTACAGCAAAATAAAATACAAAACAAGAAAAATTATGTTGCAACAGCACAACAACAGAGAGGAAGCAGGCAGGGACATCTAATTACCTCTCAACAAAAGTTTGCTCCAGGCACAGTCAGCCCATTGAATGCTAATTAAGGTGGTCAGTTGAAACAGTCACACCTAGCTCCAGCAGACAAGAGTCCTTTGTCTCACCCTGGTCATTCCACAGATATATAAACCCTTTTTCCTAGTTACAACAGACCTCACTACCTCTGAGGATGCTTGCCATAGATGCAGGCGAAACATCAGGAGAGAATGCCTCTAGACCATGGCCATACAGCCCGAAAAAACCTACAACAACCCAAGAAAAATTACATCAGAATAAAATACATACAGTAGCAAAATCAAATAAATAAAGCAAAATAAGATAACGGAAAATCAAACACAATGGACAGGCCAAATACACAAGATAAAATGATAAAACCCTGGATGAGGTAGGAGTAGAAAACGTGTATTTGAGAGGAGTCCATAAAGGACAAACAGTGGGGTTAGGCCTTCAAGTTAGGAGGAGGGAAAGTGCACCACAAGGACAAAACTGTAGATGTAGACAACACATTTTCTCGAGGCTTTTATGGATCTTCGAGCAAAATTGTTTTGCCAGCATCTGATAGACATTAACTAAAGAGTTGCTCTGGAAGAAATTGAGATTCCTATTGAGATGTTCCCTCAAGTTGTTTTTCCATTTGTGGTCTTCCCACTTTCATGTCAGTCCTGTATCGGTACCCGAAGTAAAAGTGGGGCCTGGTTGTAATCTTGAAAGGCAGCCCCACATACAAGATATTGCAGTAGTCTAGTCAGAATATTACCAGGACATGAATATATGGAGCCAGACAATTGTTGTGGAACTAGGTTCTTGTGGGTATTTTCAGGCTATAGAGCCATGTTCTAGAGGCATTTCTCCTGATGTTTCGCCTGCATCTATGGCAAGCATCCTCAGAGGTAGTGAGGTCTTGTGGAAGTTGTTGTGGAAGTTGTTGATTATATGATGTGCTATTTGTTACCAATTATGCTTTTTAGTCTCTTGGTCAGCTATTTTCTTTCTTCTTAAGGTAGCAGTTCATGAGAAGACAAAAAGGCCAAAGTCTACTGGAACATTATCCTATTGATTTAACATTTTTGTTTTAGCTATGACAACAACTCATGATGAGAAGCCTCAAAACATGGGAGAAGAAGCCGTCACGGAGGTCCCCACTGGAACAGAGTCCCGTTTGGGGAAGCTCACGGTCCCCGAGGTCACAAGTAATGCAGCTCGCCTCACCTGGTCTGTCCCTCTGGGGACCTTTGATTCTTTCTTAATCCAGTACAAGGATGCAGAAGGAAGATCTCACATGATTCCTGTAGGAGGAGGGTCTCGTGAGGTTTTGGTCCCCAACTTGCTCCCCTCTCACAAATACAAGTTCAATCTCTATGGCATCTCTGGACAACAACGACTTGGACCCATCTCTGCCAATGTTTTGACAACAGGTCAGCGATCTGCTGGGAAAGACAGGGAGGCGGATGCAATGGGTTTCATTTCAACCTTCCTTTAACTCACTTTTTTCATTTTCCTAGTTTTTAGGTCAGCCTTTTGTGTTTGAGAGTCTGTAGAAGAACCATTGCCTGTCTCCTCCCTTCTTTGCCCATTTTTCTTTTCAGACAATACACAGAGTTGAAAGTGTGAAAGATCTTATTGAAATGTGATTTTTACACCTGAAAGTTTCATACTGAGAAAAGGCAGGAATAAATGAATACACACACACACACAAACATATACACATACACATACATACACACACCCCGGAATCATTCATATATATGGATGCTGGAATCCTGTATCAGAGCGTTTCTCAACCTGGGGGTGGGGACCTCTGGTGGGGGGTCCTGACCCCCAAAGACCATCAGAAAATACAGTGTTTTCCATTGGTTATGGGGGTTCTGTGTGAGAAGTTTGACCCAATTCCATCATTGGTGGGGTTCAGAATGCTCTTTGATTGTAGGTGAACTATACATCCCAGCAACTACAACTCCCAAATGAAAAGGTCTATTTCCCCCAAACTCCACCAGTGTTCACATTTGAGTATATTGAGTATTTGTGCCGAGTTTGGTCCAGATTCATCATTGTTTGAGTCCACAGTGCTCTCTGGATGTATGTGAACTACAACTCCAAAACTCAAGGACCAAACTCTTCTAGTATTTTCTGTTGGTCGTAGGAGTTCTCTGTGCCAAGTTTGGTTCAATTCCATCGTTGTTGGAGTTCAGAATGCTCTTTGTTTGTAGGTGAACTATAAATCCCAACAACTACAACTCCCAAATGACAAAATCAATTTTCCCTCCAACCCCATCAGCATTCAAATTTGGGCGTATCAGGTATTTGTGCCAAATTTGGTCTAGTGAATAGAAATATAACCTGCATATCGGATATTTACATTATGATTCATAACTGTTGCAAAATTACAGTTAAGATGTAGCAACGAAAATAATTTTATGGTTGAGGGTCAGCACAACATGAGTATTCAGGGTTGTGGCATTGGAAGGTTGAGAAACACTGCCGTACAGGTTTCCACATTCAGGGAAGAATTGTGTTTGTTTGTTTGTTTTAAAGAAGGCTGTAGATATGTTCTGGGAAAACTTGACTTTCTTTACAGACTTCCCTTGTGTGTAAAGAATAATAATAATAATAATAATAATAATAATAATAATAATAATAATAATAATGCCACATCCCACAAGATCAGTAAAAAAAGATTATAATCAAAACCAAATAAAACAACTTCAGATAATCAAAACTGCAAATAAAGCAACTTTAGAGTGTGTGTTATAAAAAGCAAATTAAGTAGAAACAAGGCATGAAATCAAATGTATTGTTTTAAAGATCTGGGGAGCTCTTTTGGCACTCAAAGTGCATTAATCAAGCATGAAGCAGACTTCTTTGTGTGGAGTTGGGAGTTGACCACCAAAAATGATCTTCCTGGTCAGCCCTGGGGAATTTATTGTATGGAGGTGTTAAACTGGCATACAAGCACAATGCCATGCACTGCCTGTTCCTCTTCTGCCACACACCGCACATGCACACAATAGACCCATCCTATGCTAGTGACATACGATACTCATCAATAGCTCACAATTGTGCCTGAGTCCCACTGCATATGAAAATACACTTGTATATATAACTAATCTATATAAATAAAAATGTAATGTTCGTTTGTGGGATTAACAGAACTCAAAAACCACTGGATGAATTGACACCAAATTTGGTCACAAGACACCTAACAACCCAATGTATGTCCTTCACTCAAAAAAATTGATTTTGTCATTTGGGATTTGTAGTTGCTGGGATTTATAGTTCACCTACAATCAAAGAGCATTCTGAACCCCACCAACGATGGAATTGAACCAAACTTGGCACACAGTTCTCCCATGACCAACAGAAAATACTGGAAGGGTTTGGTGGGCAGTGTCCTTCGGTTTTGGAGTTGTAGTTCACCTACATCCAGAGATCACTGTGGACTCAAACAATGATGGATCTGGACCAAACTCTACACAAATACTCAATATGCCCAAATGTGAACACTGGTGGAGTTTGGGGAAAATAGAATCTTGACATTTGGGAGTTGTAGTTGCTGGGATTTATAGTTCACCTACAATCACAGAGCATTCTGAACCCCACCATGATAGAATTGGGCCAAACCTCCCACACAGAACCCCCACAGCAACAGCAACACATGGCAGGGGACAGCTAGTCTATATAAATAAAAATGTAATGTTTGTTTGTGAGATTAACATAACTCAAAAACCACTGGACGAATTGACACCAAATTTGGACACAATACATGTATCAGGCCAACGAGTGACCATCACTCATAAAAACACTGAAAAACACAGCAGAAGGGGCTTAAAAAGCCAAAAAACAAAACATACATTACAATGCATGCGTAAAACCACACATATACACAAACATACACACACACATATACACATATATATACACACAAAACCGATACATAGACTGGGCCACAGCAATGCGTGGCAGGGGACAGCTAGTATTAAACTAAAACTAAAACACACTACTGTACCCCTAACCTAAAACAATAAACACTAGCTAACCAAAACAATAAACAAAACGTAAGTAAAACTAAAATCCAATCCATACAGTAAAAAAAGAAAAGATGTATTATTTTGCCATCCAAGATGAAAGTAAACTTTCTAAATATTGTATTTTAATGCATACTACTTATCACAGCCGGTGGCGCAGTGGGTTAAAGCACTGAGCTGCTGAGCTTGTTGATCGAAAGGTCACAGGTTCGATTCCGGGGAGCGGCGTGAGCTTCCGCTGTCAGCCCTAGCTTCTGCCAACCTAGCAGTTCAAAAACATGCAAATGTGAGTAGATCAATAGGTACCGCTCCGGCGGGAAGGTAACGGCGCTCCATGCAGTCATGCCGGCCACATGACCTTGGAGGTGTCTACGGACAACGCTGGCTCTTCGGCTTAGAAATGGAGATGAGCACCACACCCCAGAATCAGACATGACTGGACTTAATGTCAGGGGACTACCTTTACCTTTACCTACTTATCACACTGAGAGTGATGTTACTGTATCTCTGGCAAAGGAGTCATTTCCATCATCAGCTGCTTTAGACCATGTTAGCCCATCGGCTTGCAAATTCTGCATCCAAATAAGTCTTCAAAAGCAACCCCACATAGAAGACATTGCAGTAGTCTAGTCAGGAAATTGTAATGCTATGGGTAACTGGTTTGTGATGCGGAAGAATCCTGACTATATGTTTTGTGTCCTCAGTCATGCTTCTTAACCTTCTAACAAGTTTTTTCTCTTCTTCTTCTTGTAGTAGGAACTTGCAAAAAGGAAAGTCTGTTACAATCCAGCGTCTTTCTCTCTCTCACTAACTCATCTTCTTTGGTTTAGCTTCAGTAACAACCCCTGATGAGAAGGACCACGAAGTGGGAGAAGAAGCTGTCAAGGAGGTCCCTAGAGAAACAGAGCCCCGTTTGGGGATGCTCACGGTCTCTGAGGTCACCAGTGACACTGCCCGTCTCACCTGGACTGTCCCCCAAGGAAACTTTGATTCTTTCTCAGTCCAATACAAGGATGCAAGGGGAACACCCTGGGCACTTCCTGTGGGAGGAGACTCTCGTGAGGTCGTGGTCCCCAACTTAACCCCCTCTCACAAATACAGGTTCAATCTCTATGGCATCTCTGGATCACGACGTCTGGGACCCGTCTCTGCCAATGCTGTGACAACAGGTCAGCTGTGGCTGGAAAAGATGGGGAGGGGCATACAATGGTTTTCACCCCACCATTCTTTAACTCATTTTCCTTCCATTTTATTAGATTTTAGGTTTATCAATAACCTCTGAAAAGCTCGGAAAACACCTATCACTCATCTTCTTTTCTTTTCCTCCATGTGTTCCCATTTCTAGTTCTTATTAGTGGGACTGAGCACATGATACAGATCCACAGAACGGCACCATGGGCACAGAATCCATCTAGGGAAGGCATGGGCAAACTTGGGCCCTCCAGGTGTTTTGGACTTCAACTCCCACAACTCCTAACAGCCTACTGGCTAGTATTGATGTAAAGCAAATTAGACTTCTCAGTTGTTAGACTGATATACCTGGTTATTGCTCTAAACTGTTAGGAACAAAGATATGCCAATGCACATCATATATAGCAGATTTTCCAAAGTGTTATTTCAGTTGCCCAAAAACATCTACTCTCCCATAAAATATATTGCTTTTAAATCATGCTCTCAAGAGACCAAAAATAGGTAATCTTTGTTAAAAGAAACGTTGATTTACTTACAGGTTTAATGTATTCAGTATTCAGGTACATTTCTTATTGGTTGAGAATTTAAACAGGAAGTTCTCTAAAGCATTTTGATACTACTGGCTTCTAAACTGTACTGTACTGCTTCTGAAGCAAAAAGACTTCTAAAATGGAGTCTCGGTCTGAATAGTCCCAGATCTGTAGTCCCTTCCACAACCTCAAACAACATAGAGTTAAGGGAAAACTGCATATCAAAATATACATACAATATAGTAAGCAATCTGAATTATATGCATAGCAAATAACTACTATAGGAGGCTTGTAGAAGGTTGCTATTTCCAACCATGTGCTCAGCCTTACAGAAATAAGAGGTTTGCATCAGTTGAAAAGTTTGCATGCATGACTTTTGAATGTGGAAAATTTTCTCTCTCTGCCCTTATGGTTTCTGTCTAACAGGAAAGGGAACTCTGTGAGCATCTCGACTGAGAAATCACTAACCTCATTTTGACTTCATGATAGCTTTCTTTCTATGAAACTGGATCTCGGCCTCCTCCACCATCTCGTTCTCTTATTTTTATAGCTGCGGAAACACCAGGGAAGGTAATTGAGGAGACAGAGGAGGAGACGGAGAAGGTGTTGCCAGAGCCAAGCAAGATTGTCCAGCCCAGCCTGGGAGACCTCACCGTCTCTGAGGTCACCCCTGATTCTCTTCTCCTTTCCTGGAGCATCCGGGAAGGGAGCTTTGACTCTTTCCTCATCCAATACAAGGATGCTGTGGGCAAGCTCCAGACCTTACCTGTGGATGGAGCCATGCGCTCCCTCCATCTCTACAACCTGGCACCTTCACAAAGATACAAATTCACTGTCTTCGGAGTCTCTGGCCAGAAACATCTTGGACCCGTCTCAATTGATGCTGTCACGGCAGGTCAGCAGAAGCTTATCATTGGTTCTGGGTGCTCTTCTTTTTTGACTGCTTTGCTGATATCAACTTAATTGACAATTTTCCCCTGGGGAGTGTATCATATGAAGCAGACAAATCACAGTTACAACAGATCAAAAACGTACTTAGCTTATTCATGTGTTAAACTCCAGGGTTACTGCATCCTCCACTTTACAGTGGGCTCTTCACATTTTGTGGGTTTTGCTTTTGCAGATTGGATTATTTGCAAATCGGATGGATATATTCTCTTTAGAAATCTCCAATACCCCTTCCACACAGCTGAATAAAATCCCACATTTTCTGCTTTGAACTGTCATATATGGCAGTGTGGAAGAGCCCTAGGTCATCTGACTTTGCACTTAGAGGACCTAGAGATTCACACAGATAACATTGTTCTAGGTATTGTCGAAGGCTTTCATGGCCGGAATCACTGGGTTTTTGTAGGTCACTACCTCTTAGGATTCTTGCCATAGATGCAGGTGAAACGTCAGGAGACAATGCCTCTAGAACATGGCCATAAAGCCCGAAAAAACCTACAACAACCCATTGTTCTAGGTATTTATCGGTCCTTCAGTGCAACTCTCTGACAGTTGACCTGGACATTCTGGAAGAGCTAGAGATTCCTATAGAGCAGGGGTCCCCAAACTAAGGCCCAAGGGCCAGATACAGCCCTCCAAGGTCATTTACCCGGCCCTCACTCAGGGTCAACCTAAGTCTGAAATGACTTGAAAGCACACAACAACAACAATCCTTTCTCATCGGCCAAAAGCAGGCCCACACTTCCCATTGAATTACTAATGTTTATATTTGTTAAAATTGTTCTTCATTTTAATTATTGTATTGTTTTAAGTGTTTTTTTGCACTACAAATAAGATATGTTCAGCGTGCATAGGAATTCATTCATGCTTTTTTCAAATTATAATCCGGCCCTCCAATAGTTTGAGGGACTGTGACCTGGCCCTCTGTTTAAAAAGTTTGAGGAACCCTGCTCTAGAGGAACATCTCTGTCTGAAGCAATGATTCTCAGTTTATATTTTTCCTTCCACAGATGATTTTGGAAAATGCCTTTTCAAGAAGAGCCAAAAACTCTTTAGAGTAGAATTTTCTCTTGTGATATACCACCAGATTTAATTATGCTAGGCAATGGTTTCATTTGTTAGACTGAATACCCTGATATCTCTGATCTGTTAGGAAAACAGATTTGCCAGCGATTTCGCTTGGTTCTCCCCTGGAAATTCCCTCTGTAATAATAATTTCCAGGAGAAGTATACCATAGAATCGCCTGGAGGGCATCACCAATTGATGAACCTTGGGCATGACTACTGCAGTTATGGGGGTCTTACTGTATATTAAGGAGCCCCTGGTGGCGCAGTGGGTTAAACCCCTGTGCTGGCATGACTTAAGACCGACAGGTTGCAGGTTCGAATCCGGGGACATTACAGTGACATTTATGCCTGGGAAACATCCACACAAAAATGTGTGGGATGGAGAAAACAAACACAAAAATGCATTTTTAGAAATAATAGTATTCAAGAGGAATTCAATGCATGATAAAAAAAAATAGAAGCAATGAAAAAAAATTGGCAGATTCACCGTCCATAGTTCCCACCGAGATAAGTGTCACAGAAGTCCTTCGGCACAATCTCTTCCATCTCCAGACAGAGTCGGGGAAGACCCCGTCCTTGAATCTTCCTTTTAGTAACATTAGCTCGTGCTGGATTAAAAGAAGCAATGTTCCATATAAAAGGCACCTTTCTATGGCAGTGTCTTCCAGAAACCCTGAATGACTGCCACTGAAATTCTGATGTAGAGCTTGGAAACGTAATGTTTTTGGATTCTGAACCGCACGATCTCTCCGAGCAACGTGGCCATTAGCATTCTAGCTGAAGGAGCCTGGGAGCTGTAATCTAAAAATGTGTTACTTAAGAAAAGATCAGATTCTGGGACATATTCCCAGAAACACATTAGTCCTGAGTTCAATATTCTCTAGGTTTGATTCTCAGCTCAAAAGAAGTGGCTGCCTGTTCCCTGGACCTGGCTGGCAATCCTTCATGTCTTTCATCCCATCTACAGTGGTCCCAGCCGGTCAAAGAAGACATAAGAGTCTTTGCTCTCTGACTGGCTGGAGCCACTTTGGATGAGATGAAAGAAACAAAGGACTGCCAGCTAGTTTGTACTGGGGCCATTAAGGAAAAAAACAAAGCCATGTGTTTTGTGTATCAAATGATCCTACTCAATCAGGGACCATCAAGCAAATGTTCTGCCCTTTTGCAATGATCCCTGGAAAATGGTTCACCGGCAGAGAGTTTGTGATTCCAATTAACATTTTTGAAAACTGTCCTCCCTCTCCTGCCCTTCGTTTTAACTTGAAACAGCCACAACATAGTTCAAGCCATACGTAATCGACCTTAACCAGTTTAGGCCCTTTTATTAGCACCTTGCAATGACAACGGTGTGGGAAATATCTCTTGGTCTATTTGGGAGTTGTAGTCCCCGAAAGAAACATATTCATGCTCTGTTCTTGCAACAAACGTGTGTTAGTGGGCAAACAGTCTTTTACGCGGGGCGTTCATTAAAGATTTCCCCTGACCCAATTCTATTTATCACAGGATGCTGAAACTCCACACGTCTAATGACATAAGTCTCCATAGGTTACACCTATTTCTGTTTTATTATGTGTAATGATATAATCTCTATACGTTACATCTATTTCTGTTTTATTGACTATTCTAAAGCCTTTGACTGTGTGGATCATAATAAATTGTGGCAAGTTCTTGATGGTATGGGGATCCCAAGCCACTTTGTCTGTCTCCTAAGGAATCTGTATAATGATCAAGAAGCAACAGTAAGAAATGAACATGGAACAACAGACTGGTTCAAGATTGGGAAAGGCGTATAGCAGGGCTGTATACTCTCACCCAACTTATTCAACTTGTATGCAGAACACATCATGCGATGTGCGGGGCTTGACAAATGAAAGGCTGGGGTTGAAATTGCTGGATGAAACCTTAGATATGCAGATGACACCACTTTGATGGCCGAAAGCGAGGAGGAGCCTTCTAACCAAGGTGAAAGAAGAAAGTGCAAAAGCTGGGTTGCAGCTAAACATTAAAAAAAACAACACCAAGATTCTGGCAACAGGACTGCTTGATAACTGGCAAATAGAGGGAGAAAACATGGAGGCAGTGACAGACTTTGTATTTCTAGGAGCAAGGATTACTGCAGACACAGACCGCAGCCAGGAAATAAGAAGACTTTTCCTTCTTGAGAGGAGAGCAATGACCATCCTCGATAAAATAGTGAAGAGTAGAGACATCACACTGGCAATGAAGGATTGCATAGTTAAAGCAATGGTATTCCCCATAGCAACCTATAGATGCGAGGGCTGGACCATAAGGAAGACTGAGCAAAGAAAGAGAGACACTTTTGAACTGTGGTGTTGGAGGAAAATTCTGAGAGTGCCTTGGACCGCAAGGAGATTCAACCAGTCCATACCCCAGGAAAGAAAGCCCAACTGCTCACTGGGGGAAGGATATTAGAGGCAAAGATGAAGTACTTTGGCCACATCATGAGAAGACAGGAAAGCTTGGAGAAGACAGTGATGCTGGGGGAAAAGGAAGAGGGGGTGACCAAGATAGATGGATGGTATCCTTGAAGTGACTGGCTTGACTTTGAAGGAGATGAGGGTGGCCACAGCTCACAGGGAACTCTGTCATGGGCTGGTCTATGAGATCACGAAGAGTTGGAAGCGACTGAACAAATAAACATCAACAACAAGGTTACATGCCAATTTACAACTCAGAACTGATAATGGTCTTGATTTGACAGGTGTTGAAGTGGTGTGAGGTTTGAGAATAGACGCAGTGGAATACAGAGCAATCCTCACGTTCCCTGACTTGAAAGGCTGCACACCAAAGGAGACGTTCGATGAGATGAAAGAGGTTTATAGTGATGATTCCCCATCATATGGTGTAGTCAAGAACTGGCATTGTCAATTCAAATGTGGTCAGACTTCGGTTTGTGTTTTTTTTGTTGTTGTTTTTTTTTTGGTCGTGTCAGGAGCAACCGCTTCTGTTGTGAGAGAATTGGCCGTCTTCAAGGACGTTGGCCAGGGGACGCCCGGATGATTTTTGATGTTTTATCATCCTTGTGGGAGGCTTCTCTCATGTCCCCGCATGAGGAGCTGGAGCTGATAGAGGGAGCTCATGCGCCTCTCCCCGGATTTGAACCTGCAACCTGTCGGTCTTCAGTCCTGCCGACACAGTGCTTTAACCCACTGCGCCACCGGGGACTCCTGTCAGACTTCGGTGAAACAACTCCAATTCCAGGGCGACTCCACTCTGCTATGGATGAACACACCATCCAGTAAGTGGAGATCGTTATTTTGGAAAATCGCTGCATAGCCATTTGCCACCTAGCTTGAAATGTCGAGATTAGTGTGAGGTACGTGGAAATAACCATCCAAGACCATCTTCCCATGCATAAGATATCCACTCACTGGGTCCCCTGGTTGCTCACACTTTTTCAGAAACAGGAACAAATCGAAAGCTCTCAGGCTCTATTAACAATGATGTGCAATGGAAACCAGGAGGACTTTTTCAAACAGACTGATCTCACAGGATGAAAGCTGGGTCCATCCCTATGATCCTAAGACTAAAGTCCAGCCGATGCAATGAAAGCATCATGACTCACCGCCTCCAAAGAAGGCACATGCCCAACTCTCGGCAGACAAGGTCATGCTCACAGTATTTTAGGACCAGCATGGAGTATTATGGATGGATTTCCTAGCAAAGGGGACCATGATCACTGTGGCATACTAAGCTTCACTTCTGTGGAAATAGTGGGAAGGCATCAAAACCAAAAGTGTCTGCCTTCTACAAGACAGTGTACCAATTCACAACTCACCTGTTGCCCAAATAGAAGCATGCTGCTGTGGCTTTGAAATTCTAGCACATCCCCCTTATTCACCCAACCTCGCACCATCGGATTACCACCTCTTTCCAACAATGATGTTGTTTTGGAAAGGCAAGCATTTTTCAGATGTTAAGACTCTGATTTCCAAAGTCACAATGTGGCTTTTGGAGCAACCTGTCAACTTCTACAAGTGAAGTGCTTACAGTTGCTTAAAACGATGGGAGACGTGTGTGTCCCTAGGTGGCACCAATGGAGAGCAGGACTAAGAACTGTGCCAAGTTTCATTGCTCTCAGTCCACATGAAGTGGGTCAGGGAAAATTTTTAATGAACTCCCTTCGTAGGAACCATCTCCACAACTCTTTCCCCCTCCCCCCCTACTGTTGTGTGCCTTCAAGTAATTTCTGACTTATTCCAACACTAAAGTGAACCTATCACAGGGTTTTCTTGGCAAGATTTATTCAGTGGGGGTCCTTTGTCTCCCTCCAGAACTCAGAAAGTGTGACTTGCGCTAGAGAAACAAAAATGTTTTATATGAATATTAATGGCTTTTGACCATTAAGCAAAGGCAACTTTGACATTTGAGCTTGGTTCAGAGAATGGCATTTCAAATATGTCTCCAACTCTCCCACCTCTGTTGACTTCTTCTACTCCTAATTTTCTCCAGCAGGTTGGTTTCATACGACAACTTGCTCCCAGATTTTAATCTTCATTTTAACATTTTAAACCTCTGTTTTAGGGTTTCAGAGCCTGCATTCTGTTATTCTTCACCCTCCTGCCCTTCTCTTCCCTTCCAGTGCAAGAGCGCCCTCAGGAAGAGCCTACTGTTCAGCCCAGGCTAGGAGAGTTATCTGTCTCTAAGGCCACCAGTGATTCGGTCAGTCTGTCCTGGAGCATACCAGCTGGGACTTTCGACTCTTTCCTGGTCCAGTACAAAGACGTGGAGGGCAAACCCCAGGTCTTGCCTCTCAGCGGCAACTCCCGTGAGGTCACCATCCCTGGTCTGGCTCCTTCTCGCAGATATAAGTTCAATCTTTATGGCATTAGCGGGCACAAACGCTTGGGTCCCATCTCTGCAGATACCATCACAGGTCAGAAGTTCTCTTTGCACCTGGAGTTTCTCCCTTTTTCCATGCTAACATCTTTCCTTCCTTAGGAGAACAGCCGCAGCTGCATTGAGGACCATAACTCCAGAATATATTTTTCTCTTTCACAAACTGTTCAGACTTCAGCTGAACAAACTCTTTCCTTTCTTTTAAACCTCCAAACTCAATTATTAATTATTAATTGCAACTTAATTTTCCATTCTACAGTAAGAGACGACTGAAATATCAGCCCTGTTTCTTCCCAGTTGGGATGTGAAGCTAGGATGAGGCCCTAAACTGAGTAGGAAGGCAAACAGAAAAAAAGCCATAACTTTGACTAAGGGGGCTACTAATCCCTAGCAGTGCTTCAGTCCAACCTTCTCAAAGCACTGGACCAAAGAGCTAGATATTTATCCCAACATCAGTATTTTATAGAACTTCAAAATTATGCAGAGAAAGACAAAATGTGCAATAAGCAGTATTTAACACTATGTGACCAGCATGGCATATTTTAAGGACTTCTTGTTGGTGAGGATATTTCTCAGAGTCAGGCACTACATATAGCCATAACATAAGTGGGGCCGTGGTGGTGTAATTGGTTAAATCAGGTATGGTGGACCCAGGCCCGAAGGTCGGATGCGGCCCCTTGGGCTCCTTTCTCAGGCCCTCCTCTCTCACACTATTCTATCCTTCCTTTCTTCTCTTTTTCCTTCCTTCTTCCCTCCCTCCCTCCCTCCCTCCCTTCCTACCCTCTCTCTTTCTCCCTTCCTCCTTCATTCCCTTCTACCCTTTCCTCCTTCCTTCTTTTCTCCCTCCCTTCTTCCGTCTCTCTGTCTTTCTCCTTCCTTCCTTCCTTCCTTCCTTCCTTCCTTCCTTCCTTCCTTCCTTCCTTCCTTCCTTCCTCCCTCCCTTCCTTCCTTCCTTCCTTCTCTTTTGTCTTTCCTCTTCCCTCCCTCCTATCCTTCCCTCCCTCTTTCTCCCTCCCTCCATTCCTTCCCACCCTTTCGTCTTTCCTTACTTCTCTCTTTCCTTCCTCCTTCCCTTCCTTCCATCCTTCTTTTCCTCCCTCCCTCCCTCCCTCCCTTCCTTCCGTCCCTTTTGTCTTTCCTTCCTTCTCCAACCACACGACTAGGAGGTGTCTACATACACAGGCTTGGAAATGGAGAAAGAATACCTCCCTCAGAGCTGGAGGTGAGCACTGCCTTCAGAGCCAGAAATGAAAGGAGAAGCCTTAGCCTTTGTCTGTGTATTTATTTGTGTCTCATTGTATGTCATTGTAACAAGGCATTTAATGTTGGCCTGTGTCTATTTATATGCTGTAATCTGCTCTGAGCCCTTGGGGAGAAGGGTGGAATATAATAATAATAATAATAATAATAATAATAATAATAATAATAATTATTATTATTATTATTATTATTATTATTTGAAACACAACAAGATGAGTCCACAGCAAACAAGATCACTCTGCTGGCTGTTGTATTGGATCACACGTCGGACACTTCCCAAGTGTCTAGGACTGTGTGATGTATCGGTGAATAATGCGTGCAGATCCCAGTAAGGTGGCCTTCTGCAGCTGGCAAATGGTAATTTTGTCAGCGCCGATTGTGTTTAAGTGTAGAGAGTTCTTCACCATTCGGGTTCTCACAACAACTCTGTGAAGTATGTTAGTTAGATCCACGGTACCCAGTGAGCAGTCATTTTGGATACGTGGGGTTTGGCTTTGCCTTTGAGAATAAAACCATTTTGAAAACAGTTGAGTCAGAACCCCTATACCTTGTATAATTCAAACACTGATGTCATGACATTCAATACTAAATCTCCATCACAAATCTCACCATCATTTTTTCAGTTTAGCATCCCATTTTTGTTCCAGGCCCGAGCACCAAACCACAGAACATAGCTCAGCTCAAGCTTGGAGAACTGTCAGCCCAGGACATCACGGCAGAATCTCTTCTCCTTTCCTGGACCATGAAGAGTGGGAACTTTGACTCCTTTATCATCCAGTACAGAGATGCAGATGGCAAGCCCCATGCTTTGCCTGTGGATGGGAGTTTGCGCTCAATGAAGCTTCATGACTTAGTCCCCTCTCATAGATACAGATTCAATCTCTATGGTGTCTCTGGACGCAAGCGTTTTGGACCTGTTTTCACGGAGGCCACTACAGGTCAGTTGTGACCATCTTGTAACTCGTTTTTTACTCCTTGATGCTCTTCTTTCTAGGTCAGAAAATGATATCTGTGCTCCAGCTTTGGATTCTGTTGTTATTTTTTAGTTTTAGTTTCAGGCTATCTGTGGAAAAACAAACAAGTGCAATGGACCCAACCCTAATGGGTGTGCAGCTTTTCTTCAGCATGGGTTATGGAAGAGGATCCCTTTAAACTCATTATTGTGTTTCCCAAGTTCTTGTTTGTGTCTTCCTTTGTTCCTATATCATCCATATTACTTTTACAAGTTCTGATGCTAGATCACCTCCTTTGTTACACGACTACCATAATTACAAAGCTAAGTAACATCTCCAGCCTCCCCATTTTCATTTACCGGACAGCAGCTGTTGCCAGTGACAAGAGTCTGTTTCTCTGTAAATCCGCTGGAAGAGACTACAAGGATGATCCAAACCACCCCTCTGATACTCTGCCTCAGACAGCAAAATGTCTTGGATCTCCCCTTTTGCTTCTTTGAATTATTGTATATGCTCATATATAAGTCTCAAAATTAACCTGAGTCAACTTATTCATTAGTCAATAGTAGTTACTTCTGAACCGCTTGACTCTGGCCCCTTCTACACGGCTGAATAAAATCCCACATTATCTGCTTTGAACTGGAATATATGGCAGTGTGGACTCAGATAACCCAGTTCAGATATTGTGGGTTAATCTGCTTTGATATGAATCACTGGACAGGAATATTGTGACAATTGCAGGATTGCCATCTGTGGTGGTGCTGTCACTTTCCTCTCTCCATGGAATGACCCTCCACTTTTCCAGGGTAGTATCTATTATTTTGGTCCCCAAACATGCCGTCAACTTATGCATGAGGTTGACTACTACACAAGTATTTACAGTAGCCAAATGGTAATATTTCAGCACCAGTTTCCTGCTCTTCTAAGCCTCATGTCTTTCTAAATCTTTGGGGAAATCTACCTTCTGCCTCTATCTTTCCTAACTGCAGCTGCTTCTGAAAAGGCACCCCCTCCACGGCCCACTCTGGGGGAGCTCTCAGCTTCTGACATCAACAGCACATCTGTCCGTCTCTCCTGGAACGTCCTGCTTGGGAATTTCGACTCCTTCATTGTCCAGTACCGGGATGCGGAGGGGAAACCCCATGCATTGCCTGTGGACAGAAACTCCCACGAGGTGGTCATCTACAACCTGGTGCCTTCTCGGAGATACAAGTTCAACCTCTATGGCATCTCTGGACGCAAGCGCCTTGGCCCCGTCTCTGCTGAAGTAGTCACAGGTACGACCCCTATTACTTACTTACTTAGACAATCCCTCATTGTCCAAGTAAGATTGTCCTCCAAGTTCAGTGTCCTGGCGGTGGGTCCGTAGGTGACTGTGGATCCCTATTCTTGACCTGCATCTTCTCCTGCAGTGAGGGCATCGGTTTCCAGGTGGAAGGTGGTCCCGGTTGGGGTTGGCTTGATGCACCTTCCTCTTGGCACATTTCTCTCCTTTGCCCTCCATTCATGCCTCTTCAAATTCTACAGCACTGCTGGTCACAGCTGACCTCCAGCTGGAGCACTCAAGGGCCAGGGCTTCCCAGTTCTCAGTGTCTATGCCAGAGTTTTTAAGGTTGGCTTTGAGCCCATCTTTAAATCTCTTTTCCTGTCCTCCAATATTCCGTTTTCCATTCTTGAGTTCAGAGTAGAGCAACTGCTTTGGTAGACTGCTTTGGGCATCCGGACAACGTGGCCGGTCCAGCGGGGTTGATGGTGGAGGAGCATCGCTTCGATGGTGGGGATCTTTGCTTCTTTCAGCACGCTGACATTTGTCTGCCTGTTTTCCCCAAGAGATTTGCAGGATTTTTCAGAGAAATTGCTGATGGAATCATTCCAGGAGTTGTATGTGACATCTGTAGACAGTCCACGCTTCACAGGCATACAGCAGGGTTGGGAGGACAATGGTTTAATAAATAAGCACCTTGGTATCCCTACCGATGTCCCCTACGTACGACCCCTGTATCCATGGGAGGATACATGAAACTGGATCAATGGATCTTTGTATTGATTAGTCCACTGACCATATCGACAATAATCAACAAAAGACAAAAATACACAAATAGATGCTAGTCGTCGTTACCCTAAAACTCCTATAATAATTAACTAAAATAAACTAAAGCACAGTAAAACTTGATTAAATAATAAATGAGGGTAAATTACAAGATGAAAAGAGAATGTAAAAGAATCTCTCAGAGAATGGATAAATTCATCACCATCATTGTTGTAAGCTGTCCCGAGTCCCTTTGGGGAGAGGGGATGTAATACAAATAAAGCCTATTACTGTGTTCTCAAAGGTTTTCATGGCTGGAATCACTGGGTTGCTGTGCTAATCAATGTGCCCGACTGAAACATTCACACCTCCCTCCAACAGACAAGAGTTCTTTCTCCCACTCTGGACCTTCCAGATATATAAACCTAAATTTCCTAGTTTCCAACAGTCCTCACAACCTCTGAGGATGCTTGCCATAGATGCAGGCGAAACGTCAGGAGACAATGCTTCTAGAACATGGCATTTAGCCCGATAAACCTACAACAACCCAACAATTTATTTATTCACGGATTTTCACCTTCATGGAGATCCAATGCCGCTAACTCGAGCAAATGTTATTTTCATTGCTCAATTGATTTATTATTGCAACTTCTAAATATTTGAGTTGGGAGGAATGCTCATGGATTGGTTAAGTCAACTTCCTCCTTTCCTTTCAGTCCAGCTTTCTAAATAAATGGGAAAGAATAAATCCATTTCACCTTCATCTGGGAACAGCTCCGCTGGCTAAGATTTCTCTTTTATTCTCCAGTTTCTGCATTTAAATGACAAATGCTGAGCAACTTCACTTTCGTGGGGGTTAGGGACTAAGGCCTCTGTGAAAGTGGGACTTGCAGGTAATTTGCAACTTCTGATTTGTTTGCTTTTAGAACGAATGGCAGAACCAGAGATCCGCCCAACGCTGGGCGATCTCTTCATCTCCGAGGTCACCCAGGACTCTGTTCGACTCTCATGGACCATCTCAGCCGGGAAGTTCAACTCTTTCCTCATCCAGTACAATGATGCCAATGGAAAGCCCCAGACTGTGCCCGTTGATGCCGAAGCCCGCACAGTAGTTATCTCCGACCTGATGAATTCCCACAGATACAAGTTCAACCTCTATGGCATCTTAGGCAGGAAGCGGATCGGACCGATCTCTACCGATGCAGTCACAGGTAAATGGTGCTTCGGTTTTTGTATCCAGCTTTGCAAACCATCTATAAATTTCTCTTCTGCTTCATCTTGTATTAGATCAATTTCCCCTGCTCCATGTTTCCATTTTTCTCCCATTCTTTGCAAAATAATATTTAGAATCCTAGAATCATTTAGCTGGAAGGGACCCCAAGGGACATCCAGTTCAATCCTTTGCTGCATGAATAGTCCAGGCGCTGAGGAGAGGTAAGTATTTTCTGTTGGTCATGGGAGTTCTGTGTGGGAAGTTTGCCCCAATTCTGTCATTGGTGAGGTTCAGAATGCTCTTTGATTGTAGGTGAACTATAAATCCCAGTAACTACAACTCCCAAATGTCAAGGTCTATTTCCCCCAAACTCCATCTGTGTTCATATTTGGGCATATGGAATATTCGTGCCAAGTTTGGTCCAGATCCATCATTGTTTGAGTCCACAGTTCTTTTGAGTGAAGGACATACATTGGGTTGTTAGGTGTCTTGTGTCCAAATTTGGTGTCAATTTGTCCAGTGGTTTTTGAGTTCTGTTAATCCCACAAACGAACATTACATTTTTATTTATATAGACTAGCCGTCCCCTGCCACGCGTTGCTGTGGCCCACATGGGAGTTCTGTGTCGGAGATTTCGCCCAATTCTATCGTTGGTGAGGTTCAGAATGCTCTGTGATTGTAGGTGAACTATAAATCCCAGCAACTACAACTCCCAAATGTCAAGATTCTATTTTCCCCAAACTCCACCAGTGTTCACATTTGGGCATATGGAGTATTTGTGTAGAGTTTGGTCCAGATCCATCATTGTTTGAGTGCACAGTGATCTCTGGATGTAGACAAACTACAACTCCAAAACCAAAGGACACTACCTCACTACTTCTGAGGATGCTTGCAATAGATGCAGGTGAAACGTCAGGAGAAATGCCTCTAGAACATGGCCCTATAGCCCGAAAAAACCCACAAGAACCAAAGAACACTGCCCGCCAAACCCTTCCAGTATTTTCTGTTGTTCATGGGAGAACTGTGTGCCAAGTTTGGTTCAATTCCATCGTTGGTGGAGTTCAGAATGCTCTTTGGTTGTTGGTGAACTATAAATCCCAGCAACTACAACTCCCAAATGACAAAATCAATTTTTTGAGTGAAGGGCATACATTGAGTTGTTAGGTGTCTTGTGTCCAAATCTGGTGTCAATTTATCCAGTGGTTTTTGAGTTCTGTTAATCCCACAAACGAGCATTACATTTTTATTTATATAGATGACAAATGTCAAAAATCAAGGTTTGCCTTTTGGGGTTTTTTTTTTAGAAGGATATTTTCAAACTGGGAATAATAAAATGTGTGGCTCCATGCTGTGAAACCCTTAGAGTTGTCATTTTAAAAGGTCTTTTATCCTTTTCTGCCAAGGAGTGCTGATGCGTTACCAAAATGCAACTCCCAGGATTCCATAACATTGAGCCCTGGCAGTGAAAGTGGTGTCAAACTGCATTAATTCTCCAGTGTACTGTAGATGCACTTGGAGTAGCTGAGGTCCCCTAATGGGTTTCACAGATTGGTGAGGACAAAGTTGCCATGCCAAACTCCCAGACTGGTATTGGGGGGGGGGGGGGGGTGATGAGGGGCTGTCATACAGTTCTTTCAGCAATGTTTTGTGGAAGTAGGGGGGATCAGACATCCTCCCCACCATCCGAGCCAGCAGAAAAAGATTTGCCTAGGACCTGTGGCACTTTAAACAAGACAAATCATGTCTCTTGATGAAGAAGGTCATGTTTCCAGGGTCAAACTAGTCTGGTGCCAAATGCGTCACTTGAAACTGTGTCAGAGTGTAAAATAAATAAATAAGGCATTGAAGAGAGGCTGATTTAAATCAGGACTGCAGCGTGCGAGGAAAAACTTAAGACTTTCCTTCCCAGGATTGTTGCCAGTTCAGGGGAATTTCAGACCCTGAAGTTTATGGGCCAAAAACCTGAATTCTAGGGATGGCCATTAAACTTAGCAAAGGACCCAATCCCGTCTGATCTTGAAAACTAAGCAGGGTCAGCCCTGGTTAGCACTTGGAAGGGAGGCCACCAATTAATACCAGGTGATGGAGGCAAGATTGCAGAGGAAGTAACAGGCAAAAGCACCTCTGAGTGTGGAAAATGTGACAATCCCCCACAGCAGTGGTTCTCAACCTGGGGGACAGGACCCCTGCGGGAGTCACCAGGGAGTGTCAGAGGGGTCGCCAAAGACCATCAAGAAACACAGTATTTTCTGTGGGTCATGGGGGTTCTATGTGGGAAGTCTGGTCCAATTTGATCGTTGGTGGGGTTCAGAATGCTCTTTGATTGTAGGCGAACAATCAATCCCAGCAACTACAACTCCAAAATGTCAAGGTCTATTTTCCCCAAACTCCACCAGTTTTCACATTTGGGCATATTGAGTATTCATGCCAAGTTTGGTCCAGATCCATCATTGTTTGAGTCCACAGTGCTCTCTGGATGTAGGTGAACTACAACTCCCAAACTCAAGGTCAATGCCCACCAAACCCTTCCAGTGTTTCCTGTTGCCCATGTGAGTTTTGTTTGCCAAGTTTAGTTCAATTCCTTCGCTGGTGGAGTTTGGATTGTAGGTGAACTATAAATCCCAAGAACTCAAACTCCCAAATAACAAAATCAATCAATTCCACTACTATTCAAATTTGGGCATATCGGGTATTTGTGCCAAATTTGGTCCAGTGAATGAAAATTGCATTACGATTCATAACAGGAGCAAAATTAGTTATGAAGCAGCAAAATAATGTTATGGTCGGGGTCTCCACAACATGAGGAACTTTATTAAGGGGTCGCGGCATTAGGAAGATTGGGAAACACTGCCCCACAGGCTTTTGGAAGCATGACCCTATTGAAGATTGTCATTCACACTATCTGGAATAATCATAACATTTGGAAAGGCATGACCGTGTTAGAGATCGTAGCCTTTTGTAAAGTATGGTCTTCCTGAAAAGAGTTAAAAACTTGCTTGAGTCAACCTTCTCCTTAGTGGTAAATATCCACTAGTTTTCATGGAAGGCAATTAGGTTTCTCAGCTGTTAGACTGATATACCTAGATATCTCTTTGAACTGTTAGGAACAAAGATAGGACAACGCACAGAAAACAGCAGAGTTTCAGAAGTGTTCTTTTCAGTTGCCCAAAATACCTACTCTTTCTTAAAACAACTCAGTTTAAATCAGGGGTACTCAAACTTTTTAAACAAAGGGCCACGTCACAGTCCCTCAAACTGTTGGAGGGCCGGATTATAATTTGAAAAAAACATGAATGAATTCCTATGCACACTGCACATATCTTATTTGTAGTGCAAAAAACACTTAAAAACAACACAATAATTAAAATGAAGAATAATTTTAACAAATATAAACTTATTAGTATTTCAATGGGAAGTGTGGCCTGCTTTTGACTGATGAGATAGGATTGTTGTTGTTGTCGTTGTGTGCTTTCAAGTAATTTCAGACTTAGGTTGACCCTGAGCGAGGGCCGTAAATTACCTTGGAGGGCCGTATCCGGCCCCTGGGCCTTAGTTTGAGGACCCCTTGGTTAAACCCTTGTGCTAGCAGGACTGATGACCGACAGATCAGCAGTTCGAATCTGGGGAGAAACAGGTTAAGCTCCCTCTGTCAGCTCCAGCTCCCCATGTGGGGACATAAGAGAAGCCTCCCACAGGATGGTAAAACATCATACATCTGGGCATCTCCTGGGCAACGTCCTTGCAGATGGGCAATTGTCTCAAACCAGAGGCAACTTGGAGTTTCTCAAGTCACCCCTAATACACTCAAAAGCCCTCAAAAAGCTCATGATAAGGTCACTTTGTGTTCACTATAAAGAGATGCAAAGAACTTGAAGGCATGTAATAACAGCAAAAGGTTAACAACAGCCAATTATAGAGGCACTTCTATGTATAAATACGTGAGAGGAAGCCACAGGGAGGAGGGAGCAAGCTTGTTTTCTGCTTCCCTGGAGACTAGGACGCGGAACAATGGCTTCAAACTACAAGAGAGGAGATTCCACCTGAACATGAGGAAGAACTTCCTGACTGTGAGAGCCGTTCAGCAGTGGAACTCTCTGCCCCGGAGTGTGGTGGAGGCTCCTTCTTTGGAAGCTTTTAAACAGAGGCTGGATGGCCATCTGTCGGGGTGATTTGAATGCAATATCCCTGCTTCTTGGCAGGGGGTTGGACTGGATGGCCCATGAGGTCTCTTCCAACTCTTTGATTCTATGATTCTATGAAAGGAAGACTGTGTGGGAGAGGAACAGGTAGTTTCTACCGTGATCCATATCTGTAATTTGGTGCCAGACATAGTTAGTGAATGTGCGGGGATAAGGTTTGGTCCTATTTCTACCCCTTGGCTTCCTAAATGAAAGACCGGGTTTGGAGCAGCCGGCTCTCATCAAAACAGCTGGATGAAGGCACAAAATGTAGAAATGTGCGGAGAGATTAATGGCTCACGTCAGGCTGCTTTACTAATGAACTGACAGCAGCAAAACGCTTAGGTTTTGTAAAGCAAACATGCCAAAAAAAAAGGGGGAGGAGGAAGGGGGAGAATTTGCTGGCGCCTCGCAGTTGTTATTAAATGATAAATGAGGCCAAGGGCTTGTTGCATACATTTCTCTCGGCCTTGAGGTCATCCTTGCAAATGAGCAGAAGCATTTGTTAGAAAGGCCCAGCAGGAGAATGAGCTACAGCTCCCACAGACCTAAAGCAGAGGGCAGGAAAGCTCAGCCCCCCACCCATTGAGTTTTGGGAGAATTGAGCCCCCCCCCCTGCAAAAAAAAAAGATATTGCAAAGTTGGACCACCACATCTCCTTTGTCATTGAACCCCTCCCTAGGAGAGTTGAATATGATCATTGTGTATCTAATTAATCGTATGCTTCCCAGATTGTGATGCTGGTTGTGGTGAGGAGGACGATAATCATGATGACTGTTTAATGTCATATTAAGATTAATAGGAGACATGATAGTCATGTTTAACTCTTTGAAAGGGCGTGATGTTGAGGAGGGAGCAGGCACTGCCGTGTAATCCAGTTCAATGTGGATTTTATACTTACTTACTTAGGCGATCCCTCGTTGTCCAAGTAGGATAGTCTTCCAAGATCAGTGTTCTGGTGGTGGGTCTGTAGGTGACTATGGAGCCCTATTCTTGACCCGCGTGTTCTCCTGCAGTGAGGGCATCAGTTTCCATGTGGAAGGCGGTCCCGGTCGGGGTCCTCTTGGCACGTTTCTCTCTTTCACCTTCCATTCATGCCTCTTCAAATTCTACAGCACTGCTGGTCACAGCTGACCTCCAGCTGGAGCACTCAAGGGCCAGGGCTTCCCAGTTCTCAGTGTCTATGCCAGAGTTTTAAAGGTTGGCTTTGAGCCCATCTTTAAATCTCTTTTCCTGCCCACCAACATTCCGTTTTCCATTCTTGAGTTTGGAGTAGAGCAACTGCTTTGGGAGATGGTGGTCGGGCATCCGGACAACGTGGCTGGTCCAGCAGAGTTGATGGCGGAGGACCATCGCTTCAATGCTGGTGGTCTTTGGTTCTTCCAGCACACTGACATTTGTCAGCTTGTCATCCCAAGAGATTTGCAGAATATTCCGGAGGATTTTATACAGCTGTGTGGAAGGGGTCTAAGGCCCCTTCTACACTACCATATAATCCAGATTAACAAATCAGAAAGCCCACATTATCTTTTCTGAACAGGATTATATGAAACACCAGTCGGGACTCCTGGGGGGGGGGTTATAAGGGGATTTCAGAAGGGTCTCCAAAGACCATCAGAAAACATATATTTCTGATGCTCTTTGGAACCTCTTCGGCAGAGAAGGCTGAAAATCTCTCTGCCGGTCCTCTTCCTTTTTGAAAACAGATGGCAAATCCTCCCACCAAAAGCCTCCCTCAGTTGTGATTGGCTGGCCTCTCAACCAAGGGGAAGGCTGTTTTTGAGACTCCAAGCAGGGGAGGGGGGAGCAGGAATGCTTGGTGCATGGCAGCATGGTGCACATGTGCAGGCGAGGAAGAGCATGTGAGGCTGGAGGAAGGCTCATGCCATCAAGTCCCTTCAAGGCATGGCAGCCCTTGGTGGTACAATGGGTTAAACCCTTGTGTTAGCAGGACTGAAGACTGACCGGTTGGAGGTTCAAATCCAGAAAGAGCGTGGATGAGCTCCCTCAGTCAAATCCAGCTTCCCATGCAGGGATATGAAAGAAGCCTCCCACAAGGATGGTAAAACCACAGATGAGGAAGAAGAATTGGTAGCGGAGTGCAGAACGCTTCCAATCCTGGCCATTAGTGATCTCTCCACATTGCCCCGACTCTTACATTTAGAGATGAACAAAGGCCCCTTCCACACAGTTGTATAAAATCCACATTGAACTGGATTGTAGACTCAAATAACCCAGTTCAAAGCAGATTTTGTGAATTATCTGCTTTAATATTCTGGGTTATATGGCGGTGTGAAAGGGCCCAAAGTGGGACAGCCAGAAACAGTGTTGTCAGTAAGGTCAATATCACCTGGTATGGTAACTCTTGATGTCACCCCGTGGACCACCTCCTGTACCCCCTGAGATGGGTGAAGAGTAGGCTTGGTTGATCCAAAAAAAAAATGGTTCAAAACTCATTTCGGATATAGGGGGCACTGGTCGTTCGATTCTAAAGTCAATTCTGATTTTCACAGAAAAAAAATCCAAAACGTTTTTGAAACTTCCGAGACTTCAGAATTCTTTCGTTAATGGTTTGAAAGTGTTATTTCCTGTTTCATTGGGTGGTCTTTACTTTGAAAATAGTTGTTTTACTCCAGAAGTGGGGAAAGCAAGCGGAGGAAATTTCTTCCTTTTCTGGTTTAAAACTGGCTTCTCTGGCTTGAGCCGAGGCCAGGAAATTCCTTCCTTCTCTGGTTTAAAACTGACTTCTCTGGCTTGAGCCAGAAGCGGGGAAAAGCTGAATCATTTCCGACTCACTTCCTGAGTCGTAACAAAAATGGCGGAAAAAGCTTCGGAAGGGCAAAGGGACTTCGAGTTTTAAAAAAAGCTTCGATATCGCTTCAAAAAGATAATTTTAACAAAATTATTACGAGTAACGAGTTATCCAACGCGACTCTATCTAGATGTCTCAGTCCCATTCTACACTGCCATATAATCCAGAATCAAAGAAGATTATTTATTTATTTATTTATTTTCAGTATTTATAGACTGCCTTTCTCACCCCTGGGGGGACTCAAAGATAATCCACATTATCTACTTTGAACTGGATTATATGAGATGAGTCTACACTACCATATAACCCAGTTCAAAGCAGATAATCTGGATTTTATTATTTTATATGGCAGTTTAGAAGAGGCCCCAGACATTCCTAGAGAGAACATTTAAAATTAAATAATCAAACCCACAAAAGTTAAATCTGAAAATGCAGGGAGGCAACTGTACTCACACACTAGAGGACCTAAAGAGACCCACAAACATTTCTGGTGGGGATTATTTGGCGTGTGCCTAAGTGAAACTGTGGATATTGAATCCGTGGATAAGGGGAGCATATTATATTTATGAAAATATGGTATTTAAAAAAAAATCTGCTGTGTGTCTTGTTATACTTCATTTGAATCTCACCTGTCCTGTTATGGCCTCTTCTTTGCCCATCCCTCTTCTCTCTTGGTCAGCTTTTCCCGATGCCTCCAATGAATCGGCCACCTTGTTGGAGAACCTGGTTGTTTCCGAAGTGACACCCACTTCTCTGAAGCTCACCTGGGAAGTTCCGGAGGGAGAGTTCGATGTCTTCCTGGTCCGGTGCAAGGAGTCTCTTCTGGGAAGTGGAAGGAGCCCCCCGCCACCCAAGGAAGTGTCTGTGATGGGAAATGAGCGCTCAGCTGTGCTCCGAGGCCTTACACCCAACACCGAGTATGGCCTTACAGTCTATGGCATCAGGGAAGGAAACCAAGTGGCCAACATCAACACAGCTGCAAGGACCAGTGGGTTAGGTAAGAAGATCGCAAGGGCCACCTTACTGTCCAAAATAATAGGGGTGGAGGGTGCTTGAGATTTTTTTCCTTTGTGTCAGGAGCAACTTGAGAAACTTCAAGTCGCTTCTGGTGTGAGAGAATTGGCCAAGTTCAGACAGAATCAGGCCTTGCTGGATGTATTGTTATTGTGTGCTTTGTGCGATTCTAAGGGTAGAGAGTGTGTGACTCACCCAAGGTCAAGGTCACCCAGTGAGTTTCCTGGGCTGACCAGGGAATCGAACTCTGGTCTCCAGAGTCATAGCCCAACTCTCAAACCACCACTCCACACTGACTTTCAACATCACCTTTATCTCAGGAGGATGGCCAGACACTGTTCCCTATAAACACAGAAGCAATCACTACAAATGGCAATAAATGCTAGATTTTCAGGTGTGGGAGTATCCCAGATCTGAGCCAAAAATCCACAGGATGACAGAAGATTAATTGGGACTCTCCCTGCCAAGTCAGGACTGTTGGAATGCACGAACCTAGAATCACAGAGTTGGATGGGCCTTCCAGTCCAAACCCATTCTGTCATGCAGGAATACATAAGGAAAGCATTCCTGACTGATGGCCATCCAGGCTCTGCTTTAAACACTCTGGAGAAGGAGACTTAACCTCACTTCCAGGCAGCAGCCTATTCCACTGCCAAATATTAGGACGTTTTTTCTTATGTTTACATGGAATCTCTTTTCCTGCAATTTGAATTCATTGCTCTGTATTTTAGTCTCTTGCTGGCTCCCTTCTCAAAGTGACCTCCTTTCAAATATTTAAATACTAATTGTACCTGCCACGCGTTGCTGTGGCCAACCTTCCCTCCCTCTTTCTCTCCTCCTTTCTTTCTCTCCTTTCTTCCTTCATCTTCCTCTTTGCTCCCTCCCCCCCTTTTCTTCCCCCTCCTCTTTCTCCCCTTTCTTCCTTCTCTGCCTATTCTTGGACTGCAATTCCCAGCAGTCCTCCTGATCAATCTATCTACAAATCTATCTCTCTATCTCTATCTATCTATCTATCTATCTATCTATCTATCTATCTATCTACTATCTATCTATCTTATCTATCTGGAGGATTGCTGGGAGTTGCAGTCCAGGAATAGGAAATTGGAAATATGCAGGGATTGGGATGCTCTCAAAGAAATCCAAGGAGAAGAAAGCTTGCAGCTTGGAAGCAGTGCATTTGGATCATCCTTCTCTCCTAAAGGGCCTGGTCTAGGGGATGCTGGGAGCTGTAGTCAGAGAGTGTGGATATGCTATTGTGTGTTTTGTTTGCCAGGGGGAGTCATTTTGCGCATGTGCTATAGCATCTTTTTGCTTTTTTGGCTTTTTAAATGTTCCCCTGTGTTTTTCAGTGTTTTATGTGATGGTCACTCATTGGCCTGATAAGTGTATTGTGTCCAAATTTCGTGTCAATTCCTCCAGTGGTTTTTGAGTTATGTTAATCCCACAAACGAACATTACATTTTTATTTATATAGATGGTTATTATGTCTATAGGTTTTTTCTTAATAGTGTCAGAAGTGACACTATAATTCTCTGGTATGAGAGAATTGGTGTGCAGGGGACAATAGTGTCAGAAGTGACACTATAATTCTCTGGTATGAGAGAATTGGTGTGCAGGGGACACTGGGATGTGTTAGCTGGAAGACTTCTCTCGTGTCCCTGCAAGCTAGAGCTGACATGTGGGAGCTCACCCCACCTCGCGATTTTGAACTGGCAACCTTCAGGTCAGCAACCCAGCCTTCAGGTCAGTAGTTCAGCCGACAAAAGGGTTTAACCCATTGCGCCACCACGGCTCAATCTATAGTTTAAAGGAAGGTAACTATAGCAGGCTGGGGCCGGGGGCACCAGCTTTAACTGGACCATTTCACCTCTGCTAAGAGGGCCATGGACGAAGGGATGAATGCAGAAGCCATGGTGTGGAGGGAGATGAGCTGCTCCTATGGGATGCAGCAAACAAACCAACAGCTGCATCCCAAAATTGGCTCCTTCAGCGATGGGTTGGAGTCCAGCTGTGGTTTCCTTTGTGAGGCTGAGAAATTAATCTCTGGCCCTTCCATGTTTCCTTTGCGGTCAGCTAGAATTGGCAGGGGTTAATCCCCAGAGAGAGGGAGGAAGGATTTAGTGGGAGAAGGATGGACGAGCGAGAGAAGTGCCAAAGCGTGGGCCCTTGTTTTGGAATGGCCACGTTGTTTCTCCATGTCACGCTGGAATTCCACTGCTCTCAACAAAGTTGTCATTTCTGTGAAAAAGTTTGAACTCGGTAAAGGGCATGAGATGAGAGCTAACCCACCTCCTTTGGCCCACACGCCATCAACAATCCAGATTACAATCACAACCTCCCCCTGCCCAGGTCTCAGAAATGTTACTTCGGGGACTACAAATCCTCCAGGCAGCATGCACACTGGCCATGGACTCCAGGAATTATAGTCTGGTCAGGACAAGCAGAATTTCTAAGAACTATTTCTGCCTTTCAAATGTCACTGTTAGGATTGCCAATTTGGGAGTTTCTGGGCCAAAACTGAAGTGTAAGGTGGCTCCTAGAAAGATTGTAAAACACTATTTATTAAGAGACCATCCACTTTCCAGAACGATAGCATTTTGACACCACTTTAACCACCATAATTCCATCCTATGGAATTCTGTGTTTTGTTGTTGTTTTGACAGATAATTATGCTTCCCTTTTTTCTTCTGAACGAGTAGGATAAATACCTCACAAAAATACAAATCCCAGAATATCATAACATTGAGCCATAACAGTTAATGTGGAGTCAAGCTGCTGTAATTCTGCAGCCTGGCTAGAGCCTCAGTACCAACCACAAGTGCTCTTAGTTTGTCAATCATATATATAAGCTGTGTTTTCCTCTTAACCTCTTAGCTATAAAGATGTTCCAAGATCTAGAAGAAGTTGTGGCATAATGAAAATCCCGCGTCGTTCACATTTTTGCCAGAGAAAGAAAATATGCCACACAGTAAAGAAAAAGAAGTTTACTCTTTTTAATGCAGAGCAACATATATACAATCATATGAACAGTCGCATTGACTCACACAATGTCCTTTTCAGAGAGATTCAAATGGTATTTAGGTGTCCGCATGGAAGATCTTCTTCCAGCTGCTCATGAAGCAAGAACTGTCCATCTCTCACTAACCTCTTGTACTGCTCATGCCCAAAAGTGTAACTGTTGCCAAAACTCCCAGGCTGAGCTAGCTCCCCGAGTGTGGCCCAACCAATCAGCTTCGTGCTTTGCACTTTCAGCTAATACAGTCACCAACTGATTTTTATATGCTCTAAAAAAAGTGAAGAGGTTATTCCTTCTCACTTAATTGCAAGGTGGGATAAATAATGTATAATCTAACCTACTTGTTTCAAAAGCCTGTGCTCAAAATTGTCCACCTGGGTGTCTGAGACAGTGACACCTTTGCTCTCTGATCATTCAAAACACACAAATATTCAGGCTATGCATAAACGGTGTCTATGAAACATAAATGAATTATGTGTTTAGACTTGGGTCCCATCTACAAGATATCTAGGCAAATATTCCAACATCCCTAAAAATCCAAAATCCCAAAGATCTTTGGTCCAAAACATTGGGGATAAGAGATAGCCAACCTGTATCCTTTCTAGAAATTTAATATTTTATTATCTAATGTTTCAACTTAATACATTGCTTAATTTAATCTTATCTTTATATAGTTGGCCCTCCAGATTGTGGATTTCACTATTAATTATTAATTAATTATTCACTGATTTGATTAATATTTTCTTTCTTGGATTTTCTGTGTCCTATAGGGAAACTCTGTGATCAACTCTACCAGAGAGTTATGCTGGAAGACCTAGAAATCCCTGGACCCCTTCTACACTGCTATATCATCCAGATTATCAAAGCAGTTAATGCATATTATCTGCATTAAACTGGACTATATGAATCTACATTGTCATATTATCCAGTTGTTGTTGTTGTTGTTGTTGTTGTTTATACCCACCCACTTTATCTCTCCCAAAAGGAGATTCAGTTCAAAGTCCAGTTCAAAGTAGATAATCTGGATTTTATATGGCAGTGTAGAAGGGGTCCCAGCAAGAACACCCCACTAGCCATTTGTAGATCCCCTAGCATAATTCTGTGGTCAACCTGCAGCAGAGGATGATCATAGAGTTCAGATGGAGGACCTAAATATTCCCAGGTTAAAAAATAGTGTTTATGATTTATCCATTTTCACAGGGGTCCTGTGCACCTAACACACCCCTTGAGTTTCATTATTGGAAAGAAAGGTTGGGTATAAACAATTAAATAAAATACATCATAAAAATGAATAAATGAATCCTGTCTCCTTTCTTCCAGAACTGGACAGTCCCCGGGATCTGTGGTTCAGTGACATCCGAGAGACCTCAGTTGTGGCCAACTGGAGACCAGCATCCTCCCGCATTGATCACTACAAAGTCTCCTTCCAGCTCTCAGATGGTGGTGAGATTTGGCATCCTCTTCCTGTCCCCCTGGGGGTTGGCCTGATCAGTTTGTTCACCATCCTGTAATCCAAGGGTGATTGTAGTACTCCAGCTCCCAGCAGCCCTAGTCAACAGTACACCCAATAATGAGTAGCAATGGGAGGTGCACCTTGACAACATCTTGAAGGTCCACATGAGAGTGTTGAGTAGTTTTCAGCCTTTTCAGATTTGCTTCTACCTTTTAACACAAGCATGTATCTCCACAGAGCTGGGTCAAATTACCTTTTTCAAATCTCAGAATCCCACAGCCAGCAACGATGGTTGAAAGATTATGGGATCTGTAGTCCCACAAGGTAGCCTAGATGTTTGTATCTTGATAGCCCTGCTGTTGCTCACCTGGTTGACCTGGATGTCCCAACTCGTTGAGGATGAATGCATAGTTCTGCAACCACTGGTGTAAAAATGGATTCTCACATTTTATTGCAGGTGAGCCCAAAAGTATCTTAGTGGATGGATCCAAGCTCAAAACAACCATCGAGGATCTGACTCCTGGGGCCAGCTATGAGGTGACTGTGATGTCTCTCCGGGGATTTGAAGAGAGCGAACCTTTGGTGGGCTATGTCACCACAGGTAACTCCTTGGAGGGAGGAGACATACATATTTTTATATCATGTATTTGCTGTTGTTGTTGTAATGTAACTTCAAGGTGTTTCTGCCTTATGGCGACTCAAAGGTGATCCTATTGCAGGGTTTCCTCAGCAAGATCTGTTCAGAATAGGTTTGCCTTTGCCTTCCTCTGAGCTGAGAAAGTGTGACTTGCCCAAGGTCACCTAGCGGTGTTCCGTGGTCTACAGATCACAATCCAATTCTTGTGTATGTGTGTGCATTTGTATATAGCTTTGTGTACTAGGAGTATCCTGTATTTACTTACTTTGACCTAAATTCAATTGTTAATGCCAATTAAAATAATCTCACTGAATTGCTAGAAATCTGACAAGTCACCATTTCTATAATTTGCCCCCGGTAGTGCAGTGGGTTAAATCGCTGAGTTACTGATCTTGCCAAAAAGTTGGCGTTTCGAATCCAAGGAGCAGGGTGAGCTTCTGCTGTTAGCCCCACCTTCTGCCAATTTAACAGTTTGAAAACATGCAAATGTGAGTAGATCAATAGGTTCCACTTGCTGTCCATTGCAGATCAGCCACTCCCAAATACACCAACTCTCTCTTCTTCCTATGGAGAAGAACAGTGGGCGGGCCAGACTCCTCCGATGTGCCACAATTTTGGAATTGTAATAATGTCTCTTATGTAGCAATATTTCTTGCTGATGTTGTTCCAAAGTTGTAAATAAATGATAGATGTTTTTCCAGCCTGACACTGCCTGGCTCCCCAGTTCCTGGCAGATGTTGACTCTCCTTAATTGGTGTTGGTAAACATTACGAGCCTTGTGTTGACTTCCTTCTTAATGTAAGGAACCTTGTAAACATTTCCTTAACTTAAAGAGCCGTTGTCTCTGATAATGTAAACACATTGCTTTTCACCAAAAGTTCAACCATTAATCATTTGTCTCTGATCATCAATGTCAGCAGTTCTGCAACTTTTAATTACAGTCCATGAATTCTTCACCTCCTTCTTGTAGTTTTCCAGGCTTCATCTTAGGATGGCATCTCTAGACTATATAGACCCCCAACCATACAACTTTCATACAATTCCATTCAAACCATACATCATATTTCATGATAATGTGATTCCATCTTAAGATGCACTTTTACCTTAGTCCAAGTATCAAGAATGTATGATTATGAAATTAAGAGATAATTGGCATCTCAAGCCAAGAATGAAGGTGGACTCCAGATTGGGTTGAAAGAGATCTTTCTTGGGCAGAGCTGTGCAAATTTTGCTTAGGAGTGTCACTTTTTAGTGTACTGCTCCAAAATCCCTACTGGCTGAGATTTTGAGCAGAAGAGTATGGCTTCCAGAGTCATAATCCAAGACTCCAACCATTACACCTTGATAGTCCTCTCTAGGGTCTACCTCTCTATTAATTTGGGTCCTAATTTGTGCTGCTAAACATGTCCTTCTCTTCCCTTACAGTTCCAGATGGTCCTTCAGACTTGCGGGCCATCAACATCACTGACTCCTCGGCGGTGTTGACGTGGCATCCGGCTATGGCTGAAATGAACAACTACATTGTCACCTATGGACCTGTTGGTGGTGAGAGCTGAGAACTTGGCAAAGACTGGGAATGGTTGTTTGGGTGTGGCCCCAAAGCAATGGTCCCTATTAAAAAAAACTAAGCAGATAACTAATGCCTGACAACCCAATGCCACAAAGGCCACAAGCCTGTAGTGAGAGTGGTGGGAGAGGTATACTAACCTTGGCTGATAGATGTATTAGCTGTTCTTGATTGATCTCCTGTAGATCACCCGTTGATCTCCAAGCAGATCGCAAATAGCCCATCTTCGTCTACTCCACCTGATGGCTGGAGCTCTCCAGGTATGACAGAGCTTTGGAAAGATCCTTTTTTTTGGACCACAGTCTCCAGAACTCATCAAATTAGCTTGAAACCAAACAATCAAGTACTTTATTACTGTTCTTCATTTTGTGCAAGAATGGGTTGAAAGAGGCTTATAGAGATTTACAAGGAGTAGTAAGGTGTGTTTTTTAAGCATTGCTTTTCTAAGCACTGCGGCAGAATTTATTTTCTAACCCACCTACTTGAGACCTTTTATCTTTTAGAAAAGTCAGAGACTGAACCAGACACTAGTGTCACTATTTATTTACAGTATATATATTTCTCCCTTATCACTCTGCAGAGGACACAGGGCGAATTACAATGCACATACACATGGCAAACATTCAAGGCCATTAGACATGCAGCATATATAGACAGACACAGAGGCAATTTAACATTCCAGCTTCCCGGCTTCATGAGGGTATGCTCACTTCTGGCCACAGGGGGAGCTCCCGCTTCACCGTCCACTTGTGACACCGGGTCCTTTGATGGAGCACTACCTCATTCTTCTGCACGCAGCTGGAAATTTGTATGGTGTTGTAAATTAGTTAAATTAGCCTCCTCACATATAGCGGTACCTAAATTTCCTACTTGACAGATACAATTGTCTTTCAGGCTGCATAGGTCAACAACAAGCTAGACTATTAATGGTCGGGGACTTATTTTGACCCAGGCTGGCTTTGAACTTGGTCAACAGTGATTTAATGCAGTTGGCTGCGCCACAGCCCAGTTAGTGTCCCCCAGTGCAATAATCCCATGGATGTCTTCCATACCAGACCACATCAGAATGTTGTAACCGAAGTACCAGAACATTTGAATGAATCAACAACTATTAAAAAACCCAACAGGAATGAAAACAACAGCATGTGCCTGTAGGGCATGCAGACAAAACCACATGATTCGAAGTGTTGTTGTACTTGGGTAACAATGACAGCTCTGACTGGAGTATATGCACATGTGAAGGTTCAGAAAGCATATTAGCAAAGTCTTACCCTTGATACACTACATATGGAAAAAGGTTTTTGTGGTTATATCTAACTAGAAGGAAAACCACATAAGTCAAAGCATAATTGAAATTGAGTAGACAGCTCTGACCAGATCCCATTCTGAGGCTGCTACATTTGAAACAAGGGTTCTTTTATGTCTCAGTCACCTCTTCTCTGCTTTGCCTAGATCCCAGAGTCTCCGAATCAGTGCCAGGGAACCGGGTCCAGCTGCGAGTCACGGGACTACGGCGGGACACAGAATACCGGGCCAGTGTCTATGGGGAGAAGGAAGGAAACCGGAGCTCCCCCATCAGTGCTACCTTCACCACTGGTAAGCAAATGGGACTGAAGAACAGATAACTAACCTATTTGAGGGGCAGCCTAAAGGTACACGATCCCATCTGCTCTTTGGAAGTAGACAACCAACAGACCTGTGAAAGCAGGGTCAGTCCTGGTTAATACTTCAATGTGAACACCAGGTACTGTAGACTGTGTTACATAGAGGGGAAAAACTGTCTCCCTTACCTAAAAAAATGGAAAATGTGAATCTCTATAACCATTTGGGGAATGGGATTCATAACCTTTTGGAGAAACCACTGGTCACAGGAAAGGCACAACATTTTTGGAAAAATGGCATTCACCAGCATTCATGCAACGCAACTAGGTCTCTCATTGTTAAACTGATGTACCTAGGTATGTCTTTGAACTGCTAGGGACAAAGACATGCCAATGCACAAAAACACATACTCAACAGAGTTTCAGAAGTTTTCCTTTAGTTGCCCAAAAACATCTCCTCTCCCTTAAAATATATTTGGTTTTAAAACATGCTTTCAAGAGACAAAATATACAGGCTTCTTTATATAAATAAAGTTTTATTATTATAATACTTATTATAATAAAGTTTTATTATTATTATACTTATAATAATAAATAATAATTATTTTACTTATAATAATAAATATATTATTATTATTATTATTATTATTATTATTATTATTATTATTATTATTATTATTCTCCCTTAAAATATATTTGCCTTTAAACCATGTTCTCAAGAGACAAAATAAGTAGTCTTCTTTAAAAGTAACAGAGTTGGTTTACTCACCAAACTTCATGTATACAGCATACATGCACTTTGCTTATGAATCCAGTTACAATAGCATTTTGTTTGTTTCTCTGTGTAGGTAACATAGGGCATCTTCCTTAGAAGCAATAGTCCATAGTCCAAAGTATATCTCTGTTTTGAGAGTCTAATAAGTCTCTAAGCATATTGTTCCAGCATTGAAGTCTAAAGCATACAGATGGAATGTGTCCAGAGGGGGCGACTAAAATGATCAAGGTTCTGGAGAACAAGCCCTATGAGGAGCGGCTGAAAGAGCTGGGCATGTTCCTTGTGTTGTAACCCACACTGTCATTGCCTTGCTTTTTAAGGTTCTTTTTTCTCACCCCAGGAGTGGATGGGCCCCGGGACCTCCGGGCCAGTGAGATCTCAGCCCGCAGTGCTCGCCTCACTTGGTTACCACCCCGAGCAACTCCGGGTGGATACCTGTTGAGTTATGAAACTCCTTATGGGCAACTAAAGGTACTTGAGCATCTTGTTTGGCTGTTGTTCTAAGCACAGCACAATTTGTGAAGACAGCATCATTAAAAATGTGTACTTTGTTTTCAAATGGTCACATATACACTGAACATATATCCAGTAAGTATTCATAAAGAGAAAACACAAGTGTCTGATTCCCAAATGGAGCTGCTGAGTGACATGGGCTTGGGTGTACAGTCAGTCCTCCATATTCAGTTGGGAGGGGGGCATAGGACCTCAAACAGTGAAAAATTTGCAAGCAGTTAAATTCCCCATCACTAGACTTATGCAGAACTTGGGTTGGGTACGATCTTCACAGACCAAGACTCATGGAAAATGAACTGCTAAAGGTTATGTGGTGCAAGAGCAAAAAGAAAGGAAAAGAAAGAAAGAAAGAAAGAAAGAAAGAAAGAAAGAAAGAAAGAAAGAGGGGAAGGGAGGAAGAATAGGGGGGAAGGGAGGGAGGGAGGAAGAATGGGAAGGAAGGAAAAGAAAGCAAGAGAAGAGAGAGGGAGAAGGGAGGGAAGGAAGGAAGAAAAAGAAAAATAGAAAAGAAAGGAGAAGGAAGGAAGAAAAAAGCAAGCAAGCAAGAAAGAAGGGAAGAGAAATAAAGAAAAGGAAGAAGGAAGAAAAACAAAGAAGAAAAAGAAGAAAGAAAGAAAGAAAAAAGAAAGAAAGGAAAAAGAAGGATACAGAAGGAAGAGGAAGGAAAAGAAAGAAAGAAAAGGAAAAGAAGGAAGGAAGGAAGGAAGGAAGGAAGGAAGGAAGGAAGGAAGGAAGGAAGGAAGGAAGGAGAAGGAAAGGAAAAGAAAGAAAGAAAGAAAGAAAGAAAGAAAGAAAGAAAGAAAGAAAGAAGAAAGAGGGGAAGGAAGGAAGGAAGGAGGGAGGGAGGGAGGGAGGAAGGAAGGAAAAGTTTGCAAATATGACCTGCTGCTTAATTGCTAGCCAAGCAGGTTTCCAAGGGAGGAAAATTCACCCCACACCTCAGTGCATTATCAGCCTTTATATCTTTTCCCAGGCTCACATTGCAATGTGAATGCCAAATACGTATATCCAACAAGGTCAGTATTATAAACCCTTTTGTGCCACTGGATAGTCTGACCATTTGGCCAAGATATGAACAAGAATTCCAAACCCAACAGCTCACCACACTGACTTTTGAAGTTACACTTTGGCTGTGCTGAGTGAAAGAATTTGGAATGTGTCGTCCAACCAAGTAATATTTCCAAGTTCTGATACAGATGATGTTTCACTTTCCAATTAAATGCTCGGTTCCAAAACTCAAAAGAGCAGGTTCCTCACTGTTTGCACCATAACTTCATTCTTATATAGTTAAAAAAAAGAGTCAGAAAGAGATATTTGGCTATCAGGAGAGTCTCTGCTGTCAACAGTCCACATTGATGAAATACCAACTAGTAGGTATCCTAGACCAATGATTCGAGTCCCCCAAGTACTTTGGACTTCATCTCCCAGAATTCCTGCCTATGGCCAAGCTGGCAGGGGTTTCTAGGAATTGAAATCCCAAACACCAAAGTTTAGGAATGATTGCATCTTGTGTTGTTGAAGGCCTTCATGGTCGGAATCACTGGGTTGCTGTGAGTTTTCCGAGTTGTCTGGCCATGTTCCAGTAGCATTCTCTCCTGATGTGTCACCCACATCTATGGCTAGTATTCTTGGAGGTTGTGAAGTCTGCTGAAAACTAGGCAAGTGAGGTTCATATATCTGTGGAATAATATCCAGGGTGGGAGAAAGGACTTTTGTCTGCTTGAGACAAGTGTGAATGTCAATACTAACCAAGGTGGCCAATTGCAACATTGTGTTCTCCCCCCCCCCCCCCCCCAGGCAGTGCAGCCAGACCTTGAAGCTGCAAGGCATTAAATGCTAATCAAGGTGGCCAGTTGCAACATTCTCACTTGCCTCAAGCAGACATGAGTTCTTTCTCCCACCCTGGACATTATTCCATAGATATATAAACCCCACTTACCTAGTTTCCAACAGACCTCACAACTTCTGAAGATGCCTGCCATAGATGTGGGCGAAACATCAGGAGAGAATGCTTCTGGAACAGGGCCAGATAGCCCTGAAAACTCACAGCAACCCAGATTGTACCTTGCTCCACATTGCACTGTGATGCAATTTGACATCATTTAAACTGTCATGGCTCCATACTATGGAATCATGGGAATTGTGGTTTTCCAATATCCTTGGCCTTTTTTGCCCCATCAAGCCACAAACTGTATTCCACGATGCATAGCCAGACTTACACATGTGTAACAAAGTTTAATGCACTAAGAAAATGGTAGGTTGGTTCATAACCAGAATGTAGACACATTACTTTTTATAGATGTTTAGCTCCTAAAAGGAGTGTTTCCAAATTCTAGATGAAGAACACACTTTGCCATCCCTGGTTCCCCTAGATTGGGCAACTCTCTTGTACATTGTGGTTTCGTTTCATTGCCACTCTCTCTGTGCTCCACAGGAAATCTCCTTGGATGCTAACATCACTTCGTATGAAATCCAGGACCTCGTTCCTTCCAGTAGTTACCAGGCCCAAGTCCAGGCGCTGAGGAGAGGGATGCCCACAGCTCCCACCTCCACTTCCTTCACCACCGGTAACAGTTTCCTTTGGGGAGGATTTTTATCCTATCTTGACATATCTTTTCCCACATTAGGATTTTGCAGTGGGCCAGAAGGCTTGGTTCCATTACAAGTCCTTCTACTGCAGAAATAATGTGAAACAGTCAATGGGAAAGAGATACGGGCATCTTAATAGACCACAAGCTGAACATGAGCCAACAGTGTGCCGTAACAAATTCTGGGCACCACAAATGAAGGGAGACGTTGACTCTAAGCTGGAATGTGTCCAGGGGAGGGCAACTAAAATGATCAAGGGTCTGGAGAACAAGCCTTATGAGGAGTGGCTTAAAGAGCTGGGCATGTTTAACCTGCAGAAAAGAAGACTGAGAGGAGACACAATGTGGGTCATGTATAAATATGTGAGGGGAAGTCATAGAGAGGAGAGAGCAGGGGCCGGAGGTTTAACACAGCTGGTAAATCATCAGCAATTATAAGATCTATTAACCAAAAGGTTGCAAGTTCAAAACCCCAGGTTGGCGTGAGCTGCCAACTGTCACCTTAGCTCATTGTTTACCTAAGCAATTTGAAAAGATCTTTAGCTGTAATTAGATAAATTAGGTACCTCTAAAAAGTGGGGGAGGTGTTTTACGATGCCATAAACAAAGAAGATCAGAAAATGCTTGGCGACCAAAAGGTAGGAGAAAGTCCTGACGGCTCTGCGTCATAGACGATAGAGCAACAGCACCGCCTGGACTCGAGCCCAACCTTCCATGGCACCAAAAATAGCTGGACACTGAGTAAAAAAAAAACCACCTCCTTCTGTTCTGTCTGTGTATTGTCTATACAAAGCGGCATTGAATGTTTGCCGTGTATGTGTACTGTCATCCGCCCTGAGTCCCCTTCGAGGTGAGAAGGGTGGAATATAAATAAAGTGGTTTTGTTGTTGTTGTTATTATTATTATTATTATTATTATTATTATTATTATTATTATTATTATAGCAGGCCTGTTTTCTGCTGCCCTGGAGACTAGGATGCAATTGAACAACAGCCCTGCACTTCAAAGTGTGTGTAGACACCACAACTGGTCTTATCCAAACCACTCTGTTGTCGTCTTGTTTACAGTTTGGCTATATCTTACGGTAGTTGTCACCAGAAGTCATTGGGTGTTGTTTTGAGTTTTAAATTGTTGTTTTATATGTTTCTGGTTTTACTTTATTGTATTGTAGTGTGTGTTTATGTTTTGTTTTAGGCATTTTGTATCATATGTAAACCTCCTTGAGTCCCATAGGGGAGATGGAGGCGGGGTTACAAGAATAAAGTTGTTGTGGTGGTTATTATTATTATTATTATTATTTGGGTTGTTGTAGGTTTTTTCGGGCTATATGGCCATGTTCTAGAGGCATTCTCTCCTGACGTTTCGCCTGCATCTATGGCAAGCATCCTCAGAGGTAGTGAGGTCTGTTGGAACTAGGAAAAGGGTTTATATATCTGTGGAATGACCAGGGTGTGACAAAGGACTCTTGTCTGCTGGAGCTAGGTGTGAATGTTTCAACTGACCACCTTGATTAGCATTTGATGGCCTGGCAGTGCCTGGGGCAATCTTTTGTTAAGAGGTGATTAGATGTCCCAGATTGTTTCCTCTCTGTTGTTTTGCTGTTGTAATTTTAGAGTTTTTTAATACTGGTAGCCAGATTTTGCCTTCAACAATACGTCATCATAATCATTATTATTATTATTATTATTATTATTATTATTTATTATTATTATTATTTGAAACACAACAAGGTGAGTCCACAGCAGACACTCTGCTGGCTGTTGAATTGGATCACACGTCGGACACTTCCCAAGTGTCTAGGACTGTGTGATGTATCGGCGAATAATGCGTGCAGATCCCAGTAAGGTGGCCTTTTGCAGCTGGCAGATGGTAATTTTGTCAGCACCAATTGTGTTTAAGTGCAGGCCAAGGTCTTTAGGCACTGCACCCAGTGTGCCAATCACCACTGGGACCACCTTGACTGGCTTGTGCCAGTCTTTGCTGTTCGATCTTTAAATCCTCATCGTGTCATTATTATTGTGCTGGTACAGCTGTACCAGGAGCTCCAACTTTATTTGCTTTGTTTTAAATGTTTGCTTGCAGTCCAAGGTTTCAAGGAGTCTGCAGAAAGGTGGCTTCCTCTGGTTGCAGTCGTAGGGCAAGTCACCTGTCCATCATCGTTAAGTTTTGGTTCCGCCCCTTGCTCAGGGCAATTGGGAAGGGAAGGGAGCCATTTTTAGTTAGTCTCAGTAAGGAAAGCTAATGTAGAGGACGTGTACAAGCTTCTCCTGTACAAAAGCTTCAACCCTTAAGACTTTCTGGGGGAGAACAGTCTTAAGAGCATCCAAAGATCTCCAAAGATTTCCAGGGAAACATCCCTAAAGCTTTGAGGAATTTCGGAGGGTGAACAGTTTGAAAGACCAAAGAACTCCAGCCTTACTGGTAGGTCCACTCAGTGCCCAAGATGCAGATTGACCCGGTAGCGGAGCCCACATCAGTAAGGATTAGATTACAGTCAGCCTGGGAGAAGTTAAAAAGGGTTTTTCCTACAGAGAAAGTTTAGTTAATCAAAGTCAGGTACCAGTCCATTGAGGACTAGACTAAGAAAGCCTTGAAGTGTTGTTTGAACCATTGAAGATTTGTTGTTTGTTCCATAATAAAGACTTTGTTGCATTATCAAAGACTCTAAAGACAATCACTTCAGAAAAATCCCTGAGAACTTCTCTTCGGGGGGGCCCTGGCTTCCCACTGGGTTCAAGTTGCATGTCCTATTTAACGACAATTCTTTACAGGCCCAGCATGTGACAGAACAATTATTATTATTATTATTATTATTATTATTATTGTTATTATTATACTGGGATAGTCACTGACAGTGCTATCCTTTCTTTCCTCGGTAGAGCGCCTGACCTACCCCTTCCCTCGGGATTGCTCAGAGGAGAGCCTGAATGGGCCAGGACCCTCCCGGGTGACAACGATTTATCTTGGAGGCAACCGAGAGCGGCCCTTGCAGGTGTATTGTGACATGGAGACGGATGGAGGTGGCTGGATAGTGAGTATGATTAAGAATGCAGCTGTAGAGTGGATTGATCACCAGAGATGCCCTTTTGTTCATCTGCCGCAAACTGTGACAACAACCCAAGACTCTGGAGTTTTCGGTTTTAGAAGAGGAAAAAAATTCTGAGTCTGTTGCAGACTTGACCATTCTAATGCACTTTATGTCTTAGACTACGGCAACTCCTACTATTCCCCCAACCAGCATGGTTTGCTGTATACCGGAAAATATTAGATATACTTACTTCTAGTTCTTGATCTTTCCATCCTTTCAACTATCTACCTACCTGTACAACGGAGGAAATAAACTTTGGTTTATGAAAGAGTATGGCATTCTTTGCAGACTTGTCATTCTCCAGAACTCGTCTTCAAGGCAGCCTTGTTTGGACAGTGCTACCAAGCCGGAGGGAGCATTTATTTATAGCATCGCAATGCAAAGTCCCAAGTTCATTCAGTCAGCAAAGAGAGCTGCTTACATGATGCACAAACTCACAACCATGTGCTTTTCCTACTCCTCAGGTTTTTCAGCGCCGGATGAATGGCGAGACTGACTTCTGGCGTGACTGGCAGGATTATGCCACTGGCTTTGGCAACCTTACTCGGGAATTTTGGCTGGGTGTGTATATATGTCTCTGCATGTCTTACTCTTGCACAACAGAGGCTTAAAGTCCACCCACTACATTTGCTGGGGTTAGGGGCATAGGATCATGAAAGTGAGACAATGCACATTTCAATATTGCTATTTTTTCATCTTAGAGAATAACAATAAAACTTTATTTCTAGACCGCCCTCTCTCCCAAAAGGGACTCAGGGTTGTTTACACATAGAAAGTGGCAAACGTTCAATGCCTTACAAAGTACAAACAACATCAGGAATAATACAAAATAACGCACAATATTAACAGTAAACTTATAATTAAAAAAATAAACCTTGAAATGAGGACTAGGTTGCAATAAACCAAGTTAGACAATAAACAAAGATATGAGTGAACATTAAACACACATTTATTTCGTTAGGGAGGGAGTTCCAGAGACGGGGAGCGATCACAAAGAAGGCCCCCTCTCTCGTTCCCACCAACTGAGACAGATTGGGATCGAGAGCAGGGCCTCCTCCACTGACTGCAGTGCATGAGATCGACTATATATGGAGATGCGATTGAACAAATAGCCTGGACCCAAACCATTTATTTATTTACAACACTTATATGCCACCTTTCTCACCCCAAAGGGGACTCAGAGTGGCTTACAAGTAAAAAGTAAATACAATATATTACTATTATCATAGCACAATATTAATATTATATATTACATTGTACTGTAATATTATACTCTAATATTATTAGTAATATTACATTTAATATAAAATATATAATTATAATATCATTTTATTAGTAGTATATTGTATTACATTATAATCTTATCAATATTATATGATTATATTATATTATATTATATTATATTACCGTATATTATATTAAGCACAGTGCAGGAGACAAGATGGAACTGCCTTCCTGGCCCCTCTCTTCACTCTGATCTCAGAGCAGTGGTTGGTGCTGGAGGGGGGAGGGGGCTTTATATGTAACAGCCAGCAGTTGTGTATTGGTTTATGACCAGTTACCAGTGGAGCTGTCACAGCAAGGGAGTTGTACTCTCAAGATATGGCGCTCCAGTTAGCAATCTAGCTACCAATGTATGTTGTCGAAGGCTTTCATGGCCGGAATCACTGGGTTGTTGTAGGTTTTTCCGGGCTATATGGCCATGTTCTAGAGGCATTTTCTCCTGACGTTTCGCCTGCATCTATGGCAAGCATCCTCAGAGGTAGTGAGGTCTGTTTTCCTACTTCCAACAGACCTCACTACCTCTGAGGATGCTTGCCATAGATGCAGGCGAAACGTCAGGAGAAAATGCCTCTAGAACATGGCCATATAGCCCGGAAAAACCTACAACAACCCAATCTAGTTACCAATCTCTGCACTAATTGCAGCTTCCAAACTATCTTCAAAGGCAGCCCCAAATAGAGAGTGTTGCAATAGTCCAAAGGGGATGTGACCAAAGTGTGGACTACTATGGCCAAGTGTGTCGTCTCAAGGTATGGGCGCAACTGGCGCACAAGTTTTAATTGTGCGAAGGCACTCCTGGCCACCTGGGGTTTCAGGGCTAGAGATGAGTCCAGGATCACTCCCAGACTGCAAACCTGTGTCTTCAAGGGGAGTGTGACACCATCCAACACAGGCCGAAGTCCCACACCTTAACTACTGACCAGGAGTACCTTTGTCTTGCCTGGATTTAGCTAAAGTGAACACCTCTTTAGGAATTGCTAGGTCTTCCAGTGTGATTCTCTGGTCAACCTTCAGGAGGTGTTTACTGTAGAGTTGTGCTGGCGGACCCAGAGATTCCTAGAGATGTGTTCTCTCTAAGAATCTCTGGGTGCTCCAGTGTGGGTCGATGTATAATTATTTTCCAGTGGAAATCATATTAGAATTTTATGTCTTAAACTGCGGGATTCAATCCCAAAGAGGTCACTTTGGCTCAATGTTGGGGTCCTGAAAAATTTGGCAACAATAAGAAATTTGAACATCACCTAGTGGCTGTTTTAGACATTTACACAAATCTGCTGTGCAGTGTTTACAGTGTTTACATAAAACAAATATCAGTCCAAAAGGAGTCCTGAGTGAAAAAGTTTATGACTCCCTGCATTAGAAGACCTAGAGATTCTTAGAGATAACCTTCTTATCAAAACAGCAAAAGTCAAACCGGGAACTGGAAAGGCAGCCTTTGTGTTTCCAAACTCTGGTTTGCCTTCTGTATCAGGATTTTGTTATCCGGGTCAAACTCTTCCACCATCCTTCTGCCTCACCTCTCCTCTAGCAACAAAGAGAGTTCCACTACCTTAAGCCACCTCTCCTCGTAAGAAGAGCATCAAAAGAGCCAGTCTGACCTTCTAGACATGTGGTTGTGAAAGCGTGGGAGTCATTCCGCTCTTCTGCTTGCTCCTAGGGAACACGGCTTTGCACCAGCTGACGTCTTCAGGGGACTATGAGCTGCGAGTGGACCTTCGTGCCGGGAATGAGTCTGTCTATGCCAACTACCAGAGTATCCGCGTCGATTCCCCTGCTGACTATTACCGCCTCCACCTGGGCCATTACAGTGGCACAGCTGGTAAGAGTTGGGCTGGACAGGCATCAGACTGTGGCCGAAGGACTGTGGTTTGCCCTGCCATGAATAAAACCATTGGGACAATGGGATTTACTTACCTGTCAATTCACCATTCTACAATTAATTGCATGGGTTTAGAATCAAAGACTCACAGAGTTGGAAGAGACCCCCCCCCCTTGCGCAAGGCCATCCAGTCCAGAAAACACAATCAAAGCACACCTGACAGATGGCCATTTTCTGCAGTGGAATCCCAGGCAGCCTATTCTACTGTCAAACAGCTTTTACCATCAGGAAGTTCTTCCTAATATTTAGGCATGTTTAGCCTGAAGAAGAGAAGGCTGAGAGGAGACATGATGGCCATGTATCAAGATGTGAGGGGAAGTCATAGGAAGGAGGGAACAGGCTTGTTTTCCGCTGCCCTGGAGACTTGGATGCAATGGAACAATGGCTTCAAACTACAGGAAAGGAGATTTCACCTGAATATGAGGAAGACCTTCCTGACTGTGAGAGTTGTTCAGCAGTGGAACTCTCTGCCACGCAGTGTGGTGGAGGTTCCTTCTTTGGAGGCTTTTAAGCAGAAGCTAGATGGCCATCTATCAGGGGTGCTTTGAATGTCATTTTCCTGCTTCTTGGCAGAATGGGGTTGGACTGGATGGCCCACGAGGTCTCTTCCAACTATGACTCTATGATTCTAATGTTTGGGGAAAATCTCTTTTCCTGCAGTTTGAATCAATTCCTCCAAGTCTTAAGTCTCTGGAACAACAGAAAAGATGCTTGCTCCTCCAATATTTGTTTGTTGTATTTGTATAGCGCCCTTTTCAACCTCAAAGGGAACTCAGGGCAGTTCACAAAATATAACATCTTTTCAAATATTTAAACTTGGCTATCATGTCCCCTCTCAGCTTTCTGTTCTCCAAGTTATTTATTTATTTATGTATTAGCTTTACCTGCCACACGTTACTGACTGTGGCCAACCTTCCCTCCCTCTTTCTCTCCTTCTTTCTTTCTCTCCTTCATTTCCTTTTTTTCTTTCATTCTCTCCTTCCTTCCTTATCTTCCTCTTCCCTTCCCCCCCCTTTCTTTCCCTTCCCCTTTCCCCTCGTTCATCCTTCTTGACCTATTCTTGGATTGCAACCCCCAGCAGTTCTCCTGATCGATCTATCTACCTATCTATCTCTATCTAATCTATCTACCTGGAGGATTGCTGGGAGTTCAGTCTAGGGATAGGAAATTGGAAATATGCCGGGATTGGGATGCTCTCAAAAAAATCCAAGGAGAAGAGATCTTGCATCTTGGAGCCCCCGGTGGCGCAGTGGGTTAAACCCTTGTGCCAGCAGGACTGAAGACTGACAGGTCGCAGGTTCGAATCCAGGGAGAGGCGGATGAGCTCCCTCTACCAGCTCCAGCTCCTCATTGCGAGGACATGAGAGAAGCCTCCCACAAGGATGATAAAAGCATCAATACATCCGGGTGTACCCTGGGCAACGTCCTTGCAGACGGCCAATTCTCTCACACCAGAAGCGACTTGCAGTTTCTCAAGTCGCTCTTGACACACAAAAAGCACTAATAAAAGAAGTGCATTTGGATCATCCTCCTCTCTTAAAGGGCCTGGTGTAGGGGATCCTGGGAGCTGTAGTCCGGAAGAGAGTATGGATATGCTATTGTGTGTTTTGTATGCCGAGGGAAGGGCAGAGATTTTTGCACATGTGCTGTAGCGTCTTTTTGCTTTTTTGGCTTTTTAAGTCCCTTCTGCTGTGTTTTTCAGTGTTTTTGTGAGTGATGGTCACTCACTGGCCTGATAGCTGTATTGTGTCCAAATTTGGTGTCATTATATTTTTATATAGATTTGTTTATTTATTTACAGTGTTTATATTCTGCCCTTCTCACTGCAAAGGAGACTCAGGGCTGATCACAGAACATACATATGCGGCAAACATTCAATGCCATTTTATACTCAAACATGACAGACAATTTACATAGATAGAGGTATATATCGGCTTTTCTCATCTCTGGTGTCTTGGAGGCTTTGAGATCAGTTCCAGCCCTGGGGCGGTGTTGTCGCTCCATCTCCCTGCCAAAAAGCTTTTGTTCGTTAACTTCTTTTGATCAAATTGCTGGCATTCCTTATGGGTGCCTCAGAATACTTTTTAAAGTGGTACCTATTTATCAACTCATATTTGCTTTTGAACTGCTAGGTAGGCAGTACCCAGCTCCCTAAGCGGATCCTCATAGGGTTTGGTTTACAGAACTTTGACTATTTTGGTTGCCCTTCTTTGGATACATTCTGACTTGTCCACATTTTTGTTGATTTGTGATGCCCAGAACTGGACATATTCTTCTAAGTGAGGTCTGGCCAATGCAGAATAAATAGAGTGATTAGCCTCCTCTTCTCCAGGCTAAACATATCCAGCTCCTCAAGCCACTCCTCATAGGTCTTATTCTGTTCTAGTTGGGACTAACTAACCAGCAAAATGATCATCCTGTATGTGTTTGTCCCTTTCAGAGAATTCAAGAGTGGGAGGGAAACTAAGGTGAGAATCCTTCCTCCTTTTCACTCTCACGTCATTTCTTCTTCCACAGGCGATGCATTCAGCTATCACTCAGGTAGCGTCTTCTCCACCCGGGACCGGGACCCCAACCGGCTCATCATTTCCTGCGCTGTCTCATACCGGGGAGCCTGGTGGTACCACAACTGCCACTACGCCAACCTCAATGGGCTCTACGCAAACAACCGAGACCACCAGGTAGCCCAATACGTACATACAAATATGAGGGTGGGAGGAAGAGAAAGGGCAGGGATGTTGGGCAACTGGGCTTATTAACAAAAGACCCTCCTTATAAATGTGCAGCAGAGTAACTTATTAGCAGCAGCATTGTCCAGCACCAGTAGCCAAAAATGATCAAAAGAACAAAAAACTCACAGACCAATGTTATCTCTTCCTTAGGAGGCTTTTCTTTATAGCAAAATAATATAGTTAATCAAGAAGCAGGAAAATCACATTCAAAGCACTATTTACAAGAACAAGGTTTCCATAACACAAATAAGGTTCTTTATACTTCCTTCTTTGCTTTCACATTGGGCTTCTTTCTCATGCAGATAAAAAGCTTCACTCTCACAGAGCCTCTTCTCACACTAAACTTACACAGTAGCCTTTTACACACAGTAGCCTTTTACACACAGTAGCCTTTTACACACAGCAGCCTTCACACTGGAGCTTTACACACAAGGCTTTCAACCTGGGGCTTCTCTCACCAAAGCCTTTTTACATCGGGCCCCTCACACTGAGGTCTATTAACACTGAGGTTTACCTCACACTGAGGCCCCTCTCAGACTGAGGTCTCTCTCAGACTGAGGCCTCTTCATACTACTAAGGCCTACTAAGCTACAGGCACACCTGCTTACATAAAACTACAGGGGTTTTTTTTGCTGAGCCATTGTATCCATATCATGATGATGATGATTGTAATAATAATAATAATAATAATAATAATAATTTATTTATTTATACCTCACCACCATCTCCCCGAAGGGACTCGGGGCAGCTAACATGAGGCCAAGGCCAAGCAATTACAATAAGGCAAAATAAAATGCATACGAAAGTGGGAAGGCTTTATTTCTCAAAGCATACATTGGGGTACGATACAAAATTCCAACTGACAGTTTATTTCCCTCACGCCTCCTAGACCTTACCCTGGCCTCTCCCCTTCATTGCTCCCATTTCAAATATACACAGGCCAGGTCTAAGGCATGGTCTAATTTCCTGGCTTCACACAAAACCATGGCCATATAGCCTGAAAAAACCTACAACAACCCAGGCTATAAGGTCATGACAAGGTCTGATCCTGCTTAGCTTCTAAGACCAGATGGGATCTTGTGCCTTTAGGGCATTTAGGCTCTTCTGACCGGACATATTTGCTAGTTAAATCACCCCTAATGCATCTGCTTCTTTTCCTCCTAACCATTGGTGTCCCAGAGCATAACATTTGTAGTGTCCCTCCTTCTTGTTTCTCAGCTCCTCTTTTTTCTCTTTCTCATTCAAGGGCATCAACTGGTTTAACTGGAAAGGCTTTGAGTTCTCCATCCCCTTCACCGAGATGAAGATTCGGCCCCGTGGCTTCCAGCCTTTGCGGCGGGCGTGAGCAAGGAGGCCTACAAAGGGACTAAAGGGGAGAGCAGAGGAGGAGAAGGAGGAGGAACAAGATCTCGCGGCTGCTCCTCTCATGATGGGATCCCTCACACTCTCCCTGAGCAAAAGGAGAAAGCAAGAGCGAAAACAAAGGACAGCAATGAATGGATATTTCCTAAAAGCACCTTGTATTGTTGTTATTATGATTATTTTTCCTGCCGTGCACCAGCCACAGAATGCCAAGAATCCAGAGTCAAGGACAGTAGAAGAGATCAAGGAGGATCACTATCCACCTCCCCACTCAGCAACCTTTCTTTCTGAAAAGCCATTGAAAACAACAAAGTTGACCAGATTCTCAACCAGCCATCTCCAAAATGGACTGACTGCTTACCCGGTTGCCACCAATTCTGGTTTCTCCTCTCACTTGGCAGCCCTGAGAAGAATAAACGTTGATCTTGTGTCCTCCAGTTGCATCGCCCTTTCTGTACACATTCTCTGCAGATCCATCACCAGAGATTTGGACAACAACTTCCAGTATCCATCCGCCAGCATTGTCAGTGGCATTGTTGACTGTGGATTCTGGAAGGTGCAGTCCAAAACAGAAACTGTTTTCAAGCTCAGCTTGTCCCGCCTTTCTCCAATGTAAAGCTGTTTACATTCACCCATTTTCTATCATTATCACCATCTCCTCTTCCTCCTCTTCTCCCTCCCACAGGCACCATTGTAAATCAAAGCACTTTTTAATAAGAATTGTGATGCTGGTGATGCATTTTTTTTATTTTTCCCCTCCTGGGAATCTTGTCAATTCAAACCATGATTGCTGCTGCCTCTCCAACCTCCCCTCCGGTTGCCCACTAAGGTCCTTGCATCCCATCCCATGGATCATGAGTGGTCATTGTAAAGGTAAAGGTTTCCCCTTGACATTAAGTCCAGTCGTGTCCAACTCTAAGCCGAAGAGCCGGCGTTGTCCATAGACACCTCCAAGGTCATGTGGCAGGCATGACTGCATGGAGTGCCGTTACCTTCCTGCCAGAGTGGTACCTATTGATCTACTCACATTTGCATGTTTTTGAACTGCTAGGTTGGCAGGAGCTGGGGCTAACAGTTCTGCAGCTCAGCATTTTAACCCATTGCACCACCGCAGCCCCCGGTCATCGTAAAACTAGGATGGAAATCCCCCAATTTTTTTAATAGTGTCAGAAGCAACTTGAGAACATATTGCAAGTCACTTCTGGTGTGAGAGAATTGCCCATCTACAGAGAATTGGCCACCTGGATGTGTTATCATCCTACTGGGAGGCTTCTCTCATGTTCCTGCAAGCTAGAGCTGACATTTGGGAGCTCACCCCATCTTGCGGATTCGAACCGGCAAACTTCATGTCGGTCCCAAAACTGGTGAACAGAATGAGACAGTGGGAGGAGACAGAATAGGTGGCCCTGAGCAGAAGGGATGGAACTGAAATCAAAATTTAAAAATGGATAAAATTAAATTCAAAATAATCTATTCATATCAAGCAAGGGCCAAATCGGTTAGTTGAGTATCATACACTCAGTTTACAGATAAATACCAGGATACGTGTGCCCAAGCAACATCAGAGTGTGGTTAAGACAGTAAAAAGTATTGCGGAAAGATATGTTTGCTAGAAGGTGCAGCAGTTTACTATTGCCTGAGCCTTCTGGGAAGGGCAGGACGGAATGCAAACTGTTTTTGTCATTTGAAGCCAGTTTTCAGTAATTTGGGTAGTGAGGAACCCAAAGTCAATACATTTGGCCGCACGTTCCCTCCTGGTGTCCTAAGAGCAATACCTGCACCCAATGGCTAGATATGTGTATCATAAGAGAGCAAGAAGGAGGATGTCATTCCCAGAGGGTAACAAAGGTGAATTCTGCAGCAGGTACAGTACTTGTAAATCAAGGGAAGGCTGGATATCGGCACAAGGTGGGTAAGGAAGAGGGAGGAAGAGGCAGACTGTATAGTGTTATGGGGGGTGTGTGTAAAGTTTACTTATAAGAAGCACTTGGGGGGAGCTATTTTTTAGATCCTTGTGAGAAAACGTTTAAAATAAAAATTATGTTTTTAAAAAGGATGGAGATAGACGCATGGTTTTCTTTTGTCGTTGCTGCAATGTTGTTTTGAAAAAGGTCCTGTGAAGGTGCATCTACACTGTAGGAATAATGCCGTTTGAAAACACTTGAATTGCTATGGCTAAATCAGGGGTGGGCAAACCCAGGCCCAGGGGCTGGACGCAGCCCCTTGGGCTCTTTTCTCAGGCCCTCCTCTCTCTCACCATCCTATCTTTCCTTCCATCTCTTTTTCCTTCTTCCTTCCTCCCTCCCTCTTTCTCCCTCCTTCCTTCCCTTCCACCTTTCATTCCTTCTTCTTCCCTCTTTCCTCCCTCCTTTCCTCTCTCCCTTTCTCCTTCCCTTCCTTCCTCCCTCCCTCCTCCCTCTCTCCTTCCTTCTCCTCCCTTCCCCTCTTCCCTTCCTTCCTTCCCTTCTCTTCCTTCTCTCTTCCTTCCCCTCCTCCTTCCTTCCTCTTCTTCTCCCTTTTCTCCTTCCTTCCTCCTTCCTTCCTTCCAGCCTTTCATCCTTCCCTTTTTTCCCCCTTGTATCTCCCTTCCCTCCCTCTCTCCCTGGCTCTCATCCCCACCTTAATGCTCAAAAGTGGGACTGATGGTGTTGATGATGAAACTACCAGCAAGAAACGTGAACCCAATGTGGAAAATTCTTCTCTTGGTTGTGTCCCTTTTCTTCCAAGGTCCTGAGAAAAAGGCACAGATCTATCAATGTAGCCCAAAACTTTGCATCGGTTCCATGTTTGGTTCAGTTGGCCTCTGTATCCACAGACTTAAAATAGTTCCCCAAAACCCATTTTACTCCACCATTTTGTATACTGGGACTTAAGTATCCATGGATTTTAGTTGGTGCTGAGGCAGGGCATATGCTTCCGGTCACTATATGTAGCGTCCATGATGTGGTCTACTACTGCCATTAAATCCTTGTGGATTAGCTTCTGAATATGATGCAACAGGGAAAGAAAAGGAACAACATCACGAGGAAGCAAAATACCAAGCCCTGAAATGTTCATAGATTAATTCAATACCATTGACCACGGTATCCTTCTGGGACGCCTCGTGGGCCTTGGAGGTACTGTTTTGCAATGGCTCCGGCCCTTCCTAGAGGACCGCTCTCAGAAGGTGTTATTGGGGGACTCCTGTTCAACCCCACAACCATTGTCTTGTGGGGTTCCTCAGGGATCAATACTGTCTCCCATGTTGGCAAGTTTTTCTACAGTTGGCAAGTTTTTCTACAGCTGGCAATTTAACTTACTGTGCTAAAGCCTGGTCCTTGCTAAAGCCCGGCTATATTCAGTTCTAAAAGACTGCAAATAGTTGTGGTACCACAGGTTGGTTGCATATCTTTATAAGTGGGATAGAATCATAGAATCATCCAACCTCCTGCCAAGAAGCAGGAATCTTGCATTCAAATCACCCCTGACAGATGGCCATCCAGCCTCTGTTTAAAAGCTTCCAAAGAAGGAGCCTCCACCACACTCCGGGGCAGAGAGTTCCACTGCTGAACGGCTCTCACAGTCAGGAAGTTCTTCCTCATGTTCAGATGGAATCTCCTCTCTTGTAGTGTGAAGCCATTGTTCCGTCCTAGTCTCCAAGGAAGCAGAAAACAAGCTTGCTCCCTCCTCCCTGTGGCTTCCTCTCACATATTTATACATGGCTATCATATCTCCTCTCAGCCTTCTCTTCTTCAGGCTAAACATGCCCAGCTCCTTAAGCCGCTCCTCATAGGGCTTGTTCTCCAGACCCTTGATCATTTTAGTCGCCCTCCTCTGGACACATTCCGGCTTGTCAATATCTCTCTTGAATTGTGGTGCCCAGAATTGGACACAATATTCCAGGTGTGGTCTAACCAAAGCGGAATAGAGGGGTAGCATTACTTCCCTAGATCTAGACACTATGCTCCTATTAATGCAGGCCAAAATCCCATTGGCTTTTTTTGCCGCCACATCACATTGTTGGCTGGAGTTTGGGAGGAAAGCAGTGGAATAATAGGATATAATGAAGTAAGGCATGCCAGACGTCAACACGGAACAAACACACTCCAGGCAGTAAGATGTTGTTTGAACTACCATTTATTTATTTTGTTGACATACATCTGCATATCACAATTTCCTTGCCTCTAATTTCTAGGCCATTATATTGAAAATTTGCCATGCAGAATGTACAATCCTTAAAATTCTATATTGAAACAAATACATTGCAAGATGGCAATACCAATACAGCAAGAACCTGTTTTCATGGGGGACACATTCCCAACTAGACAATGGTTACATGAGACTACATGAGACCACAGTTAAATTAACTCACTTCTGGTTCCAGCATACCAGAAAGTTGCATTGGAAAACCTACGGACTCCTAGAAAGCTATACTCTCCTGGAATTTCTAAGGTCCTAAAACCATTTTCATGGTACCTTTCAGGGGAAGCATATCATAGAATTGCCTAGAGGACCTAGCAAATTCCCAGGGCACAGATATGAGTTTCAGTTATAGGAGTCTTATTGTACAGTCAGCCCTCCACACTCACTGAAAGTGAAAAACTGTGACAAAAGAAATGGCTATTTTTACCTATACCTCTGTAGGAATTTCTCTATGATCTGGATGATCAGAGCTTTCCAAACTGTGTGTTGTGACATGGTGTATCGGCCACAGTGTGTAGACACAAACGTAATAAGAGTCTAGGTGAAATAAGCAATAAATCATATATTTATTTTTTGAAAATGGATATTGACAACCATTTGGGAAAACCAGGAATCTCAACAGGCTTTTGGTAGCGTGATTTTTTTAGAGATTAATTGGCATTCACACTATTTGGAATAATCACAACCTTTAGAAAAGCATGACCTTGTTAGAGATCGTAACTTTTTGTAAAGTATGAACTTCCTGAGAAGAGTTAAAAGCTCGCTTGAGTCAACCTTCTCCTTAGTGGTAAACATCCACTAGTTTTCATGCAATTAGGCAATTAGGTTTCTCAGCTGTTAGACTGATATGCCTAGATATATCTTTGAACTGTTAGGAACAACGATATGGCAATGCACAAAAAACAGCAGTTCCAGAAGTGTTATTTTCAGTTGCCCAAAAGACATGTTGTTGTTTATTCGTTTAGTCACTTCCGACTCTTTGCAACCTCACGGACCAGCCCAAAAAACATACTTTCCCTTAAAACAGCTTGGTTTAAATCATGCTCTCAAGAGACCAAAATAAGCAGTCTTCATTAAAAGTAACATAGTTGATTTATATATTCGGCATACAGGTACATTGCAGGTTGAGTATTTAAATGGCAAGTTCTCTAAAGCATTCTGTTTCTGCTAACTTCTAAAATGGAGTCTGAGATCTGAACAGTCCCAGATCTGGTCACATGGTCTGCAGCCCCTCCCACAACATAGAGTTAAGGAAAACTGCATGTCATTACATACATATACAATACAGTAAGCAATCTGAATGATATACAAACAAATAACTAGTGGAGGCTTGAAGAAGGTTGCAATTTCCAACACTTTAAAGATATAAATAAAAGGTTTTCATGAGATAAGTTGTATCCCTACAATTTGTGTATGTGTCTTGATTTGACATCCACTTTGCCAGTAAAACTGAATTACTGTGTCACAAAATGATACATGTCTGAAAAGTATGTCACCAACATGAAATGTCTTGAAAGCTGTGCTCTGAATTTGTACAACAGATATTTTTAATCAAATCCATGAATAATCAAATCCACAAAAATCAAAACTACAAATGTGAAGGAATTACTGTAGTATTAAATTGCCAGTAGGCTGTCGAAGGCTTTCATGGCTGGAATCACTGGGTTGTTGTAGGTTTTTTCGGGCTATATGACCATGTTCTAGAGGCATTATCTCCTGATGCTTCGCCTGCATCTATGGCAAGCATCCTCAGAAGTAGTGAGGTCTGTTGGAACTAGGAAAATGGATTTAAACCCAATTTTTCTAGTTCCAACAGACCTCAAACCCTCCAAGGATGCTTGCCATAGATGCCTGTGAAACGTCAGGACAGAATGCTTCTAGAACATGGCCATATAGCCCAAAAAAACTACAACAACCCACTGCCTTTATTTGTTTGTTTGTTTGTTGTTGTTGCAAGTCGAAAACATCTGGATGGCTGATGCTTGTCCTTGCAGTTTGACACCACTTGAACTGCCATGACTCACTTTCTATTGTATGGTGGGAGTTGTAGTTTGACAAAATCTTGAGCCTTTTCTGCCAAGGAGTGTTGGTGCTTCACCAAACTACAGGTCACAGAATCCCATAGCATGGAGCCACCGTGATTCCTATGGTGTCAAACTGCATTCATTCTACAGTACAGATGCCCTTCCACGAGGCAGGGAAAGCCAAGACAAAGAGGGTGTTTAGTAGGAGGTAATAAGGCTCTGGAACGGGATCTCCTAAAGTCCCAGTCCCATAATCTAACCATTTTGGTACCCACGATGTCTGTTCCCTTGCCATAGGGAGGACTCATTCTGCAGACTCATCCTCCACCCACGGCACCAGCCGCGCCATGAATGGCTTGCAAAGCATGAGGAACTCACAGTGTGGCTGGAGATCTGGTAGCGATCCAGATGGAGAAGGCAAAATCTGGAAATCCCGCAGTATGTAAGCAATGAAGAGAAAGGCCTCCATCCGAGCCAAGGCTTCTCCTAAGCAGACCCGGGCCCCACAGCTAAAGGGTACCAACTGCCGCTGGGCTTCGGCCAAGGCTTGGCTCTCCAGGAACCTCTCTGGGGAAAGAAGACAAAGAGATGAAGCCAGAAAGTCTAGAGGAGACACCCCATATGACTTGTGAGTTGGCAAAAGTCTCTCCTGGATTCGCCAGAACCTGGTGGAGGTCTTTGTTTGTTCTTTGTTGGGTTCAGAAGGTTGCTGCAAGAACACAGCCTTGGGGTAGACCATTCTTTTGCCCAAAAGCCTTGCTTTACAACACAAACACATCACCACACACTTTCTCTCTTTCATTCTTTTGCACACAGACCCACAATACCTGGTCGGAACTCCTGAGGATTTGGCCATTTGCTTGGGTCCTGGTGAGCGCCATAGAGATTGGGGATGACCGTTGTGCCTTTGGGGATGGAAAACCCAGCCAGACTTTGGAGGAGGGAAGATGGATGGGGAAAAAAGAAAAACAACAATTTAGCCAACACCATTTCCCTGTCTTTGGGATCTTGGCTTCCTCCCCTTTCCCCTTCACTCTACTCTCTATTCCCAAAGACCACAAACATCTAAGATTTATTGCAATCAACTGGTTTCAAGGTTGGCTGCCATCTTAACTGTTCAACCCTGATTCTGTACTGTAAAGATTCCCAAATTTTGCTCTTCCAGGTATTTCAACTTCCAGAAGCTCTAGCTGACATGGACAACAGTCAGGAATTATGGCGTAAAACATCGGAAGGACCAAAGTTTGGAACCGTTAGTACTAAATGAGGGCTGAATTCTAAGCAATTTGAGTCATTTTCTAGTCAGCCAAAAGTCCCGATAATATCTAGCTTTTTCATAAAATACAGTGATCCTATTGGGAGTACAAGTCTGGATTCTGGATTTAAATGGTACCCCATTTTGCCAGAAGCAAAAGATTGTGGGAAGTTGGAGGACAGTGGATTGTTGTAGTTTTTTTGGGTTGTATGGCCATGTTCTAGAAGCATTCTCTCCTGACGTTTCACCTTCATCTATGGCAAGCACCCTGACTGACACTCTGAGGATGCTTGCCACAGATGCAGGAGAAATGTCAGAGAGAGAATGCTTCTAGAACATGGCCATACAGCCCAAAAAATCTACAACAACCCAGTGATTCCGGCCATGAAAGCCTTTGACAATACAGTATAATAATAACAGTATAAACAGTACAAAACAATATAAAACAGTATAAAAACAATTAAGCAGTCAGTGGCTACCGGTTTGAATCAACATCCAAGAGGCAGTCATTCAGTTCTATATAAGTCGTAATGTCAGCCAGTCAGCCTAATCTACAAAAGCCTGATCCCATAGCCAGGATTTTACTTGTTTCTGGAAGGTCAAGAGAGATGCAGCAGATCTAATTTCACTCGGGAGGGAGTTCCATAGCCAGGGGGCCACCACAGAAAAGGCCCTGACCCTTGTCCCCGCCAGATGCGATTGAGACAGTGGAAGAACAATGAGCAAGGTCTCCCCAGATGATCTTAGGGCCCTAGGTGAATCGTAGCGGGAGATACATTCGGACAAGTAAACTGGGCCAGAACCATTAAGGGCTTTATAGGCCAAAGCCAGCACTTTGAATTGTGCTCGGAAGCTGATAGGCAGCCAGTGGAGCTGGCATAACAAGGGCGTTGTGCGCTCCCTGTACCCAGCCCCGGTGAGCAACCTGGCTGCCGAGCGTTGAACTAGTTGAAGCTTCCGGGCAGTCTTTAGAGGCTAGAATGGTCAGTAGACCACAAGCTGAACATGAGTCAACAGTATGATGCGGCTGCTTAAAAAGCCAATGTGATTCTAGGCTGCATCAATAGTAATATTGTGCTAACATCAAGGGAAGTCAGAGTCCCAACTCTATTCTGCTTTGGTCAGACCTTACCTGGAATAACCCTGTGTCTAGTTCTAGGCGTCACAATTCAAAAAGGAAATGGACAAGTGCCCAGAGAAGAGTGACCAAAATGGTTAAAGTTTTGGAACCCAAGCTCTACGAGATGCATTTTTATGTTTAGCTTGGAGAAAAGAAGGCTGGGAAAGGACTTGGTCACCATATTGAAATATCTGAAAGCCTATTGTGATGAGGAAGGAGACAGCTTGTTTTCTGCTGCTCCAGAGACTTGGACACAGAAGAATGGATTCAAGCTATTCAAAGGTGGAATGTGCTGCCGCCTAGGAGCATGGTGGAGTCCCCTCTTTTGGAGGTTTTTAAGGCAAGAAGGTCATCTGTTGGGAGTGTTTTGATTGTGTCTTCCTGCATAGCAGGATAGGGTTGAACTGGATGGTCCTTGTAAGCCTTTCCAACTCAGTGTTTCTATATGATTCAAGATTTAGCTATCTAAGATCGAGGGCCATTTGTGCACAGCGTATCTCCATCCATGAGAACAAAACAAAGAACTGGAAAGCACGTAATCACAGTGAAAGGATAAATTAAAATTAAGCTGCCCTTCTTTTGTTATGTCTACAGTCATCTCTCCACAATCTCAAAATTAACTTTTGTGGATTTAAAGGAATCTCTAGGCTCTTTGGTATGACTCTACAGTCATAGAATCATAGAGTTGGAAGAGACCTCATGGGCCATCCAGTCCAACCTTCTGCCAAGAAGCAGGAAATTGCATTCAAAGCACCCCTGACAGATGGCCATCCAGCCTCTGTTTAAAAGCTTCCAAAGAAGGAGCCTCCACCACACTCCAGGGCAGAGAGTTCCACTGCTGAACGGCCCTCACAGTCAGGAATCCAGTCATGCTTGAGGAACTAGATATTTCTAGATCTTCCAGTGTAAATCTATAGACAGCTTTTAGTGGAAGTTGACCTAGAGTCATGCTGGAAGATGTAAAAATTTCTCTCTCTCTCTCTCTCTATATATATATATGAATTTATTTGCATTTTTTCCCTTTCGTGGGTGTCCAATATCCTAAACCTCAGCAAATGCAGAGGGCTGACTGTATCTACTACATATGGGAAATCTCTGTACATGGTTTGTGGAAACATGGTACCTGGTATCCCGAATGGTCATGTGAGGCAAAGCAAGGGGTGCTGAGGGACGCATGCGCAGTGCCTCCCAGATGGTGGCATTGAGGTAGGGCAGATGGTCCCGGTCGCTATATGTAGGGTCACGATGTGGTCCTACTACTGCCATTAACTCCTTGTGGATTAGCTCCTGAATCTGATGCAACAGGGAAGAAAAGGAACAACACTGCGAGGAAGCAAAATGCTAAGCCCTGAAATGTTCACAGATAGATGAAGTCACAGAACACAAGGTTACATTACATATCTTCACACATCTCCCCAGAGAAGAGAGAAAGGGACTTTTTAGATGTCTGCTGTCCTGGTCAGCACTGAGACTGAGAACAAGGGGTTGCCGGAAGGATCCATGGTGGAGTTGGAGACCAGAAGCTCCCCAGATTAGCTTTGGTATTGTAGAAGGGGAGCTGATGAAGGGTTAAATGCACCGTCCCTTTCAGAATACAGTCGAGAGTGTGTGCAACCCGCAGATCTCCCCAATTAGCAGAGGAACAGGCTCTACGCGAGCAACATCTGAGAACATCGGATAAAAGAATCTCAAGGTTTCAGTATTGTTGCAGGTGGCAATGTCTTTGCTTCATGTTCTTGTTGACTCCGGACTGTACCTTGACTTCTGTGTTTTAGATTTTGCCTTCAATTTCAGACTCTGCTATCTTCAGATTGCCAGCTTTGTTGAATTTGGTTGCTGTTTGTTGCTGCATAGACTATGGAACTCTTTCGGCACAGTCGTGATAATTTGGACTTTGGACTTATCTCACTTCCAATGGCTAGTGTGTGCTCAACCTACAAGTCTACAACAATTCTCAACCTTCCTAATGCCGTGACCCCATAATACAGTTCCTCACGTTGTGGTGACCCCCCAATCATAACATTATGTTTCGTTGCTTCTTCATAACTGCAATTTTGCTTCTGTTATGAATCATAATGTAAATATCTGATATGAAGAATGTATTTTCATTCACTGGACCAAATTTAGCACAAATACACAATACGTCCAAATTTGAATACTGGTGCGGTTGGGGAGGATTGATTTTTGTCATTTGGGAGTTGTAGTTGCTGGGATTTATAGTTCACCTACGATCAAAGAGCATTCTGAACTCCACCAACGATGGAATTGAACCAAACTTGGCACACAGAACTCCCATGACAACAGAAAATACTGAAGGGTCTGGTGGGCATTGATCTTGAGTTTTGGAGTTGTAGTTCACCTACATCCTGAGAACACATGGACTCAAACAATGATTGATCTGGACCAAACTTGGCATGGATACTCAATATGTGCAAATGTGAACACCGGTGGAGCTTGGGGAAAATAGACCTTGACATTTGGGAGTTTTATTTGCTGGAACTTATAGTTCACCTACAATCAAAGAGAGTTCTGTACCCCATCAACGATGGAATTGAACCAAACTTGGCACACTGAACTCCCATGACCAACAGAAAATACTGTAAGGGTTTGGTGGACATTGACTTTAAATTTTGGAGTTGTAATTCACCCACATCCAGAGTGCACCGTGGACACAAACAATGATGGATCTGGATCAAACTTGACACGGCGACTCAATATACCCAAATGTGAACACTGGTGGAGTTTGGGGAAATAGACCTTGACATTTGGGAGTTGTAGTTGCTGGGATGTATAGTTCACCTACAATCAGTGAGCATTCTGAACCCAACCAACGATGGACCAAACTTCCCACACAGAACCCCAATGTCCAACAGAAAATCCTGTGTTTTCAATGGTCTTTGTCAACCCCTTTGACACCCCCTTGCAACCCTACCCAGGGGTCCTGACCCTCAGGTTGAGAAACACTGGCCTACAAGGATTTTAGTTTTGGGCTGTCTGTGTGTAAATATCAGGACTTTGTTTGAATCTTATATTGTTTGTTTAACTGGAACTTGGCATAAACATGATAACTGTTCTCAGATCTGGAATGCGCATCCCAGAGAAGCTAGACTAATCTTTCCATCCTTCAAGAGAAAGCTTTTTGTCAGTAGACCTATGAGGTGTCTAGAGGGCTATAACTTCTAAGCCATCTACCCCAACACCATAATGTTGGTCGGAAGGAAGTTTTAAGGCATTGTTATCCAAACAAGGCAACATTCAAGGAGAACATTTGAGATACACAACAACCACACAGATCCTACCTGTGGACGATGCAGCAGAAAGGCCACAGCCCAGGTCAGTAAGGTAGCTGTCGTCTCAGTACCTCCAATGACCAGGTCGACAACAGCCATGTGGACATGGTCAGGGAGGAGTCCCGTGTCCCCCCACTTCTTGATGTCATGGTCATGAAGGAAGTGCAGCATGTGGTCCAACATGTCTTGTTCCTCTGATGAATGATCAGGCTTCTAAGGAAGTGGAAGAGAACAAATTGTATACATTTCATCAAAGTTCACAAACCTTTAAGGTAGGAACAACAAGGGCTGGCCTTCGTCTTAAGATGGGTATAAATAAACACACAAAGTTTGGGCTGTAGAGAACTCAACATGTTTAGCTCCATTTACAAGTTAAGTATACTTTATATGCAATGCCTGGAACGAGAAGTATTTTGGAATAAAATACATATTCCATCTTTAATATTTATTTGCCACTCATCTGGTTGCCGAGTGGGAGGTGGCGAGCCTACCAACCAGGCACTCTCAAGCACTCCCTCCATCTTTAACTGTCATTCCACCAGCCCGTGAGTGGGAGGGACCATGCCAACCAACCAGGTGCTCCCCGGCCGCCATTTACAGACGCTCCCTCCATTTTTGTCATTCCACCAGCCCATGAGTGGGAGGGGCCAACCCAACCAACCAGGTACTACCCGGCCACCATTTAGAGACCCTCCCTCCACCTTTAACTGTCATTCCACCAGTCTGTGAGTGAGAGGGGCCAACCCAACCAACCAGGTACTCCCCGGCCGCCATTTAGAGACCCTCCCTCCACCTTTAACTGTCATTCCACCAGTCCATGAGTGGGAGGGGCCAACCCAACCAACCAGGTACTCCCCGGCCACCATTTAGAGACCCTCCCTCCACCTTTAACCGTCATTTCGCCAGTCCGTGAGTGGGAGAAGCCCAGCCAACCAACCAGGTACTCACCGGCCGCCATTTAGAGACCCTCCCTCCACCTTTAACTGTCATTTCACCAGTCAGTGAGTGGGAGGGGCCCAGCCAACCAACCAGGTACTCCCTGGCCACCATTTAGAGACCCTTCCTCCACCTATAACTGTCATTCCACCAGTCCATGAGTGGGAGGGGCCCAGCCAACCAACAAGGTACTCCCCGGCCACCATTTAGAGAACCTCCCTCCACCTTTAACTGTCATTTCACCAGTCCATGAGTGGGAGGGGCCCAGCCAACCAACCAAGTACTCCCCGGCCACCATTTAGAGACCCTGCCGTTTGGAGACGCTCCCTCCATCTTGCTATTCCACCAGCCTGTGAGTTGGAGGGGCCCAGCCAACCAACCAGGTACTCACCGGCTGTCGTTTAGAGTCCCTCCCTCCATTCCACCAGCCACCGGCCAGTCTACCTACCAGACACTCTCCAGCAGTCCCTTAGAGCCCCTACCACCATCTTTAACTGTTCTTGCACGGCCTTTTCCATTGGCTGCCTGTCTGACTAGCATTCTACTGAAGGACCATAGCTGCCCTGAACTTCCATCAGGGCAGCTATGGTCTCATGCAGACCTGACCTCCAGTGAGAGTAACGAATTCTGTGACTCGATTGGCAGCTTCCCTTAGCTGTGCTCCACTCGACCTTCTGTCTCACTGCCCAGCATCAACCTGGAGAGGTCAGTGCAGCAGAGGTGCTCTACCATCGCCACCATTTTCTGTTACCGTGCCGTGACCTCGTTGCTAGCTAGGCATAGCCCCGAGTTACTTCAAGTCACTGATACCTTACAGGACAACAGTACTGGGGAATTTTACCAACCAGCCCCCCTTTGTCCATCAACTTAGTTCTGAAACACAGCTTGGCTTATATTGGGGCTACTGACTTCTCTTCCAATGCTCACCTTTCAACTCTGTTCCTCCTGGATTTAATGGGGACTTTTATTTTTGTTTTGTTTTCAGATTTTTATTTATTTATGTATTTTATGGAGACTTCATTTTCTCGCTAACTCATGTTTATCACTGATGTCTGAGCTTAGCAAAATATACTTTTTAAGTGATGAGCCTTCACAATAATTGTAATTGGTTTGAAATATTTTTAAATCCTTAATATTATATATATTATAATAGCAATAGCACTTTATACACATACCTTGAAGCTAATTTTATCCAATATTCTTTTTTTTATGTTCATGAATCAAGATGCACTTGAAAACAAATGTATATCTGTATCAGATATTAAAGTTCAAAATCCCAACCCAGTTCTCAGTCCCTTCTGCATAGTCTTACCTGGTGTTTCGCCATCTGGCTTTGGACCAAGACGTCTCGGTTTTCAAGGCAGGAAAGGAGGTGCCTCAATGTGGGGTTAGGAAAAATCTAAGAAACAGCATGCAAAAGTCCACAATTTAGTCATTTTCAGTGGCACAGAAACTATGTTGGGTACCATAAGTAGCGTGAAATAATCATCTCCATTCTGGACCTAGTAGGTGGTTGTCCTACTCAAAGTCTGGACCTAAGAGACAAAGAAGGGGGCAAAATCAAATGGGCTTTGTGCAGGTACAACCGTACCAGGAGCTCCTATTTTGTTTGCTTTGCATTGAATGTTTGTTATAGTCCTAAGTTTCAGGGACTCTGCAGATAGGTGGCTTCTTTTGACTGCAATCATAGGGCAAGCCACCAGTTAATTATAGTTAGGTTCCCTGGTCCCGCCCCCTTTTTGTGTTTTGGAGGGAATAGGAGCCATTTTGGGTTCTGTCCACACAGAGAAGCCTTTCATACAGGACATAAAACCAAGAGCTCCTGTAAAAAGCTTCATCTTCCACAGCTTTGCCGGGGATATACAGCCCCACGGCTTGGCAGGGGAGATATACAGCCCACAGCTTGGCCGGGGTTATACAGCCCTACAGCTCCTTTGCTGAAGGACTTCAGTCAGCCATCACGGAAACCTGAGTTCTTTCCCCCTGGAAGTCTACAAAGCTCTGCTTGGTAAGGGTCACTCGCAGAAGCCAGAGGCAGTTGGTACCGGGTGCAGGGGCTCCACACCAACAGAGGCAAAGACAGACTGCCCAGATTAGAAGTTAAGGATTTCCCCATTAGTTACAGTTATGAAGATAGTGCCTGTTCCCTGTGCACAAGATTGAGAGAGAGCCAATAGACTGTTATGAAAGCCTTAAAGTACCTGTTTGTTTTCAATAATAAAGAACTTTGTTGAACCTTTAAGCAATCTAAAGACTCTGTTTTAAGGAAATCCAAAGGCCTTTGATCTGAGGCAGCCCCGGCGTTCCGTTGGGCACACAGAATTTATGTCCTGTCTACAGTTTTATGCACAGGCCCAGCATGTGACAGCACAGGCTTAGGTAATACAAAGTAGTGTACATTATAAACACAGCTCTGTCATGCCTTGTGCCACCCCAACTGCCACTGACCTGGCCTCAGAGGGAGAAAAGAAAAGCCAAGCCCAGCTCCGCCATGGCTCAGTTCAGAAGCTGAGGAAAGGTCCTCCATCCATCCCAACTACCACTGCCTTAGATAAACTGATGTATGAAGTGGGAGGAGGTTACCACTATGGCTGTGCTCACTGTATTGGTTCGATCTGGAAAGATCACAACTTCCAACACAAAACTATTTTGTAGAGCAAATGCGATAAGTTTCAGAGTGCTTTGCAAGGCAATAAGTAGCTTGCGTGAGCTATGAAGTAAAGTATTTTGACAGGATCTAGTGGTACCAACTATGGTTATTTTTAGGACAGTCTTCCTCTACCACAGTGGTTCTCAACCTGGGGTCCCCAGATGTTTTTGGCCTACAATTCCCAGAAATCATAACAGCTGGTAAACCGGCTGGGATTTCTGGGAGTTGTAGACCAAAAACATCTGGGGACCCAAGGTTGAGAAGCACTGTTCTACCAAGTTCCTGTCTGGGATTTCAATTACAGTTCCAATTATAATCCTTTTTGAATTCCAAATGTCCCTTCAGCCATGCTGAGATAGTCTCAGAGATAGGAAACCTATTGCCCATGGGACACATGTGAACCTTTTCGACTCCTTTTGGGGTCCCCTTTTCCACCATTATCCACAGATGCTGATCAACTGGAAACTCAAAACATGCACCAGAAGAGCATTCTTGTGTTCTGGAAAGTCTAGGAGACATTCTGTTCCATGGTTTCATTGGGGGAGAACAGGGGTGCCAAACTTGTGGTCCTCCAGATGTTTATACCTCCAACTCCCAGAAGCTCTTGACAGCTTGTTCAATGGCGAAGAATTCTGGGAACCGATGTCCAAAACTCATGGAGGGCTGTAAGTTTGATACCACTTCTGTAGAAGGATGATCTGGCATTCTCGTGAATTCTCTGGGACCCCACTTTGGTACTCCAGTTGGCACCAAAGTGGGGTGCCAGAGAATTTGAGGAAGAGGTTGGAAAAATTTGTTTTCTGGGCTACAACTCCCAAAATTTCCCCTACTATATAATCACAAGCCCCCTGGTGGTACAGCCAGTTAAACCGCTGAGCTGTTGAATTTGCTGACCGAAAGGTTGGTGGTTTGAATCCAGGGAATGGGATGAGCTCCTGCTGTTAGGCCCAGCTTCTGCCAACCTAGCAGTTCAAAAACATGCAAATGTGAGTAGATCAATAGGTACTGCTTCTGCAGGAAGTTAATGGTGCTCCATGCAGTCATGCTGGCCACATGACCTTGGAGGTGTCTACGGACAACGCCGGCTCTTTGGCCTTGAAATGGAGATGAGCACCACCCCCCAGAGCTGGACACATCAAGACTTAATGTCAAGAGAAACCTTTACCTTTTATATGACAGAAATCATTTGTGCTACTTCTGAAAAAAGTAACTTTTCTAAATTCAAGAGGGCTCCAGTGAGATCCCTCTCCTTCCCCTTTCCTCCAGAAGACATGGGATGGAGTCCATCCTGGGCTCCAGGGTCTCTGTTAAAGTCTATCCAAACATCATTCTTTCCTTACTTTGAGTATTGGCCAGAAATCCAGAACCCTGATGGGAACAGCATTCCAAGTTTTTACCATTTCGATCATGCAGTCGTGCATTTTTTCAACGCTGGGCATGTCCTGCCATAGAGGAAAAGTGAGAGTTATAATGGAGAAAACAAATAATAGTCATTGCTAACTAGGAAATCAGCGAAGTTCTTGTCTACTTGATCAACCAAAGGGACTTAAATGTGTTTACTTATTTGTATGTGTTTTCAATCTACTCTGTATCACAAGTGAATACCTGTAAAATACTCTATACCACAAGGTTGTATGATTTTTGGCAGAGCTCCTTATTTTATTTTATTTTTTACAGTGTTATGCTCATTGATGGTGTTGTTGTTGTTGTTACTATGAGGACAGACATTCCCAGCCAGATCCGCTGAATAACATTAAAATATTTCACTTCTGGTTCCTCTATGCCATAGCGTAGGACCTAAAGGAGATTTTCTGAAGTGTGTGTCAAAACTCATTAGTGTATTGGATGCAATCTATAGATTTGTCATGAGAACGTAATGAGAAACTCCAAATCTATGTGAAAAAGTAATAAATCGCATATGAGGGTTGAATGAAAAGTGATGCCTCCACCTTTGTAACTCCTCAACAGAGGGCAGTACCGGTATGCGGCAGGTACTGGCTTGTTCAGTAGACTTTCCTCTACAGCTCCATTTTGGCAGGAAGCCTTAGCATTGAACGGTTGTGTTGTTAAAGTGCGAAGTATGGAACCCTGTGCAGATGGTTGGTTAATGCAACTTAAGCAACGTGCAGTCATTGAATTCTTGACAGCAGAAGGTGTCACCGCATAGGAGATTCATCAGAGAATGCAAGCTCTTTATAGTGATTGTGTTGATGTGAGTGCTGTGCATCATTGGGCAAGTAAGTTTAAAGATGTTGAGGTGGGAACATCTGACTTGCGTGACAAACAAAGAGTTGGGCATCCTGTGACAGCAACCACCGAGTTTCACATGCAAAAGATTGACAGATTAATTCAGGACGATCGTCGTATCACTCAGAGAGAAATTTCAAGCAAGTTAAAGAGCACATTCTAAGGATTATTTCTGCATTTGATTTATTAAAATATTCCCATCCAAACCCAGGTAACAAAGGTGGAGGCATTATTTTCCATTCAACCCTCGTATTTTTAAAAAATGACATTTTTCATTAGATATGTTGTACACTTTATGTATATGTCTGTATCTCTTATAAGAGCAGAAGAGACTTAAATAGCAAAAAAACTAAAACTACATTGCTGTGTCACAACATGATGCATGTCTAAAAGGTGTGTCACCAACATGAAAAATTCTGAAAGCCGCTGTGTGTGTGTTCCTCGGGCTGTCCTCTTGGCATGAGAACAGGGCCATTCACACCATTCATAAGCCAGGAGGAGGGCAAGACATGCAGTGGCTGGGAGCACTGCAGAGGGCCACCGTGTCCTTACGTTGAGCAGACAGGGAAAATGAGGAGGGTCTGAGGTAAGCACCAAGGGGGGCACATCCAGCCCCAGGGCCTTAGTTTGCCCATGCCTGGCTTTAAAGGTTTGAGGACTCTCCGAGAGACATGCCCCCAGTCCACAAGCAGCAGATATATGGAGGGCTGTTCCTTCAAGGATTGATGTTCCAAACCACTTGAGAAAAAGAAGAAACCCCGGGATAGACAGATTTTAGGACCAATCTCTTCTGGTCCCCGTTGCTGACTCACCAAAGGTCCAAAGAGCATGGTAGAAATGACAGAACAGGCATGCAGGGAAAAATCATGGGCCACATCCACAGGTTCCCCGCCATAGCTCCGAAAAACCTGTTGGGAGTCCATAGAGAGAAAAACGTCCTTTAAAATGAATACATATCTGGAAAATGGATTTTTTTTTTGCTCCCCTTTCTCCTTTCTCCAGCTCTGAGAGGGTTTAAGTCACAATGTCTGCATGCCAACATGACTCCCTTCTCCCCATACACGTCACCTTTCTTTCCCAGTGACATCATAGAGGGCCACTTCACCTAGCTACAGCCAATCCAATGACATCACATAGGGCCACTTTACCTAGCAAAAGCCTTTGCAGTATAGACAGTAAGTAAGTAAGGCAGGCAGGCAGATGGATAGACAGATATACTGTGGTGTATGTATGTGTGTGGAGATATATATATATATATATATATATATATATATATATATATATATATATGCCACAGTATATCTATCTATCCATCTGCCTGTCTGCCTTACTTACTTACTATCTATACTAACTTACTTACCGACTGTCTGTCTGTCTGTCTATCTATCTATCTATCTATCTATCTATCTATCTATCTATCTATCTATCTATCTATCTAATGTTTATTTGTGAGATTAACATAACTCAAAAATCGCTGGGCGAATTGACACCAAATTTGGACACAAAACACCTATCAGGCCAACAAGTAACCATCACTCATAAAAACACTGAAAAACACAGCAGAAGAGACTTAAAAAGCAAGAAAAAAACTTACAATGAATGCACAAAATTTATATATACACATATACATAAATATATACACACACAAAACACATTTACACAGATTGAGCCACAGCAACACGTCGCAGGGGATGTCTAGTGTGTGTGTGCATGTGCGTTTGTGTGTGTGTGTATAAATGTTGGTTTGTGGGATTAACATAACTCAAAAACCACTGGACGAATTGACACCAAATTCACACACAATACACGAATCAGGCCAACCAGTAACCATCACTCATAAAAACACTGAAAAACACAGCAAAAAACAAAAACTACATTACAATACATGCGCAAAATCACACATATATATGCAAACACACATATATACACATATACACAAATATATACACACACAAAACACATATACACAGACTGGGCCACAGCAACACATAGCAAGGGACAGCTAGTACACACACACTTGCCACACCCTAGTGGTCTGTTGTAGCTAGTCCGTGGCCCTGAAATCTCAGGTAGGCCTAACCTTCCAACTAAAACACCCATGAACACAGACATGTGCCTTTCCAGACTAATCCAGGGTGTTTTTAAGCACACCTTGCAGAGGTGTTGAGCTTGGCTGTGCACAATCTGCTCCATGTCTCCTTGCCGGCAGCGCTGGAAGGCCATGTGGGTCAGCTTCCGTTGCAGGCGCCACGTTGGAGTGTAGTTGCCCAGGGAAAGGTCCTTCCCGCCCATTGAAACCAGGTTTGCTGCAGGTGCGGATAGGTAAGAGGAAAGAGAAGGTGGGGATAGGGCAGAAAAAGGCAGGCATGTTTTCAATGAGGAGGAGGAGATTGGAAAGGAGACGTGTTGTAAACAGAGGTTAGACAATGTTGGCTTTTTAGATGACAATTCCCAATATCCCCAAGACAATATGTCCACAAGCCAGGGATTTGAGCCATCTTTGCCTCATTTCCTTTCTCATTATCATCCTGTTGTTGTGATGGTATGTACTTTCAAGGTGCTTCGAATTCATAATTGAACCCATCACTTGACCTTATCAAAGGCCTTGCTAAAATCAAGACACACTACACCAACAACATTCCCTCATCTACCAAGCTTCAAGAGAGATAAGGTTTCTGAGAAATAGCACTTTTTGTGACTATAGGACCTCGACACATTAAGCGTTGGATTGACCATGCATGTCGCCCCATGCCACGCATTGCCCGACTTGCCACCCAGCTTCTCTTCGTTGTTGCCAATGCAACATGAGAAGCCTCCTGAGTTGCTGCCACAGTGTCGTACAACAGTCCCTCTTCAGTTTTGCCACAGAGCCCCGCCAGAAGTAGATCTATGTTGTGAGGTGGGAGCCAGCAGGCTCAATGGCAAAAGTGAAGAGGGACCAACGTACGATGGGCAATTTTGCCTGTCGGATGAGGCCATTCCTTACTCAGTGCTACAGATTGTCTCTTCAATGATCTACTTTATAACCTTTCCAGGAATTGATGTCAGGCTAACTGGGCAGTAACTCTAGGGGTCTCTTTCCTCATTTTTGAACATGGGGGACAACATTTGTTTTCTTCCAGTCAGCTGGAACTTCTCCTCTTCTCCAGGAATTCTCCAAGATGATTGCCAGTGGTTTGGAAATTACTTCTGGCATTACTTTTAATGCCCTTTGATATAATGCATTTGGTCTTGGATATCAGAATACCCACACGATCCTGTATTGCAGTGTTTCTCAACCTTCCTAATGCCACGGCCCCTTAATCCAGTTCCTCAGGTTGTGGTGACCCCCAACCATAACATTATTTTCGTTGCCACTTTGTAACTGTAATTTTGCTACTCATAGGAATTATAATGTAAATATCCAACATGTAGGATGTATTTTCATTCACTGGACCAAATTTTGTGGGGCTGGGAGGGGATTGATTTTGTAATTTGAGAGTTGTAGTTGCTGGGATTTATAGTTCATCTACAATCAAAGAGCATTCTGAATTTCACCAACAATGGAATTAAACCAAACTTGGCAAACAGAACTTCCATGAGCAACAGAAAATACTGGAAGGGTCTGGTGGGCATTGAACTTGAGTTTGGCAGTTGTAGTTCACCTACATCCAGAGAGCTCTGTGGATTCAAACAATGATGGATCTGGACCAAACTTGTCACGAATACTCAGTATGCCCAATTGTGAATACTGGTGGAGTTTTGGGGAAGACAGACCTTGACGTTTGGGAGCTTTAGTTTCTGGGATTTATAGTTCACCTACAATCAAAGAGCATTCCGAACTCCACCAACGATAGCATTGGGCCAAACTTCCCACAGGAACCCCCATGATGAACAGAAAATACACTACTGTGTTTTCTGATGGTCTTTGGTGACCCCTCTGACACTCCCTCGTGACCCCCCCCCAGGGGTCCCGACCCCCAGATTGAGAAACACTGCTTTACTGCCTCTTCAAACCCACAAATGTGGAGTGCCAGAGGTATATCTTTCAACTGCTTGAGCCAGCAGAGACAATTCTAATTCGTTTTCTGTCATTCCACATTTTCAGCCATTGGAATTTCTCTTCCTGCTAAACCGAACTCAGGAGAGGAGAGGAGGTGGCAAAACCTTTCCCTTCCCAACAGGTTCAGGCAAAAGCAAACTGCTGCAGCCTCTCCTAGCTCATGTATTGTTCCTCAGTCATCACTTGTGTCATCTTGACCACACTCTGATATTGCTTGGCCACTTATTTCCAAGTTTTTCAAAGGGTGTGAGGCTGACAGAGAAAGGGAAGAATTCATGTCTGAAAAGAGAATGAACTTGGCAATGATTCTCATTAAAGGACCAGCTTTCAATGTGTTGTCGAAGGCTTTCATGGCAGGAATCACTGGGTTGCTGTGTTTTTCGGGCTGTATGGCCATGTTCCAGAAGCATTCTCTGCTGACTTTTCACCCACATCTATGGCAGGCATCCTTAGAAATTGAGGGACCCATCAACCACAGAGGATGCCTGCTATAGATGTGGGAAAAACGTCAGGAGAGAATGCACAGCAAGACCAGCTTTCACTTTGGGATGTCTCTTTTTGATAAGTCAATGAAAGAAGGGCTGTACAAATATCTGAGTTCCCACACAAAATCAAAGAGGAATGGCTTCATCCTCTTGACCCAGAAAACTAATGCTGAACATTCGTGCAATTCCATAAAGCTGACTTCTGGGTGTCTCTTGGGCGGAAAATTATTTAGCATACTTCTCCGATTTAAACACTAGCTTTGCTGATAAGGCCAAGCTTTGCTTTTCTTTCCCCCTATTTTGGCCAGACATTATCTGCTGTTTGCAAGGTTTCCAAGAATGCATGAGTTTCGCTGAAGATATTTGGAGACTCGAATCAAAAAATCCCAGGCTTTCTCCTGAGTTCGACACATGCGTTTTTTTTCACCCTCCGCTTCTTGTCCCCTGTATGTGAAATAGAATATTATTTTGTTGCTTCCAGTTGTAAAAGACAAGTAAGTTCTATCCCAATGAGAGTACCAGCACATTAGAGCACTTCTCATGTGCAAAATGTTTCCTTAGGAAAGGAAATTCTACAAGGAGATGCCAAAAGTTGAGGTTGCAACACACTGGCAGATTGGGGTGTGAGAGTACAAAAAAATGAACTTTTAAAAACTTTGGGTAAAAGTAATGCACAAAAGCCCAGTCATGCCTACTCTATAGTCTTGGTGGGAATTATGGCGAGCTCTAACTGTTAGACTACAACTCCTAGCAGTCCTCATCCTTGGCTACTTTGACTGGGGCTGCTGGGATGTGCTGTCCAAGATCTGAAGGGCTAGCCCAGTGGTTCTCAACCTGTGAGTCCCCAGGTGTTTTGGCCTACAACTCCCAGAAATCCCAGCCAATTTACCAGCTGATAGGATTTCTGAAGGCCAAAACATCTGAAGACCCACAGGTTGAGAACCACTGGTCTAGAGCTTTCAATGACCCAAGCCAAGGATAGTCAATGATGAGTATTACTGAGTGTAGCAATCCTGTATTTTTCAACGTTTGGGAGATGAAAACAAGGACACGTATGGCCACGCATCACCAGAGTGTGAACAAAGAGGCAAAAATTAGTAGTATACAAGGAGAAAAATGCTAGGAAAGCCTCCAGATGTTTGCTTTTGCTTGAGTCTATGGAGAGTGTGAGATTATATGTCCTGCATGACTATGTGGCCAACTTCTTCTGGAAGCTGGTCATTAACCACATTGCAAGACCTTGAGATTTCTAGTGTGTTGCCATTTCCTCTCTAGCTTTTGCTAGGTGGAGTGTCCTTCTGTGATGTCACTAAGGAAGAAAGGTGGCATGTGTATGAGAGGAAGGAAGGAAGGAAGGAAGGAAGGAAGGAAGGAAGGAAGGAAGGAAGGAAGGAAGGGAAAAGGAAGGGGGAAGGAAAGGAGAGTGTTGAAAAGGAAGAAAAAGAAGAAAGGGGAGGAAGGGAAAATAGAGAAAGAAGGGAAGAGAAAGGCAAAGAAAATGTAGGCAAACAGCCGTCCCAACAACACCCAGGCAACAGCATGTATATATGCTAGTAGTTACTGATAAAGCTGTGAGGCCGTCCCGCGAAGTCAGACCACTTCCGAATCAGCGCCTCTCGGATTGCTTCTGAGCTGTTCAGCACGACCACATCTAGCAGGAACCACCAAGGAATTGAGATGGGGGCAAACATGAAAAATCAGCTTCAGATGATTTGATTTCAACCATAATAGCACCAAAACATCTCTCAGCATCATACAGAGCTTAGTTGTTTTGCAAAGGCGGGGGAGGCTTAAGATACACATTAGAACACCTATGCTTGGAACATACACATCTAGCTTGGGTAATGGGTTACTTGCAATAATTTCATTTTCCGATGAGAATAATAACAAGAATAACACCAAACACATAGTACAAAAAAATCAATATATAGTGGCAATAGAATGCAGTTTCAAAACTCATAGCCTGCCAGAAGCCTTTAATTCTGTTTTGGATTCTGACACTTTATTTACGAGAGTTGAATGAAAAGTAATGCCTCCACCTTCATTACTTGGGTTTGGATGGGAATATTTTAATAAACGCAGAAATGATCCTTAGAATGTGCTCTTTAACTACCACTATGCCTCCAGCTTTGTAACTCCTCAACAGATAGCAGTACTGGTATGTGGCAGGTACTGGCTTATTCAGTAGACGCTCCTCTACAGCTCCATTTTGGTGGGAAGCCTTAGCATTGAACGGTTGTGTTGTTAAAGTGCGACGTATGGAACCCTGCGCAGATAGTCGGTCAATGTGACTTAAGCAACGTACAGTCATTGAATTCTTGACAGCAGAAGGTGTCACCCCAAAGGGGATTCATCAGATAATGCAAGCTCTTTATGGTGATTGTGTTGATGTGAGTACTGTGCGTCCTAAGTAAGTTTAAAGATGTTGAGGTGGGAACATTTGACTTGCGTGACAAACAACGAGTTGGACGTCCTGTGACAGCAACCACCAAGTTTCACAAGCAAAAGGTTGACAAATTGATTCAGGATGATCGTCGTATCACTCAGAGAGAAATTTCAAGCATAATCGGCATTTCACAAGAACGTGTGGGTCACATTATTGCTTTGCTTGGCTATCGGAAGATCTGTGCATGATGGGTTGCGGAAACAGGGTGTCGACTTCTTCCATGACGGCTTCAGAAAACTTGTTCATCGTTGACTGAAATGTACCCAATTGTCTGGTGATTATGTGGAAAAGTGAATAGTGGTAGTTAAAGAGCACATTCTAAGGATTATTCCTGCATTTGATTTATTAAAATATTCCCATCAAACTGTGGATGCAAGAATCCATGGATATGAGGAACCAATTCTATATAGGTTTATGAATGCTAGATTTTTGCCGGAGGCTCTTATCCATCCCAGAAACAAGCCTGACCACATTCAGAGATGTGCCCAGCAGGCTCTTTTCCTTTTCATACCACAGAGTTGTGCATAGATTGACGCTGAGCACCTCAGGGAATACCAGTGTTTGCTCTTGCTGGTCCTGCTGACTTTTCCCAAAGATTTTGTGATCATAATGATAACACTGTCCAGCATGCATTTTGGTGACTCAAATGTTAGCCCTGTTTCTGGGTATAGTCGACCTGCCAATTCCAAAATTGGCACCAGATTCTCCCAATCAACTCTAGTTTTTGAGATACAGAATATATGCCAACAAGCTGGAATGTGTCCAGAGGTGAATAAAATGATCAAGGGTCTGAAGAACAAGCCCTATTAGGAGCGTCTTAAAGAGCTGGGTATGCTTAGCTTGCAGAAGAGAAGGATAAGAGGAGACATGATGAGGGCAATGTATAAATATGTGCGGGGAAGTCATAGGGAGGAGGGACAAGCTTGTTTTCTGCCCCCCTGGAGACTAGGACACAATGGAACAATGGCTTCAAACTACAGGATAGGAGATTCCACCTGAACATTAGAAAGAACTTGCTGACTGTGAGAGCTGTTCAGTAGTGGAACTCTCTGCCCCAGAGTGTGGTGGAGACTCCTTCTTTGGAGGCTTTTAAACAGAGACTGGATGGCCATCTGTCAGGGGTACTTTGAATGAGATTTTCAACAGAAAGGAAGAAACTATGAAAATGAACAAAAAGTGGATACCAATAGGAAAAAAAACTCAAATCAGGACAGTAAATAAAGAACAACACTCAGAATACAGGGGAATACCAGGCAGAAAACTATCAGGACTAGCCAACACCTCCCAACAAAGGATTCCCCCATAAAATCATAGAATCATAGATGACCTCATGGGCCATCCAGTCAAACCCCCTGCCAAGAAACAGGGAAATTACTTAAAGCCTCCAAAGAAGGAGCCTTCACCATACTCCGGGGCAGAGAGTTCCACTGCTGAACAGCTCTCAAAGTCAGCAAGTTCTTCCTAATGTTCAGATGGAATCTCCTTTCTTGTAGTTTGAAGCCATTGTTCCGCGTCCTAGTCTCCAGGGAAGCAGAAAACAAGCTTGCTCCCTCCTCCCTACTGATTTCCTCTCACATATTTATACATGGCTATCATGTCTCCTCTCAGCCTTCTCTTCTTCAGGCTAAACATGCCCAGCTCTTTAAGCTGCTCCTCATAGGGCTTGTTCTCCAGACCCTTGATCATTTTAGTCGCCCTCCTCTGGACACATTCCAGCTTGTTAATATCTCTCTTCAGTTGTGGTGCCCAGAATTGGACACAATATTCCAGGTGTGGTCTAACCAAGGCAGAATAGAGCATGGGTAGCATTATTCTCTGGATCTAGACACTAGACTGCTATTGATGCAGGCCAAAATACCATTGGCTTTTTTTTTTTTTTTTGCCAACACATCACATTGTTGGCTCATGTTTAACTTGTTGTCCACGAGGACTCCAAGATCTTTTTCACACATACTGCTCTGAAGCCATGCATCCCCCAGGCAGGAAACAGCCAGGCTTTGAAGCTGCAAGGCTTGCAATGCTAATCAAGGTGGCCATTTGCAACATTCACACTTGCCTCTCCCACCCTGGACATTATTCCAAAGATATACAAACCCCACTTGCCTAGTTTCCAACAGACCTCACAACCTCTGAGGATGCCTGCCATAGATGTGGGCGAAATGCTTCTGGAACATGGCCATACAGCCCAGAAAACGCACAGCAACCCAGGAAAATTATAACCTTGCTGACCAATGAATACAACCCCCATTCTAAACAACAGGTTGGAAAAATTACCTTTTTTTGCACCGATTTCCAGAATCCTCCCAAGCCAGCTGAGAGAACTCTGGGAATTGTAGTACTCCAGGTAACACCCCCAAACCTTTCCCTTACCCACTACTTGCACTTGTTGCTATATGGTCAGTATCACCTTTGTTCCTGAGGCGTAGGCGGTAGATGGGTCCGTACTGATGGGCCAGCTGGAGGAAATGGATGGGGAGGTTCGGCTGGAGCATGTGGGAGAGGTTTCCAATGAGGGGCAAAGCCCTTGGGCCAGGCAGGTCCTTCGTATCTTTGCCCTGGCCGTGCCACGAACGCCATTGGCTCAACAGGGTGATGACCAGGAGGACAACGATGAAGAGAACAGCAGAGGACATGGCTAAGTGGATACTCTTGGGCACCCCTTGAAGAACAATATGAACATTCACACAGCCCTTCCTTCCCAGCACAATTTCTCCTCCCTGTAGAGTCCCGGCTCACACGTAACTTATGCCCCAGATCTATGGCAGAGGTTCTCCCTTTATATATCAGCCTTGAGATATTCCCCCGCCCTACATCTCTTAAAGATCCCTCTCTTCCCAAACACTTGGACACAGCTAGTTCACAGCCTTGCCAAGGTGACCAACAGATTTATAGTTTTCAGACATGATATTTTGCACCAACTCAGGACAAGAAAGGAGAGGATACATGGAAAGTATTCGCCCTCCATACATACTCTCTGAAGGTCAGGGCCAAATTGTTTCAGGGTTTTGTTTTGTTTCCCCAGCTTCTTGTTCTCAAAACAAAGACACAACAATGTTGTTGAAGAGGAGAAGAGAGGTTATTCTTCTCGTAAAGTGAAGGCTGAGCATGAAAAATTACATATGTTTCTTTAAAAAATAATATCATTCCCATTATTCAAGATGATGTTTGCAAAGGTCACCGTATCCCTCATTTCAGTGTTTCTCAACTTGGGGGTCAGGACCCCTAGTGGGGGGTCACAAGGGGGTGTAAGAGATGTTGCCAAAGACCATCAGAAAACAGTTTATGTCTGGGAAGTTTGCCCCAATTCTATCATTGCTGAGATTCAGAATACTCTGATTGTATGCGAACTATAAATCCCAGCAACGACGACTTCTAAATGTCAAGGTCTATTTTCCCCCAAACTCCACCAGTGTTTACATTTGGGCATATTGAGTATTTGTGCCAAGTTTGGTCCAGATCCATCATTGTTTGAGTCCATGGTGCTCTCTGGATGTAGGTAAATTACAACTCCAAAACCCAAGGTCAATGCACACCAAACCCTTACAGCATTTTCTGTTGGTCATGGGAGTTCTGTGTGCCAGGTTTGGTTCAATTCCATCATTGGTGGAGTTCAGAATGCTATTTGATTGTAGATGAACTATAAATTCCAGCAACTACAACTCCCAAATGATAAAATCAATCCCTCTTCCAACCCCACCAGTATTCAGATTTGGGCATATTGGGTATTTGCGCCAAGTTTGGTCCTGATCCATCATTGTTTGAGTCCACAGTGCTCTCTGGATGTAGGTGAGTTACAACTCCAAAACTCAAGGTCAACGTCCACCAAACCCTTCCAGTATTTTCTGTTGGTCATGGGATTTCTGTGTGGGAAGTTTGGCCCAGTTCTGTCATTGCTGAGGTTCAGAATACTCTTTTGAGTGTATGTGAACTATAAATTCCAGCAACTACAACTCCCAATTGTCAAGGTCTATTTTCCCCAAACTCCACCAGTGTCCATATTTCAGCATATCGAGTATTTGTGCCAAGTTTGGTCCGATCCATCATTGTTTGAGTCCACAGTGCTCTCTAGATGTAGGTGAACTACAACTCCAAAACTAAAGGTCAGTGCCCACCAAACCCTTCGAGTGTTTTCTCTTGGTCATGGGAGTTCTGTGTGCCAAGTTTGGTTCAATTCCATTGTTGGTGGAGTTCAGAATGCTCTTTGATTGTAGGCGAACTATAAATCCCAGCAACTACAACTCCCAAATGACAAAAAATCAATCCCACCCCACCCCCAACAAATTTGGGCATATCGGGTATTCAAATTTGGGCATATCGGGTATTTGTGAATGTAAATGCATCCTGCCTATCAGATATTTACATTACGATTCATAACAGTTATGAAGTAGCAACGAAAATAATTTTATGGCTGGGGGTCACCACAACATGAGGAACTGTATTTAGGGGGTCGCGGCATTAGGAATGTTGGGAAACACTACCTTATTTGGATTGGGAATTGGTTGACTGGCTGAATCCAAGCTGGACAGGACAGATCAAATGAATTAATAATGCCATATAACTCTGTCAAAACATTAAATACAACCTTTAAATGCAACTAGAAATCATGATTAGTCACATCTATTGTGTTGCTTCCTTCCCAAATTTCTTTTGAAACTAAATTTGGTCACATTCTTGTTACCAGAAATCGGCAGCATGTGACAGGTGAATGTGAGATTTATAATTCGTAATAATTCTAGATAAAGGTAGGGAATTTTCTTTGAAGAGACCGACAAGAAATGTACGACATCAAAGCATGTTGTAAATCTATATGTGAGAATGATTTCAAATTCTTTGAATTGGATAGATTAAATCTGTTTTCCCTGAGGCCTGTTGGGTGAGATGTTATCCACTGAAGAAGATCACCTGCATCATTTCGTTGTTTCTGTTCTTTGGTTTTATTACTTTTATTACATATGCATCGAGGAAAGGGAAAGATTGTTTTTTTTTGCTTATTCTGGAGAATAAGACACGAAATAATGGATTCAAGTTGCAGGGGGAAAGATCCCACCTAAACATTAGGGAAGAAATTCCTGAAGGTGAGCGAATGGGAGGAAAGAAAGAAAGAAAAGGAAAGAAGGGAGAGATGAAGAAAGGAAAAGGAGAGAAGGAAGGAAAAGGAAAGGGGAAAAGGGAGAGAAGGAAAAAAGAGAAAGGAAGAGAAGAGATATGATAGCCATGTATAAATATGTGAGAAGAAGCCACAGGGAGGAGGGAGCAAGCTTGTTTTCTGCTTCCTTGGAGACTAGGACGAGGAACAATGGCTTCAAACTACAAGAGAGGAGATTCCATCTGAACATGAGGAAGAACTTCCTGACTGTGAGAGCCGTTCAGCAGTGGAACTCTCTGCCCTGGAGTGTGTGGAGGCTCCTTCTTTGGAAGCTTTTAAACAGAGGCTGGATGGCCATCTGTCAGGGGTGATTTGAATGCAATATTCCTGCTTCTTGGCAGGGGGTTGGACTGGATGGCCCCTGAGGTCTCTTCCAACTCTTTGATTCTATGATTCTATGAAAAGTCTGTGGAAACTATAGTCACAATGTTTGGAAAGAAAAAGGGAAGATAAAGGAAGGAGGAGGAAAAGGAAAAGAAAAACTGAAAATTTGTAGAACAGTGTTATTTTTGTCTGTTATTAGGTTTAAAGTTAAGTTGCTTTTATATTGCTTGATATGGTCTGTTTTGATATAATTTGTTTGTATTTTTTTCCATTTTGGCATTGAATGTTTGCTTTATATGTTGGAAATCAACCCGAGTCCCTTTGGGGAGATAGGGGCACCTACAAATTATTATTACTACTATTAGTAGTAGTATCATCAATATTATTAGATACATAACAAGTACACAGCAAACAAGATTAGTATGCTGGCTGTTGTACCGGATCATACGTCAGACACTTCCCAAGTGTCTAGGACTGTGTGATGTATCAGCGAATACAGATCTGAGCAGGGTGGCCTTTTGCAGCTGACAGATGGCTTATTGTTTTTAAGTGCAGACCAAGGTCTTTAGGCACTGCATCCAAATCTGGGGAGCGTGTGAGTTCCCACTATTAGCCCCAGCTTCTGCCAACCTAGCAGTTCGAAAACATGCAAATGTGAGTATATCAATAGGTACCGCTCTGACGGGAAGTTATGCAGTCATGCCGCCACATGACCTTGGAGGTGTCTATGGACAACGCCGGCTCTTCGGCTTAGAAATGGAGTTGAGCACCAACCCCCAGAGTCAGACACGACTGGACTTAATGTCAGGGAAAACCTTTACCTTTACCTACCCTTATCAAGTAACAAGAGCCAGGACAAGAGGCTGTTGTTTGGACAAAATACGGAGAAATGAAAAGGTTTCCAAGTGGCAAGGGTTGAGCAATAAGACAAGGCTGAATTGAGGATGCCTACCAAAGATGTGGGCAAAACGTTAGGAGAGAATGCTTCTGGAACATGGCCATACAGCTCGGAAAACTCACAGCAACCCAAAGCTGTATTTTATTACCCCATCGGTTTAACTTAGATGCTGAAAATATACAGAAAGCGAGATTGGATTCGGGAGAAAGGACGTAGAAAATTTGAGCCAGGAACATCAACAATTTAAGATATGACACCCTACTGCTAGCAGTAAACAGCAAAGAATGGGAATGATTACTGAAGAAAGTCAAGGAGGAAAGTGCAAAGGCATGTTTACAGTTGAACATTAAGAAAACAAAACTGAGGACCGCAGACTGTTTACATAACTTTAGACAGTGAAGACAGTGAATTAGTTCAAGATTTTCCATACCTTGGCCCAGTCTTCCATCAGAATGAAGCCTGTGGGGAAGAAATCAGAAGGCCAGGACTTTGCTGGGCAGCTATGGAGGAACCAGACAAGACCCTGAAGCGTAAGGATAGACTGTATCAGCTAGTAAAATATGGGTAGACAATGGTGAATTGGGGTAGTCTTGTAATCACCAAGAAAAGAATGCTGTGATCACAACAAGTCAACACTGGTTTCTCAAAACCAAGTCATGCCAGACTAATCTTATCTCTTTTTCTCAACAGCGTTACAAACAAGGCCTTTGACAAGGCCCTCCATGACCTTCGTGCAAACCAACTAGTCAAATGTGGGCTAGATAATACTACTGTTAGGTGGAATTGTAAACGGTTGAGCAACCAAACCCAACGGCTGCTCACTGGAGGTTCCTCTGGAAAGAAGTGACTAATGGAGTGCCATCTAGAGGATTCGGTCCTGGGCCAGCGCTGTTCAACATATCTATGAATGACTTGGATAAAGGTTTAGATTTAGGGGGCATGCTTATCACATTTTCAGATGACACCAAATTGAGAGGAATCAAAGTGCTGATGCTGACCTATAAATCCCTAAACGACTCCGGCCCAGTTTACCTGTCAGAACGGATTCTCCCCTATGAACCATCAAGGTTGTTAAGATCTTCTGGAGGGGCCCTGCTCTCAGTCCCACCACCCATCGCGTCTGGTGGGGACAAGGGACAGGGCCTTCTCGGTGGTGGCCCCTTGACTGTGGAACTATCTCCCAATGGAGATCAGATCTGCCCCTTCCCTCCTGACCTTCAGAAAGCTAGTGAAATCCTGGCTCTGGGATAAAGCATTCCCAAGATAATTTGGTTGAGTCCAGCAATAACCTAATAATTACTGACCACATTTGCGGACTGTGTTGAACTTGATTCTATCTTGGCGATTTGGCTTATATCATAGAATCATAGAATCAAAGAGTTGGAAGAGACCTCCTGGGCCATCATCCAGTCCAACCCCATTCTGCCAAGAAGCAGGAATATTGCATTCAAATCACCCCTGACAGATGGCCATCCAGCCTCTGTTAAAGCTTCCAAAGAAGGAGCCTCCACCACACTCCGGGGCAGAGAGTTCCACTGCTGAACAGCTCTCACAGTCAGGAAGTTCTTCCTCATGTTCAGATGGAATCTCCTCTCTTGTAGTTGGAAGCCATTGTTCCACGTCCTAGTCTCCAGGGAAGCAGAAAACAAGCTTGCTCCCTCCTCCTGGCTTCCTCTCACATATTTATACATGGCTATCATATCTCCTCTCAGCCTTCTCTTCTTCAGGCTAAACATGCCCAGCTCCTTAAGCCGCTCCTCATAGGGCTTGTTCTCCAGACCCTTGATCATTTTAGTCGCCCTCCTCTGGACACATTCCAGCTTGTCAATATCTCTCTTGAATTGTGGTGCCCAGAATTGGACACAATATTCCAGGTGTGGTCTAACCAAAGCAGAATAGAGGGGTAGCATTACTTCCCTAGATTTAGACACTATGCTCCTATTGATGCAGGCCAAAATCCCATTGGCTTTTTTTGCCGCCACATATGTATTTATTCTGTCTGTATTTTAATTTATTATGATTTTATGATGTTTTTAGTTGTATTTGTGCATTGAATTTCTGCTGTTAGCCAGTCTGAGTCCCTCCACGGAGGTAGAGAAGATCGGGATATAAAAGTTTTTAATAAATAAATAAATAAAATATTTTCATTCACTGGACCAAATTTGGCACAAATACCCGATACGCCCAAATTTGAATACTGTTACTGGTGGGGGGTTGATTTTGTCATTTGGGAGTTGTAGTTGCTGGGATTTATAGTTCACCTACAATCAAAGTTTTTATGTTTTTAAAGGTTTTATTGTATATATTTTAAAATTTTGTTTTAATGTCATTTTAAGTGTATGTTAGGCATCAAATGGCTGCCTGGTTGTAAGCTACCTTTGGGTTCGAGAAAGGCAGGATAGAAATATTGTAAATAAATAAAGATCATTCTGAACTCCACCAATGATGGAATTGAACCAAACTTGGCACACATAACTCCCAAGACCAACAGAAAATACTGGAAGGGTTTGGTGAACACTGACCTTGAGTTTTGGAGTTGTAATTCACCTACATCCAGAGAGCACTGTGGAGCTGGATCACACTTGGCACGAATACTCAATATGACCAAATGTGAACACTGGTAGACCTTGAGATTTGGGAGTAGTGGTTGCTGGGATTTATAGTTCACCTACAATCAAAGAGAATTCTGAACCCCACAAATGATAGAATTGGGCCAAACTTCTCATTCACACATGCCTTGAAGGTACTCATGAGCCTCCCTCCAGCCTTGTACACTCTCCCTCACCCGTACATGCACACCACTCTGCCATTCACAAAGCATGCCTGCTCTCCCTTTGGAGTCTCAGAAACAGCCCTCCCCTTGGCTGAGAGGCTGGCCAGTCACAGCACAGGAAGACTTTTGGTGGGAGGATTTGCCGTCTGTTTCCAAAAAAGGAAGAGAAGGACAGGCGGAGAGATCTTCAGTCTTCTCTGACAAAGGGGTTCCTAAGACCATCAGAAATATATGTTTTCTGATGGTCTTTGGTGACCCCCCTCACGACTTCCCCAGGCGTCCTGACACCCAGGTTGAGAAACACTGCTCCAGAGGGAAAGATCAGAGTCCAAAATGAAGGAAGTTTGAAGACTATCATGTGGAAGTCATAGAAACACCGACAACAAGCACAAAGTATAAAAATATTCAAACCCGTTTTATTTAACTTTCTGTATTTAAAATCAACATTTGACATATACTCGTATGGTTTGCATGATCCAAGTCTCTTGCTCTTCCGGACACCTAATTGATGCTTTTTTCTGTTTATGAAAGAGTAAAAACCACCAATAAAACTTCAAACTCATTGGGATTTTTGAACAGATTGTAACTTCCAGCAGGGAAAAAAGCACGAGGCAGCTTTGCTTTCTCCCCTTCTAATAACGGAGAGTTTCCCCTCTCCCACTATTTTCTCCATTTGAGTGAAAGGCTTGAAATAATGAAGTAACCAGCATTCCCAAGAGGAAGACATGGATTAGGTAATGACCACCGGAAAGGAATGCATGGTGACACAGAGCAGCTTGTGGAAAAATCCAAGGACAATATAACATTTCAACTTTTAAAATCCTCAAACACATTTAAGTGTTTAATGGCAAAATTGCACCTATCCATTCCACCAACGCTAGGAAGAGACCGGAACCAAAGCTTCTTGGGTATTTCCAGGCCCAAGTCTGGAAAATGTTCCTCAGAAGTCGGTGCCATTATATGAGATGTTCCTCGTGGCTTTCCAGGTCCCCGAAGAGGCATCATCAAAGGAACTAGCCCAAGCCCTCTTGGATTCCACGGATCCGCCGAGCTAACTGTATATCTTTGGGGAAGAGGGTGACGCGCTTGGCGTGGATGGCGCAGAGGTGGGCATCCTCCATGAGGTGCACCAGGAAAGCTTCGGCCGCCTGAAGAAAGGAGAAGAGGACAATGAATTTCAATAAAATGAATTTCAACAGGGAGAAAAGTATGGCACTAAACTTAGCCAATAAAAACAGAAGGTACAGATATACGAGGGGTATTTTTTATGTAAGGTCTGTTTGAACATAAGTACACAACGAAAGTTTATTTCAAAAAAGTAAATTTATTTTCAGAAAGTACATACTTCACTCTATTTTTCGACATAGTTGCCAAGTTTGTTCAAACACTTATCATACCTCTGAACCAATTTTAAAATACCCTCTTCATAAAAACTTGCCACCTGCTCCGATAACCAAGAGTTCACTGTAATCAAAGAAGGGCGACCGGAGCGGTCCTCATCATGGACGTTGTCACTGCCATCTTTGAATTGTCGTACCCACTTACGCACTTTGCTTTCACTCATAACAGTATCACCGTACACTTCACAAATCTGTCGATGAATTTCTGCAGCAGGCAGGTTCCTTGCTGACAAAAACCGTAAACCTCACATGCGGCGGGTGAGTTGATAGTCTTAAACATTTTTAAAGCACAGAACAGAACCGTACAGGTTAGCTACAGAGCGGAAACTGAGCACAGTTGTTCCCGAGGCATGCCGGTACACGACGCACGCTCTCGTTGTGGTATGTGCGCGAACTACTAGTGTCTACAACAAAACGGACCTTACTTTAAAAATACCCCTCGTACTAATATGTACACATGATATTGTTCATAAAATTGTAATGCATTATAATACTACTAATAATATAATATAATAATATAATATATATTATATATTCCATGTAATATTACTAATAATATTGCAGTATAATGATATAGTACAATATAGTAATATATAATATGAATAAAAGTAATGCCTCCATCTTCGTAACTCCTCAACAGATGGCAGTACTGGTATGCGGCAGGTACTGGCTTGTTCAGTAGGCTCTCCTCTACAGTTCCATTTTGGCGGGAAGCCTTAGCATTGAACGGTTGTGTTGTTAAAGTGTGAAGTATGGAACCCTGTGCAGACGGTCGGTCAATGCGACTTAAGCAACATGCAGTCATTGAATTCTTGACAGCAGAAGGTGTCACCCCAAAGGAGATTCATCAGAGAATGCAAGCTGTTTATGGTGATTGTGTTGATGTGAGTACTGTGCGTCATTGGGAGTAAGTTTAAAGATGTTGAGGTGGGAACATCTGACTTGCGTGACAAAGAGTTGGATGTCCTGTGACAGCAAACACCGAGTTTCATAAGCAAAAGGTTGACAGATTAATTCAGGATGATCGTCGTATCACTCAGAGAGAAATTTCAAGCATAATCGGCATGTTGCAAACTTTGAAACGACAGCTAGCAAGAGTCTGAAAGGAAAAGGGAAATGTTTTCCTGATAATGCCAGATCACACACTTCACATGCCACCACAGCAGATCTTCAGAGACTGGATCTCACCACCATACAGTCCAGATTTAGTGCCATCTGATTTCCATCTGTTCCCAATAATGATAATGAAAGATCTGCAGGGACATCATTATGCTTCTGATGAAGACGTTGAGAGAACTGTGAGATGCTGGTTGCAGAAACAGAGTGTCGACTTCTTCCGTGACGGCTTCAGAAAACTTGTTCATTGTTGGCAGAAATGTATCCAATTGTCTGGTGATTATGTGGAAAAGTAATAGTGGTAGTTAAAGAGCACATTCTAAGGATTATTTCTGCGTTTGATTTATTAAAATATTCCCATCCAAACCCAAGTAACGAAGGTGGAGGCACTACTTTTCATTCAATCCTCGTATAATACTAATATTGTGCTATCCTAATATAATTACAATATATTGTATGTACATATGATATTGATCATATTATAATGTAATGCAATATAATACTAATAATAATACAATATAATAATTGTATATTATATATTACATGTAATATTACTAACTAGCTGTCCCTGCCACACGTTGCTGTGGCCCCGTCTGTTGATCTGGAAAATAAAGTAATGAGAAAGTGTTGGTTTCTAATATATGTAATTTCTTTATGCTTGTAAACAGTATTTCTTGCTGTTTCTTTGTCAGTGTTGATGTGGAGATTGTCTGGTTTGCCCACCCTGGAACATGCAGCATATCATTGTCCTTCTTTAAGGGTCCCTTTCAAATTTATGATACTATATATATATATATATATATATATATATATATATATATATATGTGTGGATATCTATCTATCTATGTATCTATGTATCTATGTATCTATGTATCTATGTATCTATCTATCTATCTATCTATCTATCTATCTATCTATCTATCTATCTATCTATATATGGCTGGATGGCTCTTTGTCAGGAGGACTTTGATTACGTTTTCTTGCCCTGATGAAGGGAGTTGGATTGGATGGCCTTAAGTATTTTCTGTTGGTCATGGGGGTTCTGTGTGGGAAGTTTGCCCCGATTCTGTCGTTCATGGGGTTCAGAATGCTCTTTGATTGTAGGTGAACTGTGAATCCCAGTGACTACAACTCCCAAATGTCAAGGTCTATTTCCCCCAAACTCCATCTGTGTTCATATTTGGGCGTATTGAGTGCTTGTGCCCAAGCTACCTATCTGACCCAAGCTACCTATCTGACCGCATCTCTGCCTATGAACCCACCAGGACTTTGAGATCTTCCGGGGAGACCCTGCTCTTGATCCCGCCTGCTTCTCAAGCTCGGCTGGCGGGGACGAGAGATAGGGCCTTCTCGGTGGTGGCTCCTCGGCTGTGGAACGCCCTTCCTACGGACATTAGACTAGCACCATCTCTAATGGTATTCCGCAAAAAGGTGAAGACCTGGATGTTTGTGCAGGCGTTTGAGTAATTTAGTGCAATCTGGTAATGGAACATAGGAATGGAACAATGGACGACGAACCTGGACTACGCTTGGATGATGAGAAGATTGGGTACGGTTGTTTTTTGTAATAATTGTGCATTGTAATTGCTTATTGGTAATTTATGGATAATGTGTTAAGTCAATTGTTATATGTTGTATGGAAGCACTGCTGTTTCTACTGTTTTTACTGTTTGTGAACCGCTGTGAGTCGCCTTCGGGCTTGAGATACAGCGGTATATAAGCAAAGTAAATAAATAAATAAATAATAATAATAAATAAATAAATATTTTATGCCAAATTTGGTCCATCCATCATTGTTTGAGTCCACAGTGCTCTCTGGATGTAGGTGAACTACAACTCCAAAACTCAAGGTCAATACCCACCAAACCCTTCCAGTATTTTCTGTTGGGTCATGGGAGTTCTGTGTGCCAAGTTTGGTTCAATTCCATTGTTGGTATATACATATAACTTGTAAGCCGCTCTGAGTCCCTTTCGGGGTGAGAGAGAGCGGGGTACAAATATAGTAAATAAATAGCATGCCTCAAAATGAGCATAAGAGTATTTAAAGTGGTATGTAGCTCAGAAAGAAGGAAAAGAGTCGATCTGCTAAAACTGGCAATGCAACCATACTCGCCATGTGCCTAAACACTTACCTCCTGTAACGCAAGCAACGCCATTGCCTGCCAATGCATGTCAAGCCCCCGGGTGAAATCTAGGCAGATCTCACGTACCTATATGGTGCAAAGAAACAAGAAAATCAGGATGGCAAATCTTGAGGGGCTAAGGCTGTGGAACAAAGATCCATTAAGAAATCTTTTCTCCTCCCTCAGTCTTTAGCCATAGTCTGGAAATGGTCCTTTTCTGAGCTACAGCTCCCAGAATCTGCTCACTATCCCCTCTGCCGCCTAAAAATGCGTGAAGGAATTCTTTTTTCAAGGCATTCCAACATCTTGGGCTACAAGGCAATACTTATGGCACAATAGGGGCTGCGGTAGCATAGTAGGTTAAACTGCTCGCTGCAGGAAATCTCCTGCTGAGGTAAAATGAAAGCTGCTCTGTGATTGGTTGATATTTCTTATGCTGCATTACTTTTCTAAGCTGTAAGGCAGAATTAATTTTTTTAACCCACCTACTTAAGACCTTTCATCTTTCAGAAATGTCAGGGACTGAACCAGACACTAGTGTCACTATTTCTTTACTGTATTATTATTATTATTATTATTATTATTATTTACAGTATTTATATTCTGTCCTTCTCACCCCGCAGGAGACTCAGGGTGGATTACAATGTACACATACATAGCAAACATTCAGTGCCATAGACACACAACATATATAGACGGACACAGAGGCTATTTAACATTCCAGCTTTTCGATGAGGGCATTCTGGCCACCAGGGGAGCTGTCGCTTCACCGTCCATTTGTGACACTGATGAAGTACTTCCTCATTCTTTGCATGCTTGCTGGAGATTTTTATGGCATCGTAAATTAGTTAAATTAGCCTCCCCGCATAAGCGGTACCTAAATTGTCTACTTGACAGATGCAACTGTCTTTCGGGCTGCAAAGGTCAATAGCAAGCTACACAAATTGGTCAGAAGCTCACTCCAACCCGGGCTGGCTTTGAACTCATGACCTTTTGGTCAGTAGTGATCTTAATGCAGCTGACTCCCAGCCAGCTGCGCCACAGTCCCAGTATGTAGGCTATTTTTGTGACTCTATTTTTGTTTCATCCCAGGGAGCACCAGATCGCATTATTAGGAGACATAACAAAAGTAATCCAACATGGGCATACCACTTCGCTATTTTAAGAAATTCACCCAAAACCAGCCTTTGTAATCTCAAGGCGAGGCTGTTAATCATGCTGTTGACCGTCACTACGCTGCCCTTGAAGCTTTAGCTGGTACAAAAAAACAGGTTACAAAAATATCATGAATCACTAGAAATCTATCCCAGCTCCTTCTCCTTCTCCTCCTCCTCCGATGGCCCTTTTGTGTCCTTCATGCCCAACTTGGGCTGGCCTTTAAAGCAGACAAAACAGCCTGGAAAAATATATTTGCATTCAACAACCGACCTTACTAAAATGCTTCTGACGGGATGGAGAAATGCTTCATTCTCTTTTATTGGTATGCTATTATTAACCTTTTCCGCTTCAGTTTGCTTTTATATCTACTTATGTTGATCTGTCACCATAAAGCCCCCGGTGGCGCCATGGGTTAAACACTTGTGCCGGCAAGACTGCTGACCGTAAGGTCGGCAATTCGAATCCGGGGAGCGGGGTGAGCTCCCATCTGTCAGCTCCAGCTTCTCATGCAGGGACATGAAAGAAGCCTCCCACAGGATGGTAACACATCCGGGTATCCCTTGGGCAACATCCTTGCAGACAGCCAATTCTCTCATACCAAAAGCAACTTGAAGTTTCTCAAGTTGCTCCTGACACAAAAAAGGAGATCTGCTATTTTTCCTGGACCACAACATATGTCTGCCTACAACATGGTTTCAAGTACTTGGCGAAATTTTGAAAGAACATGATATATTTGTCAGAAATATTAAATATTAACTAGGTATTTTTAATTACAAAAACGTGAATCAAGCACTGAAAGGAGTAAATACCATGGCTCAGCAAAAGCTGCAGTTCTATATAAGCAGGTGTGCCTGTAACTTAGTATGCCTCAGACTGAGGTAAAACTCAGGGAAGAATAGGTCTCAGTGTTAGAAGGCCTCCCAGTGTGAGGTACACCTTAGTCCGTGAGAGTCTGTAGACCTGGTTATGAAGGGTAAAATAGGTCTCAGGGTTAGAAGGCCTCACAGTATGAGGTAGGCCTTTGTGAGAGAAAGCCTCACACTGTGAGGTAGGCCTCGTTATGAGGGGGTGAATAGTTCTCAGGGTTAGAAGGCCTCCCAGTGTAAGATAAGCCTTAGTCTGTGAGAGAAGGCCTCACATTGTGAGGTAGGCCTCGTTATAAGGGGGAGAATAGGTCTCTGGGTTAGAAGGCCTCACAGTGTGAGGTAGGGCTCTTTATGAGGGGGAGAATAGGTCTCAGGGTTAGAAGGCCTCTCAGTGTGAAGTAGGCCTTTGTAAGAGAAGGCCTCACAGTGTGAGGTAGGGCTCGTTATGAGGGGGAGAATAGGTCTCAGGGTTAGAAGGCCCCACAGTGTGAGGTAGACCTCATTATAAGGGGGAGAATGGGTCTCAGGGTTAGAAGGCCTCACAGTATGAAGTAGGCCTTTGTGAGAGAAGGCCTCACACTGTGAGGTAGGCCTCGTTATGAGGGAGTGAATAGTTCTCAGGGTTAGAAGGCCTCTCAGTATGAGGTAGGCCTTTGTGAGAGAAAGCCTCACACTGTGAGGTAGGCCATGTTATGAGGGGGTGAATAGTTCTCAGGGTTAGAAGGCCTCCCAGTGTAAGATAAGCCTTAGTCTGTGAGAGAAGGCCTCACATTGTGAGGTAGGCCTCGTTATAAGGGGGAGAATAGGTCTCTGGGTTAGAAGGCCTCACAGTGTGAGGTAGGGCTCTTTATGAGGGGGAGAATAGGTCTCAGGGTTAGAAGGCCCCTCAGTGTGAGGTAGGCCTCGTTATGAGGGGGAGAATAGGTCTCAGGGTTAGACAGCCTCTCAGAGTGAGGTAGGCCTCGTTATGAGGGGGAGAATAGGTCTCAGGGTTAGAAGGCCCCACAGTGTGAGGTAGGCCTCGTTATGAGGGGGAGAATAGGTCTCAGGGTTAGAAGGCCTCTCAGTGTGAGGTAGGCCTTTGTAAGAGAAGGCCTCACAGTGTAAGGTAGGGCTCGTTACGAGGGGGAGAATAGGTCACAGGGTTAGAAGGCCTCACAGTGTGAGGTAGACCTCATTATAAGGGGGAGAATGGGTCTCAGGGTTAGAAGGCCTCACAGTATGAAGTAGGCCTTTGTGAGAGAAGGCCTCACACTGTGAGGTAGGCCTCGTTATGAGGGAGTGAATAGTTCTCAGGGTTAGAAGGCCTCTCAGTATGAGGTAAGCCTTTGTGAGAGAAGGCCTCACAGTGTGAGGTAGGGCTCGTTATGAGGGGGAGAATAGGTCTCAGGGTTAGAAGGCCCCACAGTGTGAGGTAGACCTCATTATAAGGGGGAGAATAGGTCTCAGGGTTAGAAGGCCCCACAGTGTGAGGTAGACCTCATTATAAGGGGGAGAATAGGTCTCAGGGTTAGAAGGCCTCTCAGTGTGAAGTAGGCCTTTGTAAGAGAAGGCCTCACAGTGTGAGGTAGGGCTCGTTATGAGGGGGAGAATAGGTCTCAGGGTTAGAAGGCCCCACAGTGTGAGGTAGACCTCATTATAAGGGGGAGAATAGGTCTCAGGGTTAGAAGGCCTCTCAGTGCGAGGTAGGCCTTTGTAAGAGAAGGCCTCACAGTGTGAGGTAGGGCTCGTTATGAGGGGTAGAATAGGTCTCAGAGTTAGAAGGCCCCACAGTGTGAGGTAGACCTCATTATAAGGGGGAGAATAGGTCTCAGGGTTAGGCCTCACAGTATGAGGTAGGCCTTTGTGAGAGAAGGCCTCACACTGTGAGGTAGGCCTCGTTATGAGGGAGTGAATAGTTCTCAGGGTTAGAAGGCCTCTCAGTATGAGGTAAGCCTTAGCCTGTGACAGAAGGTCTCACAGTATGAGGTAGGCCTTAGTCTGTAAGAGAAGGCCTCACAGTATGAGGTAGGCCTCGATATGAGGGGGAAAATAGGTCTCAGGGTTAGATGCCTTTCAGTGTGAGGTAGGTCTTTGTAAGAGAAGGCCTCAGTGTGAGGTAGGCCTCGTTACAAGGGGGAGAATAGGTCTCAGGGTTAGACGGCTTCTCAGTGTGAGGTAGGCCTTAGTCTGTGAGAGAAGGCCTCACAGTATGAGATAGGCCTTAGTCTAAGAGAAGGCCTCACAGTGTGAGGTAGACCTCATTACGAGGGGGAGAATAGGTCTCAGTGTTAGAAGGCCTCACAGTGTGAGGTAGGCCTTAGTCTGTGAGAGAAGGCCTCACAGTGTGAGGTAGGCCTTATGAGGGGGAGAATAGGTCTCAGGGTTAGACGGTCTCTCAGTGTGAGGTAGGCCTTAGTCTTTAAGAGAAGGCCTCACAGTGTGAGGTAGACCTCATTACGAGGGGGAGAATAGGTCTCAGTGTTAGAAGGCCTCACAGTGTGAGGTAGGCCTTAGTCTGTGAGAGAAGGCCTCACAGTATGAGACAGGCCTTAGTCTGTAAGAGAAGGCCTCAGTGTGAGGTAGACCTCATTACGAGGGGGAGAATAGGTCTCAGGGTTAGAAGGCCCCTCAGTGTGAGGTAGGCCTCGTTATGAGGGGGAGAATAGGTCTCAGGGTTAGACAGCCTCTCAGAGTGAGGTAGGCCTCGTTATGAGGGGGAGAATAGGTCTCAGGGTTAGAAGGCCCCACAGTGTGAGGTAGGCCTCGTTATGAGGGGGAGAATAGGTCTCAGGGTTAGAAGGCCTCTCAGTGTGAGGTAGGCCTTTGTAAGAGAAGGCCTCACAGTGTAAGGTAGGGCTCGTTACGAGGGGGAGAATAGGTCACAGGGTTAGAAGGCCTCACAGTGTGAGGTAGACCTCATTATAAGGGGGAGAATGGGTCTCAGGGTTAGAAGGCCTCACAGTATGAAGTAGGCCTTTGTGAGAGAAGGCCTCACACTGTGAGGTAGGCCTCGTTATGAGGGAGTGAATAGTTCTCAGGGTTAGAAGGCCTCTCAGTATGAGGTAAGCCTTTGTGAGAGAA